ATTATCATGTGTATGTTGGGTTTGGTAAGGTTCTTTTTTTTAATTATTCTGATTTGAAGGATTCAAAATAGACTTAATAATATAAAGTAATAAATTCAACTATGTATTTTAAAATTATAATTGGCACAAAACTCAAGTTAGAACGTTAAAACGCGAATAGAACTATTATGCTCCTAATAATGATACTGTGGAACTGTGGGATCCTACTACAGTAACATTTTAAAAGGAGCAAAATATAGGTAATTTCTAATCACATTGTCACCACACAGTGTCTCGTGTTGGTCTAAACGGTTATTAGTGTGAGTGGGGTACGTAAATTTATTTTTGAGTTTATTGCGATTTGGATATTATTATTATGTTCTGTTCCTACTAGCTATTATTAAATGGTCCATATGGTTTAAACTAGGTATTTAAAATCCGAAGGAATATATTTTGTCGAGAAGAGTTGTTGGAATCGTATTTTGTCGGAAAAATAATTGTTCGGAACAACTAGTGGAAACTAATGGCGGATTCAGATAGCAATGCCCCCCTCCCCACATTCATTCTCTTTATACTCTTAGTTTGATTCATCATTGGGTTTACTATAAATGCGTTCTTTAAATACATTTTCAAAATTGCCTTTCCCCATGTCATTTTGTCCTGGATCTGCCTCTGACAAGGTTAGGTTAGGTTAGGACAGCCAAAAAATGATTATGATATGACTATTATAATAAATGTATAAACAAATTAAACGCAAGTGAATAGCTGCTAAAAGTCGGAATTAGTTATGCGAGAGATTTACAAAAAAGGTTGGTGGTGTGTACTTGTTAATTGTCTACTGTGTTTTCGATAAAGTGATTGTTTCGAGAAACTCGAGCGGTCAAGACGCTCGAGATTTTACGAGAAAAATGTTGTATTCATTTCGTTTTAAGAGACCAAAAATCATCTATTACATCACATAACTTTATTCAATTTTATTTAATCGAATTTCGTATAGAAATTATAAAAATATTTAGTATGGGAGTTTGACGACGGCGGTATCATCAAAAGGCTTACAGATGTCGTAAATCTCTATTTTTATTTGACTCGTGTTGAAAGTAACATATGGGATATGAATCCCTTCCGAATAAAGAAATAGTTTGGGAATTCAAAAGGTCTCGCTGGCCTTCGCGTCTGTGTCAATAGAAGATAACTAGGTAATAATGATATTATATTATTGATTGGAATGTTGTACGGAAATTCTAAGAACACTCAGAGTACGACTGGGATGGCGGCGCTACGGTGTCCTCAAAGGGCTGACAGATGTACATTTATCTTTTATTTGATCCATTTTAAAACGTTTTTATCCTAAAAAATACATATCCCTCTTGAATAACGTATGTTCCGTTATATTTGTTCAATGATGAACCTTTTTTTTTAAAAAATAGAAAATACCAATTACTCGCGTACGACCGCGGTCGTCGCATAAATAATTTTATACAATATGTTGTGTGAGTTTGGTCATTTAGATCTGATATAATCCTATAGAACTTTATTCAATTTTTCCAATAATGCAAAAAAAAAAATTAATGCTACTCGTTTTCGAATAGTTTAAAACGCCGAATTGGTTTTCAATAGGACGAGTTGGTTTTTAAAAGTTTAAATTGGTCGAAAACTTAACTGCGGATGATCGAGAACTGGACTAATTCAATTTAACGAGTTTTCTCATGATATTTTATCTGGTTACCATTTCGTTTCACGTGTTTTTTTTCATTATGCGAGTACTTTTCTTCTTCACTTTTTACCCACTACATAAATATAGTATTTTGAAATTTTAACCTAACTAGTTTTTTAAATTTTTTTTAGATTAAGAGCGTATTTTTTTTTCTTTCTGTAATCAAATTTTTGAACACAATCTACTTTGCTCCAATCGGAAAATGACAAATAACATTTTCTGTTAAATTTTGGATTTTGGACTAATTTTTATTTTCCCAAGGGTTTTCAAAATAATTGGAGAAAATCAGAAATCAATTTATGGGTGAAACGGCAGATGTTTATGGCGTGTTCGTAATTAATATATGTACTATAATACAGTGTGAAGAGTAGCATTCATTTTAAAATAATCCTACTACATAAATGTAACGAATATTGAATTTAAATTTTTACTAGGTATCATGTTTTAATCAAAAATTCCAAAATATTTTTTGGCTGCATTTTGGATCTAGTCGCTCTTCAAGAGATAAGTCATTTTTTAATTTTCTAAGTAGTTTTTGTAATTTGATTTGAAATCACAAAATCTACTTGAAATTTTAACAGATAACTTATATTTTTTTTTTCTAAAAGTGCAATAGTTTTAAAAACACTTGAGCGAGGTTTTTTGAGATATTTATAGCCATTATATATTTGCGTATTTATTACGTAGTTTTTATTTAAAAATTACTATGTGAATATCATTGTGTTATCGAACAGAAATGTTTAAAATTTAACAGAACACTAATTATAAGTTGTACTTAGTGGTAAAAAAACAAAAAAAGTAGCTAATCATGTAGTATTTTTTTTTATATTGTTTAAAGATCAAATTTCGAAGAAAATCGCAAATATTACGTACGAACTTTGCTCAGAATAGTTTTTTGCTAACAATGCTTTATCGTTGCCTGCAGATATAAATTAAATAACTTATTATGTTAAATAAGCTCGTCAAATTCCTACCCACATCGGCGGCACATACATCAGTAGTATCAGCTCTTTTTTATTTTTGTAAACCGAAATGGTGGGTTTATAACAATATTGTGTTCATTTTATCTACACACAGACAATTATCGACAATTATGTATACATATGTATGTATATATTTTTGAATATCACCTTATACCTAATACTGTAAATAAAAAAAATATTATTTCGTAGTACTTCACACTTCAAAAAAGATGTATCATCAGTGGATAAATACCTATATAGTATATATATTGTAGCTGAACAATCGGCGCTTATTTAGTTATTTATAATTATACTAAGAAATTGATTCAATATATTCTGCTGAACATTGACATTAAAAAAATACGGATAACATACATTAGCTATAATAATTCTTCACATTCCATTGACAATCTCACAAAATAGTATTTTTTAAATTTTAGATTTTGAGTGTAGCGAAAAAGCTATTAAGGTTTACTAAGTTGTGTGTTTTTCTCGGAAAACACTTTATTGGTAAAGTAAAAAGGTTAATATTTTTAGATTTCGAACGAAACGAGGACTGTATTGGTTTTACAATGATATTTATTATTTTTGTTTTTTTTTATTTGATCTGTAAAAAACTGTTTTCCTAGAAATCATGCTCTGCTTTTCAAGTGTAAACCTGTAGTATTACCAATTGTAGTACCTTTTTTGAAAGGAAATTTTATAAGAATTTTATTATCAAATGTTGATGAAAATCGTAAATTTTATGGCCTTTCAATACATCTCTGAACTTCGCTTAGAATCGTTTTATCGTTAGCAATGGTTTATCGTTGCTTACAGATATAACTTAAATTTACCCTCTTCTACCTTCCCAACTTTTCACCTACAACGGTGGTTCATCCACTTGCGAATTTGCCTGGACTTTTTCTTTTGTAGCCTCCAAAAGTCTCCAAAACATTCGTTTCTACAACGATCCATTTTATCTATTCGCAGCGGATTCTCCGTAGAACACCGTCAAGTCTGTAATCGAGAGGTAAAATATATATGCGAATCTATGCAAGTAGGCATCACTCCCTTCAAATAAAAACATTGATCAACAAATTTCGATTTCATGTTGAAAAAAAAAAAACGACTGAAACTAAATATGAAATAACATTACATATTATATGAAGTGATCCGATAAAATATTTCAGAGAATCTCGGAGCTGCTCGAACTTGGAACTGTTACAATAAGTACCCGCCAACACTCGAGAACTTTAGTGGAAAACGTGAGTGATGAGTGTATACGTGCGCGAGAAAATACCAAAGGTACGTACAATTTTTTTCTCAGATAAACTCAATGTGTGATGTGTACTCGATATGTGTCGTGTACTTCTGTGTTCCGATAATACGATGATATATAATTTGCTCCCGAGGACTTGGGTTTTGACGATAAAATATTGTCAATAATATTGAGTTCGGTACAGGTTTGTTATCAGCAGAACTGCGATGGGCGTAGGTTTATCGGACCGGATGACTCGGCGAAAATCGCGAAAAACTATGTAGTATGTTTGTACCAAGAAAATATTCGCTAGTGCCTATTGGAGTGTTTTAATTAGGTACCTTAGTATGATTATATTTGACTCAATTGTAGTAAGTTCTTAAGTTCATATGTGTGATAATACCGGTGGCATCGATGATATTTATTTTTAATTCAGAAATGCCTGATGATATTTTTTATGACATTATTACTCCCCATGTAAAACATGTAACTGAAAAGTTTTATCTCACCAACATAGAAAAATCGCCGCAGACTTCTGTGACCAGATATTGTTTTTCCATTTTTCCATCTGCTTTATTTGCTAAAACCATCGTGGTTTTTCATCGATTAGGTTTAAGGTTTACAATATTAGACCATTTATTTAACTGGATTATCAAGTGTGTAAAGTCAGTGGCGTGACAAGTGATATTTTATTTGTGGGAAAACCAAATTATTTAGTGTAAACTCTTCAAAAAATTTAAAAAAAATTAGTTCAATGATTCGCGGAGAGCTGACTATTCAACTGCTTATTTTAAATTAACTCCAATTATAATGTTATCATATGAAAATGCAATAAAAGAAAAAGAGTTGATACTGAGGATAAGTGCACAACTGTTGTTGGTATTAGATTAACCTACTCGACTTGCTGCTGACACGGGACAACTCGGTATCCGGTATAAAAACGGAATACCGGTACTTATGGTGTAGTTTATTATACCGGGGTGCGATTGAATCGCGTTGTTGTCTCGTCGAACTGGTCCTGGCGAACGCACGTGCGTTTCCGAGCGATGTCAACAAGTGGTCGTTTGCATTTTATCAATTGCGGTCGCGTTCTACAAGTGGTGGTCGGGAGTCGGGCTGTTCGAGATACGCGTTGTGTTATTACGGTAGGTAACAATAATAACAATAATAATACATTTTTCTCCGCGTACCAGTTGATAGTTCAAACAAGGTATAGAATTTTACGACTATCGCGTATGTATGCACCGTAACATGTTTTTTTTTTCTGTTATTGAATTTCTGTTTCGGAAATAGCGCGACCTTGACCGGACTATGGGTCTAAATCCTGAAAACCGTTGTCTAGTCACTAGTGTAGCGTATGAAAAATACACACACACACACACACACACACACACATACACACAGCGTACACACTAGAATCCATTACGATCGTAAGCGAAACGAACAATCGTCGTCGTTAGAATTATTCGTATGTTATTGTTTTTTGTATTCTGTGTGAAAATACATTTATGAGATACGAGATTTTCAGTAAACATATATCTCATTCCGCAATCCGCATATGTATATTGTTTAGCAAATATCGGTCGAAAATGTTTAAAAACTTATAAAAAAAGACGGACATAATTCGCACGATGGTTGGGAAGGTAGGATATAAAAGGTAATTTAATGTATATCTGTGATGATTGATTAATCATTGGTAACAAAAAACAATTTTAAGCGGAGTTCGGTTATACATATTGTTTTAAAAGGTATTTATGATTTCCGTCAAAATTCGATATTAGAATTTTTATAAAAAAAATAATAATAATATATTAAACTTTAATTTTTCTTGTTGACTACTAAGTACAAATTATAATGAACCTTCTGTTAAATTTCCAAGCATTTCTGGTTGGCCTGACATTTTTATCCACAGAGTACTTACCGAACAAAAATTACGTAAAAAACTCGCAAAATTAAAATGCCCGTAAAAAGCTCAAAAATGGCTCAAATATTTTGAATATTTTACCACGTTTTGAAAAAGCAAATGTGAGTTTTTCGTAAAAAGTTTCTACGGTAATTTTCAACTGAATTAAAGAATAACAAAAACAGTAGAAATAAATTATACGAGTATACGTACTCGGAATACTATTTTTCGTATGAATTTGAACATTTATTCTAAATACTTTTAAAAAGTATTTTGCCCAAGTCTGTCTATTTAAATGTAACGAGGATGTGCATAAATGATGTTTACATCGCGATAAAATGGGAAGTTCAACGCGACCATGGAACTGGCGAGACATATTCATAATATTGCTTATTACACCTCGCGGGTACTCCACTAATCTGGATCAGGTATTATAGGCGATTGAAAATAAGACGTAGCGATATTATATTTTACGATGTTGGATCAGAGTGCAATAAGCACATTCGCGATTTCGTTGTCCGACAAACCTGTATAACCTAATCGGTTTTATTAGTTATTAGTATTATAAGATTTAATAGTTCGGTGTGTGTGCGTATTTGTACTAAATGAAACATGTATTGATGCCAATCGACAACGTAATATTTTCGACTCTGGTAAAATGGAAAAACATAAAAAACAGCGTATTGTAAGTCAATATTTTAATAATTATCAATCGTGAGTCTCTTATATAAAGAAAATTAAAATGTTTGATAATATTATTATTATTATAATCGTCATCGACGACCTCGACCAGCTGCCGGGCGGCCTGCACTCGGCACTCGAACGAATCATCGTGCCGAGATAACGCGTCTTCGTCGCCGGCAACGGGCGGGGGCGGGGTATCGTCGATTTGTTGTTTTTTTTTTTTTTTATTTTATTATTATTCTAGTTTTCCGTCACACGTTGTATATATACATATATAATTTTTTTTTTTCTGCAATAGTAGTCCGCGCGGCAAAGCGTCTTCGACGGTTGCAGACGATACCGAACCGGTGCCCTGGGCGCACACACGTTACCGCCGCCGCCACCGCCGTCGCCAAGAAGCTGGTTTTATTATTATTATTATTATTGTTATTTATTTTTTTTCACCGTTTTCCGTCAGCGTATATACTCGTTTCGCCGCAGTCTTCCGTGCCGACACTCGTCGACGTGGCCGGACAAACGGGATAATATATCGTCGAAAAACAAAAAACAAAAAACAAACCAAAACCGACATCTCCGTCTCTTCTCCATACCGCTGCAAAGGGTATGTGCCTGCTGTATATACGTTCAAATGATATTTCCGCGTTGTGACGGTCTGTCGTAATTAAGGTGTATTCATTGTAAAACCTAATCGCGTATTCAAAAAAAGGTTATCGAATTCCCAATATTTTTCGTATTGTTTTATTCGCGTCTTTGAATTAACAGAAAAAAAGAAAATTAACATCTTTGCCGTTGGAACGCACTAGTTCGTGTTATTATACCGTTTTTTTCTTTTTTTTTTCAGTTCAATCGGTGTAACGGTCGATCGTTTTTTCGGATGATTTTTTTTCCTATACATTAAACGGAATCTTTCGTCAACCGTTTCGGATCACGACAAGCGACCCGTTAACAAATTGATTCGTCGACTCGTATTGTGTTTTATTATCGCCGCAATTATTCGTCGGAAGATTTTCGTTATTTTAAATTTTTTTTTCCTTCATTAGAATTCGGGAGTTATCCGCGAACACACTCCTTAACTTCATAGGTTCGTCCGTCGGTATATTTTCGCGTATAAAATATTGATTTCACCTATTTTTTAAAAAATAAAACAAAAATTAACTCATATTATTTTAGGTACAAATAAATCACACGCGTCAATTTTATACGTATGTTATGAATACTAATATATGTTTACATTTCTTTTTTTCCGGCAGTTTTATTTTTAAACGGAGTAGACTTTTTTGTTTTTGTTTTTGAACACAGATCGTATTCCTTTCAGATCTGAACAGTCGTTCAGCTAAACATGTGGAAAGATCTCAAGAAACTAAAACTTTTGCTATGGAAGAATCTGCTGATACAGAAGAGACATCCTGTCCAGTCGTTCATAGAACTGCTTTTGCCAGCCATTATGGCGTGCATAATGGTCGCGTTCAGGTCTTGGGTGAAACCCGTCGAGTTCAACACCGTCACCAGATACGAACCTTTCAGCCTAACGGTGCCCCCCGTGATTGTCGCTTACAGATATCAGTGAGTCCTTTCTTATACATATACAATCTAGGTAATAATATCGTCCAAGTAGAAATGTATAAACGAGAGAAGATTGAAGGAGATTTGATTGAGTTTTATGGGAGGAGCTATTTTTGTGATGAACAGTAAAAAAACATTTGTATTATACCTATATATTCATTCGTTATCACACATAAAACCGTAATAAGCCATATAAATTCTAATTCTAATTTCGGAGTCAATATTATTTTTGGCTAGAATAATAATTTATTTATTTCTTAATAATTCTAGTGGTTGATCCGGAGGTAAGGCCCCCAGCTCCCCAATGTCTGTTTATGCAGAAGACGAAGATGTCATTGTGTTAGTAATATTTTTACCCTTAGTGTTTTATTCACCGGATCGTTGACAGAAAAATTTGGCGGAAATACTGTAGTGTTGCGTATACCCGGTCGTCGAGACTCAAAAGTGTCGATAATGATAATGATAAGAACGAATAATTGTATAATAAATGATATATTATATTATTTGTACATTTTAACACTTCATAGACACTCGATGTTGTTTTTTTTTTACTCGTCTAATTGAGATAAACGATGATGCGATTGGTTAATGGCTTATATTTAACCAATTTATAAGACTACTGCGAAGGCGGGGGGCGCCAGAGCATATAAAACGGGTTTCTAGGGAAATCCTCTTCGAATGTAATACGAAAAAAAAATAAACACAACAATAACATTATCTGATCAGTGTCGTATGATAACGGAACAAAAATCGGTTTCAGATGGACTATAGCTTGGGCTCCGTATCATCCGCAATTGGAAAAGGTCATGAACGACTCGTTTTTGCTCACGCCGAATGTCAAAAGTACGTCTCGGGTCGAATGTAGCAATATATCATTAAGTTTTTTTTTTTTTTTTAATATTTCGGTGGTCATTATTTTCGTTACGTATAGTTGAATCTTTCGAAAACGCCGAGACGATGGAACAACAGCTGATCCGAGAAAAAGCCATGAACACTTATCTGGTAGGTATCCATTTCAGTGGACACATACCGTCTTCTAACGGGACATTACCGAAAAAAACGATTGTGAGTATATATGATGATAAACGATGACTGAAACCGTTTTCTGGTGCGCGATATCGGAATAACGCGGTTTTATTATGCAGGTACGACTTAGGTATCCGTGCAATCTGAGAGTGACGAAAAAGAGTATGATGAGCTTCGACACAGTCCAAGCGAACTGGCGAACATACTTAAAATTTCCGCTCTACCAAACGTTCGGTCCGCGACAAAAGGACGAAAATGACGGCGGTGAACCCGGTAAGTTTTGACGATTATTATGATATCGAAATATGTTACATTAGTAAAATAGGTTTTATATTCTAGGTTATCAGTCAGAATCGTTTTTGTACGTGCAAAACCAGATATCCAAAAGTCTGATACGGTACTGGGCACCCGGCGAGTATGTTCCGGAAATCGATATGCAACGATTCCCGTATCCCAAGTACGTAGACGACGCGCTATTGCCAGCGATCACATCGTTTGTGTCCACGGTTATATTGCTCAGTTATATCTACACAGCTATCAACACTATCAAAGTGATTTCGGCGGAAAAAGAAATGAAAATGAAGGTAGGTATCGAATAAATAATTTGTAGAAAATTTTAGGGAAAAAAAAAGTTACTGAAAATATCCTTTAGTAGTATACATTTATCAATCCATCTTCTCATCCTCCTCTACTTCCTCCCTGATTACCACAACCAAGCAAATTTCTATGAACCAACAATGTTCACCACGAGGAGGTCTTGGCCCAGTTTGGCGTAGCTCGATAACCTCTATGAGAAGGAAGGGGTAGTGACGTACCATAAATGGCATTTTAAACAACGTATTGTAAACAAAGTGTAGTTTCTACAACTTTTTTCGATTTTTTGAAAATTTGTATTCTTGAAATAATTATTTATATAATTTTAAAAAACTGTTTTGCCAACGAATTTTTTCCAGGAGGCCATGATGCTCATGGGTTTGGATAATTGGTTGCACGCCAGCGCGTGGTACTTGAAGAGCTTGATTGTGTGGGCAGTGCCGATGCTGATTTTGGTGTTTTTTATCACGTATAAATGGCCGACAGGTGCCGTTTTCCAGTATTCCGATCCGACAGTGTTGATGGTTATAATGGGGTTGTATGTGTCGGCCAGCATATCTTATTGCTTTCTGATATCAGCGTGTTTCAAAAAAGGTAAAAAAATGACATACCTACATTCGAAAATAAAGAACGGAAAAATAAATGACCGATAACATTTATAATAATAATATAAATACTTAAAGGAAAATTTTTTCCGAATACGAAAAATTTGGACTACTATAACAGTACGTTTATTGACTCCAGTTTATTGTTTTACATGTAAGAAAAAACGAATTACTTCTAACTGTAGAAAGTAAACGCAACAGAAAATACATTGTGTATTAATTAATAAAGTTTGAAAATACAAACATTTCGATAGGCATAAAGTGAGGATTGCAAAATTTTAGTATTTTCTGTTATTTTATCGCTAGGTACTCGTTATATTATTTTATCTGAACTATTATTTTTTATTTGTTAATTGTCGATGATATTAAATTATTTTAACTAAACTTAAATATTTATCGAAATATTTTTTAAACAATTCATTCTCTATCACATTATATTCATAGTGTTTTTCGTAATCACGTGGTTTAATGTAAATTTTCAGCTAACACGGCGGCTACCGTAGGAGGTGTACTGTGGTTCGGTACCTACGCGCCGTTTATGATCTTTCAGCCAAAATACTCTTCCATGACAAACAGACAGATTTTAGCGTCAACCGTATTCCCGAACACTGCCTTGGGATACATATTCCAAAGTCTTATCATGTTCGAGGGCATCGGCTCTGGACTGACGTGGGAAAACACCTCGGTGACAGTGTCGCCCGATGATAAAATGTGCATCGCTGACATCATGAAAATGTTGGTGTTTGACACGTTCCTGTACGGGCTGATCGCCGTCTATTTGGAAACGGCTTTCCCAAAGAACAGTGGATACCATCCCGTTTGGTATTTCCCAATATTGGTAAGGCGATCGATATAATATTAAACACGTAGATACCTTTATATTATGAATTGTACCTATTCCGTTATTGTTACAGCGGTCTTTTTGGTTTGGGGAGAAAATCGGTCCGAAATACGGCAACGAAAAATCCGGAATCCAAATTCAGTCTCTCAGCAAGAGTTTCACGCCCGGAAAATACGTTGTCAATAAACTCTCGGTAGACATGCAACCGAATCAGATAACCGTGTTGCTAGGTCACAACGGGGCTGGTAAGTCCACTACCATGTCCATGTTGACTGGTCTCGTGAGTCCCACGTCTGGCACGGCGTTGATCCAAGGTTACGACATCAGAACCCACATGAAAACTATCCGGAGTTCTCTGGGCTTGTGTCCCCAATACAATCTGCTCATACCGGATTTGACCGTAAATGAGCATTTGTACTTTTTCGGAATGGTCAGTATATATCATTATAATACGTACCTATTAACTGCAGTGTGTAGTAGGCCATCGTTGAAAAATCACGGAGTTATTAAATTGAAGACGTTTATAAATTATAGTTGAAAGATTTGAACAAAAATGATTTAAAACGCGAAATTGATAACTATACAACAAAATTTGAACTGGAGTCGATGATGGACACGAAATCAAAACACCTTAGTGGCGGTATGAAGAGAAAACTGTCGGTAGCCATAGCTTTGATCGGAAAATCGAAAGTATGAATTTCAGAATTCCAAGGTCGATAATTTTTGGTGATTATGAAATATTTCTAACATGTTATTTCAGGTGGTGCTAATGGATGAACCCACGGCGGGAATGGACCCGGCTGCTAGACGTACCCTGTGGAATATTTTGCAATCAGAACGTCAAGGACGGACAATGGTAATGACTACGCATTTGATGGATGAAGCGGATCTGTTGGGCGACCGTGTGGCTATAATGAAAGCCGGAACTCTATGTTGTGTCGGAACGCCATTTTCACTAAAAAAAGAATACGGTAATCATTTGATTGTGATTGTGATTTATTAAATAACCTATGTTACGATTATTTGTTTTTAATTTTTAGGTGGTGGATACACTCTGACTCTTGTAAAAGACGTGATTGGATTCAGTTTGGGCAAAGTAACGAATTTCATTAGGAAATATTATCCAAATTTGTTGCCCAACAAAATAACTATAGTCGAGGTTGCGTATCAGATAGGGGACTCATCGTTGTTTCCGGATTTGCTCAATGCGTTAGAGCAAAACAGACAGGTGTTAGGAATCAAAGAATACGGTATAACGTTGACTACTTTACAGGACGTGTTCATGAGGTGATAATATTCTAAAGTGACAATGTAATGCACTTAATTTACCTTTAAAATATCTACAACGTTTTTAGAGTTGGTCAAGAGGATAAGAAGAAATTATCGGATTTCCAGACGAACGCGATTAAACAAAAAATGTTTGATTTCAAAAATGGCTTTGGTAGTCCTTTGTACGACGTGGATGATGACACGACCCGCTTAAAACTGGAAAGTAAGGGTGGATAAGTTAAATATTATTGCTATTTGTACTAATATATTCCATCGTCTATATAATGACCAATAATTGTTTTTATATGTAGGAGCTAAAGGATTTGCGTTGTTAAAGATTCAAGCTGGTGCGATTTTGAAAAAAAAATATCTGCAATCTTACCGTTCGTTAATCATGCATTCCCTTCAAATAGTGTTGACGCTTTTTTTCATATTACTAGCGATACTCGTAGTTAACTCTTGGCAGGGTATGAAAGATTTACCACCTCTAGTCGCCACATTAAAAGTAATTCAAATATGTAATAATATATGAATGTCACTCTCGTTTATATGGAGGTAATTGTTTTAAGGAAAATTTATATTTTAGAATTATTGGGAGCCTGTAAGTACTGTTATGCTATCTACAAACGACACCAAGATCGGTAAATTTTATGAATCATACAAAAACTCTTGCGCTCCTAACCCGGTAGAGGATTTAAGCTACCACAGTAATCGTAGTTATTTTGAAGACTTTCTTCTGTGTACTGTGAGTAATAAGCTTAAAATCATTTGGGCCATATTAAAAAGTTATTTTTTCATTTATTTTATTAAAATGGTTTTTTTTACAGGCCGTGGAAAAAATATCACCGTTTACACAAAAGTACATAGTAGGCGCGATTTTTGGTGAAGGCAGAATCACGGCGTTTTTCAACAACCAACCGTACCACGGATCGATGGTGGCTTTGAGTATGGCCAACAATGCGGTCCTTAAAAGTTACAAAGGCCAAGATTATGGAATAAAGGTGGTGAATTTCCCGTTACCCTACCAAGGAGAGGATAAGGTTAGTGGTGATTATTGCGTATAAATCAACTTTATCGGCACCCTCTCTCGTTTTTCTCCCAGCTAATCAAACTGACCGGTGGTAGTAATCTGGGTTATCAAGTGGCGTTCAACTGCGCCATTTCGCAGGCATTTGTGTGTGCCATGTATGTGTTATTCGCGGTTAAGGAACGGCACAGCGGTGCCAAACACATGCAACAGATCGCCGGCGTAAAACCTATAGCCTATTGGGGTGCCTCGCTGATTTGGGACTGGATCAGTTATACATGGGTTATTATATCCATTTTAGCGATAGTCTACTGGCACGGAGACCCGGGATACTCGGACTGGAAACAAATGAGTGAGTTATGGATAGAAATAGGAAAACAATGATTTAAGTATTTTAGTTTCTTTTAATTATTTACAATTCCTATCGTGACTAAAAACCAATTTTGTTTTATAATTATTCAGAATAAGTGTTAAGTATTCATATTGCATTTTCAGCTATAAATGTGATTTTTTTTTTGTCTCTCACAGAACTTTTGATAGCTCTATTGTTTGATTTCTCGTGGGCAACGTTGCCTTTGATGAGTCTACTATCGTTCCTGTTCAAAAATCCGTCTACCGGCTTCACGAGAATATCTATGTTTAGCGTAATGACCGGTAAGTGGAAAACAAAATAGACTGTACATTATATATATATATTAATATTTATTATTGTTTCACCTTCCGCAGGTTCAATGTGTTTCATGGTGGTGCTTATCTTGAACATGCCACCTATGTGTCTGACTGATCATTCGCGGATGATCGACAACTTGATGATATATTTCCCGCATTACGCGTTGGCAAGTGGCATAAAGAACATATACTCTTCTCATGATTATAATCAAATGTGCGATTTTAAAAAGCACCGTAAGTGACCACAGACAAATGATAATGATGGAATATTCAGACGTTTTTTTATTTTTTTGTTTTAATACGTGCTGTAGCTACTTGTTTGGGATGGGACGGTAACAACATGTCATGGAAAAGCCCTGGAATCGGAAGAAACTTGACGTATCTGTTCTGGTTGGGATTAGCGGCTGTTTTACTCTTGTTGTCCAGTGAATATCTGAAGTACTGGGGCATGAAAATGCAAGCAATTTTTTCAAAAATCTACGGTGACACGGGCAGTGTAACAGACTCCTACCAACACGATATGAACTGTTACGAATCGGACGTCGTTCACGAGAAACAAATAGTGAACAGCAATGATCCACAGAATTACTGCCTGTATCTCAAGTGAGAACAAATTGATTGGTATAAATTTTATTTTGTTTTAACTCGTCTTGTTTTTTTCCAGTAACGTCTGGAAGAAATACGGAAACAAGATGGCCGTGAAAGGATTGAATCTCGCCCTAAAATCCAACGAGTGTTTTGGTCTGTTGGGTTCGAACGGAGCTGGAAAAACGACCACGTTTAAAATGCTAACGGGAGACATCAAAAACACCTTGGGTGACATTTATGTGTGTGGCGTCAACGTTAACAACGACCGAGAAAAGGTAAGCGATGGACGTTTATTTGCTCGTGAGCCCGGACAATTTTAATTGCATGATATGCATTATATATGTTTAGATCCACGAAGTCGGTGGTTACTGTCCCCAGTTCGATGGACTTATCGAAGAGTTAACCGGCTACGAGACTTTGCATTTCTTCTGCAAACTCAGAGGCATGTCACACAAGGAAGCGTCCACAGTTCCGTTCCAATTAGCTTCGAGATTGGCGTTTACCACTCACATGAATTCGCAAGCAAAAAATTACAGGTAATGTGCCTACATTATAATAGTAATAATATGTTATTATGAATTTTCGCGATATAAAAACACACGGAAGCAAAATCATCTTATAAATAACGTATTGGTTCTCGGTACTATTCGAATTCGATTATTGTACTGTGTTCTCGCATGTGTCGAAATGATTAGTACACGAAATTGATTGGCTGTCGCTAACTGATTTAACGATTAATGCATGGAAGTTTTGTATACATTTAACAAAAGTGACATCAGAGAAAAGAACATAACTTTAAGACTAGTTGGTCACTATCTACACTAGTTGTTATCGTATTAATAGTAGTTTCTCGGTTAATAGAATTGAATAGACCGTAGTGTTTATATAGTGTTTTTAATTATTTTAATAACCAACTTTACTCGATGTGTTTGCGAAGTGGTGGAAATAAGAGGAAACTCAGCACGGCCATAGCTATGATCGGTGACCCGAGCGTACTGTTTTTGGATGAACCAACTTCTGGCCTGGACCCAGCCGCCCGGAAACATCTCTGGGATACGGTGAGCGAGGAGAGGGATCGTGGCAAATGCGTTTTCATCACATCCCATAGGTAACATCCATTACGCTTTGTTAATTTATCATAATGCTATAGTATTAAGTTTAATATGATCATTTACTTTTGGTCAACAGTCTCGAAGAATGCGAAGCTCTGTGTACTCGTCTGGCCGTGATGGTGGATGGCAGCCTTTGTTGTATAGGTTCTGTACAGCATCTGAAGAACAAATTTTCCGTCGGATATCAACTGCACATAAAATTCCATCCAGACAATTATAGGAAAGCCAAAGATTACGTGCTCAAATCGTTTGTCGGTAAGCGTGGGGTCTTATTCACTGATAATAATATAATATGTAGGTCCGACTCATTTCCGAAACATTTCTATAAAAATATATCCGTTTTCAGGCGCCAATCTGCGCGAAGAATTCGAAATCACGGCGCTGTTCCATGTTCCTAAAAAGTATCCGTGTTCGTACGCTTTTGCTCGGATGGAACAAGCCAAAAAAGAACTACTGATCGACGACTACGCGGTTTCGCAAACTAGCCTAGAACAGGTACCTATCTATAATTTAATTATAATATAATTATTAATATATTATTATATAATTCAATTTGAATTATATAATTAATTTATTATTTGAATTATATAATTCAAACACACGTGATTATATTATTATTGTATTGTGTGCAATGAAAATAATCGAGTTTTTTTTCGTAGGTGTTTTTGAGCTTTACCAAATACCGCCAACAAGTGATTTAAACCACACGACATGTATATAATACGTAAGTGTAAGATTTGTAGCTACGTTGGTTGACATCACGTGTTTCTGTACACTGTACAAAGAACCCATCACCAAAACGTCCTACGAAACCTCGTACGGACATTAATTGCTACAAAATCAAATCTCGATAGCTAAAACTGAATCCCGTGCGGCGGATAAAAAACGAGAAGAAACTAAACTTCGTTTTGTAGCATATAATGTATTATTTTTTGTACATATTCGAATATCGTTTATTATTCGTTGTAAAATTATCTCGTGTAAAATATTTTACCTGTATAAATTTCAGTTACGAAGAGCAGCATGTAACAGTTTCAGTGTTTTTTTTTGGTACCGTGCCCAATACGTTGTTTTTGTCCATGTTATTGCTAAATATTCGCCAGAACTATTCATTATTTTCTCTCTTTTTTTTTATATGGTTATTTATAATAAAAATAAATTATTCATGTAATTTCAAGTATATATAATATTATTATATAAGCCTATGTATCTTGTTAAGTGTGTTAAGCGTATAGTTATTGTTTTATAGGTTGAAAAATATACCATGTAATATAAAATATTTTATTTTTTAGTTTTTCGTTGTTTTAAAATCGTAATTGAAAGTTCAATATTATAATTATCGTTTTGTATATTACTTACCAAATGATGAGTCTGAGTAAAGCCAACTTTACAATTTTTTTTTATCAAGCGCAGATTCTTTTTTTAATTTTATAGGTACACGAACATTATGAAATAACGATGTAATAACAGTTATATACTTACATTCGATAGTTTGGTGACAAAAAAAGCACGGAGAAAAACCATAAAAGTAAAATTATTAAATATATATTATTATATCACTTTTTTCTTTTTAAAAATTTACAACTCACACATACACACACGAGTAGAATTTGATTTCATATATATATACATACACATACGGTAACATTAATAATATCGTCTAAATCGATAGTTAAGTATAATAATAATATTGTAGTTCACCAGACAACGCACTTTTTGGACGGGTTCATTGGACTGTTGGCCGGACACTTCCAGACGTCCGCGAACTCAGGGCTGTTCCTTAGCGAGCCAACTACTCGAATATTATTAGGACTGTGTTCATCCTCGATCAAAAATTCGTCGGCTACGTTGGTGCTCGGCTTATGGCACCAGACCTATTCGGAATGACAATAATATTATTATTAAGAACATATTTCAAAAATTAATTTTGACCAGTGACTTTTCGCGTAAATGTCGGAAACGTATTTAAGGAATAATGGGGACACGTCCTTTTTCTTATTAGCTGTTGCAAAAATGAGTTTTATTTGAGAAATTGCACAGCTATCGTCGATTAGTGGCGTGCGCAGGGGATGGAGGCTAAGTGTTATAAGTGTTTTATCTTTTAAATTTTAAATAAAACTACTATTTATATATTTCAGCCAAGTTACCAAGAATAGCTTGATTATTGTTAAATCAAAATAGACTTTTTTGGATCCAATTTTTAAATTATCATTGTCGAATAATGTATAAAAGAAGATTTTACGTATTATTCATGGTTATTATTTACTACATACCCTGACCTCCCCGTTAAAAATTCTAAACTAAACTCGCAACTGTCACCGCGATATAATTTCGAAAGTTCCCAATCAGACGTACTAAAAACACACCCATTCATTGATGTCACTTCATAGTGTACTAACATAACGAATACTCACATTAGCGTAAGCCAAAAAAAATAATTGATCGTTCGAGAACCCTTTTAGTCCCGGCAATTGGACGTCATTCTCATTCTGAAATATCTTGTACGCCAACCACGATTGTTTTAAACCGATATTGTCGGCCATATTTTCTGCCAGAGTCAGTGTACCGTTGAGCTGTAAAATCAACATTTTCGTTCTGAGTTAGGTTTAACACTTGAACACTCATTAATTAATTTATTATTTTAAAAATCTCTAATTTTGTCTTTTTTCTGAACTAGGAAATTCTTTGGTATCTTGATCCCTAATTGAGAGCAATATTTTTAAAATTTCGTATTATTATAACTAGATTGTCTTACGTAAAAGTTTTTGGTGAGCTTATATTGATCGTATTCTTTGATGAAACACTGGGCCCGTTTCACGTATTCTTTGATCGTTTTTTGAGACCACCACATGGTCCTCTTGCCGTTGACGTCGAAATTTTTACCTACTCAAAGGGTTAAAATATTATTGCGATACAACTCGACAAGAACAGCCACAGAAGTTTATATTATTCGGTTTTGGTGTAATTGACTTTGTATAGTAAAAAGGGGAAGACGAGAGATTGTTTTTAAATTACACTTGATTTTTTTTTCTTTTTTCATGCAATTTATGTACGTAGATGACCTATAATTTAGTTTTAGTTGAGTGAACGGTTTTACAGTGTACCTTCAATATCGAATCCGTGAGTCATTTCGTGCCCGAGAATCGAACCAATGGCCCCGTAGTTTATGACACTAAAAGTCAATTAAACAAGTATATATTTTAAATAATATGAAAGGTACACCAGTAAGACTTACTCGACTTCTTTGTAGTAAAACGGTATTTGCAAAATTCCGGCTGGTATAGCTTGCGGAACAAAAAGAAATAAAAAACGTTTGTATTTTTAAACTGTAGAATTCGTTATTTTGGCTGTACACTCACTGATGGAATTGTATATTCTGCTGTAGAATGCATTGACTTCTAACGGATCTGTAAGTGTTCTGAAAAATAATAATAATCAATCAAGATGTGGACAAGCGTAAATAGTGAAAAACACCCACGACTGGGATTTATTCGTGCCGATCGATTTGCCCATTTCCTGTAGCACAATGGCTACTTCGTAGGCCTTGATGTCCAACATGCTTTGAAGATACTCGTCTTCTCGGATTTCTATCTAAATAAGTAAATAGTATAACGCACTGCAGTATAAATTGATATCGTAAAATAAACGATCGAATTACAAATAAATCAATTCAAATTTAAAAATATTTTACAAGAATCAAAAGTTTTGACATAAAAAAAAAGGTATCTATACATAGTTTGATTTTTTAGGGAATGTTCACGTCCATTAAATCTCTTATTTTTCTCAATTTTTCGGAAATTTCGATACCTAAAATTTTCAACCTCTCAGATCTTTAACGGCCAATGAACGACATTAAGGGACATTAACTAAAGGGAAAATTTTATATTTTTAAGGAAACTTTAATATTTCGGACTTTTTACTTTTATTTTAGATAAATATACTATTGGTATAGTTATTTTTAATATTATATACTCCGAACGGCGTTCTTACATATTCGTAGAGCTTTTCCAGTTCATTAGGCGTTTCGAAAATTTTCGGATAGCCGATTTCGACTTTGATTGCGTCCACTTTCTGAGAAGTCACCTGTTGCGTAACGCGGTCCGTCCAGTCGGACTCGCTGATCATGCCTTTGAATGCCTGTTGCAATTGACTGAGCATTTTACGTACCTATACAAGTGAAGAAAAATCATTAACCGTTTATCACAACCGCGGTTGTGTACTGCAGTTCATATAAACTGCTTATTATGTACCTTTACCGAGGTTACTTTTAGATCGTCACGGACGTAAAATTCGTAGGCTATGGGCAAGTTCATGAAGTGTTTGGTCATTTCCGTGCATACATTTGGTCTTTTGGAACACGTGGTTGATTATAATTTATTTATTTATTTATTATATTATATTAAATAAATAAGTAGATATAGATAATAAACTGGAAAAATTACCGGGTTTGTTTTCGTAATGTTGGGAAAATGGATTCGATGAACGTTGTTTTCAATCTTCTCATCTCGGTGGTCGTATGTGGAATTAAAATCTCAACGATTTTCCACCAAATAAATTGTTCTAAACATATATTTGTGTATGAATATTATAAAAAACCATACAATAAAAACGCGAAATAATTCGATTAAAAAAATTAATATGCACTAACGAAATTCTTCTAGGGGAGTGTTGGTCATTCGTGATTGTAATCCCATAAAATATTCGGGATTTCGAACGAACACTACATCGTCCATGGTCAACGTACTGTTCGTTCCCTCCGTGAGGGCGTTAATAAACGATGGCCAGTCAAACTGCAGTGCAAATAATCATTTTCAGTTAAATAATATTAATGCAATAAATACAAAATAATAATCACGAAAAATTGATTTACCGTGTTTTCTTCCGAAATGTCAGATGAATTTGAAGACATGTACTCTGCTAGGTTTCGGAAAGTGAATTCCTGGGCTTCTGACGCTCTGTCAATTACTTCCTGTAAACGTTAATATCAAATGTAAATTGAAAACATAGTGCCAAACATATCAAATTCGGTATTGCTGTAATAATCTGATGTATTGTATCTTCAAACCACTATTTTTGAATTTGATCGGATTCGAAATCGTATTACTTAATTATTACTTAATAGATACTGGTTGCTATTGAGGACCAAGAGAAAATCGTGCAGTACATAAAATATTAACCTTTAAATTGGATTCCATTATGAGGATCTTGAGGGCCAACACGGACAACGACGTGACATTGGTGTTTTCATCGGGATTCAGTTCTCTGATAACCGACACCATGTATCGAACTTTGAGCAATAGTATCACGCGGCCTGGTTGATCGCTGGTTATTTTGGAAGGTGGTGGCCACTGCTTGTGACCATAGTCAACCAGCATTGAGTCTGGAAGTGGTGATGAAGAACCGGAAGCTGGTCCAAACTGCCACCGTAGAGGAAAAAAGGAAACAAAAAATAACATGTACGGATCATGGTATATAAATACAATGTAGTTAAAATTACGTAAAGAACAGTCCTGCTAGAGGTTGGATCTAATTCCAAAGACAACTGCATCAAGATATCGGCGCTCAGGTACCGTTGAGCCAGTGCCAACGTCCTCGCCAAGTTGAAGACAGTGCCGTTAGTGTACGCGGCCGTTGTAAAGTCCGGAAACGTCCGCGGAAGTCCCACCTTTTCGAGTACCTTGTATACTGGACCGTACCCGACTTCGTTCAGTACGTCTGTGGGATGGCACAATGAGAAAACATGGGAATGCGGGTAGGGTAAAACTCTGAGACCCATAGGTCTGATCATATGGCATGATATTGAAATATTTTTATGATACTTATCGTAAACAAAGTTTTTTTCTCAGAAGAATTATATTGTAATTATATTTATAATTATATTATAATTTTTATTTTATTTTAAACCAATTTTGAAAACATTAAATCTGTTATCGTAAGGTAAATGCAGTAAAAATAAATCATACAATTGTTGGCTTTTTTATTTCATAGAGTTATAATCATCACTTATACCTTTTGTGACTTTATTTTTCTTTTTTTATGGAAGGGGCAAAAGGAATGCGTTCTAAATCGGTAACTATTAGATTGCAATTTATTATTTTATTTTACCTGTATTCAGACACGTTCGATAAAGTCGCCTCGCTTGTTTCACCACGTTCAGATCGTTTTTACGATCTAAATCTCCCAATATCCCTGGGAAAAAATAAAATAAAAATAAAAACATATAATACTTCACTGTTATATGTAAAGGTACTTTCATCGTGGAAAATATCTCAAATAAGTCTAAAATTGTATAAAACTCTGGCCTCCATAACTATTTTATATTAGTTTAATAAAAAATGAAATATCTCTCTGCTGCTCCATATTAAAAAATATTCATTGATTTCCGATGTTATATTGCAATAATATTGACAATGAAGATAGTTTACTACAATATGTGTCTAGTTGTTAAAATATCACAAATCGCATATTTACTATAATTTTATGCTAGTTTAAGTTTTTTTACGTTTGTAGAAAATGTATTATTCGATTTCGAGTGGAGTGAATAAGAAGCTATTAATTTTACTAAGATGTGTTTTCATTTTATTTTTTGGTAAACATACTTCGGAAACTTAAAAAAACTGATAATAAATGTTAATACACATGTTTTATTTCTGTTGACTCTAAGGTTACAAGGAAAAAAGACGACTAACACGCTACTAGTATAAGTATACTACTTCGCTCAGAATCGTATTTTAATTACAATCGTTCGTGGATTTCAGTATATTTAATATTATTATCTTAAATTTCTTTCAAACTTGGTACTTATTTTTTGATTGGCCTTATTTTCACAGAGTTCAAACACTCTGTATTTTTTACTTTTAACACGTGCCTTATCGACGATGACCGTTTCGTTTTGAAACCCCGAATTTCTCAGCTACGCCCATTTACGCCAGGTACCTCAAATTATACTCGGACTTATCGTAAATTATTATTACTATTATTGAGCGTAACAATATACGCGTGTGTGTGTACTCACTGGTCATTACCATTGAAATGTACCGTGACCTCTCGACAAACCAAGAATTGGCCTGGTCCGATTCCGAGAGATAGTGGTTTTGCCAGTTGCCACACGCAAAGTCGAAAAAATTGTCGCAAGGGTCAACAGCCGTGTTCATCGATTGCATAATGGTAGCGGCTGCGAGTGGGTATGGGAAGTGCATATATATATATATATAAAAAAAAATCCATCAAAAAAGCGAAAAAAATAAAATAAAATAAAACTATAGACGAAATAATATTATAGGCATTAGGTCTCGTATAATTATTATTATCGTATCATCTATTTTACGACACTAACCTGATATTAAACATTCGTCGCTGTGACACGTGCTTTTGGACAATATTACACCTGGAAAACACGAATATTTCTTACTGTTGGCATTGCTTCGAAATAGCGAGAACATATTTTATTAAACTAATTTTTAATATGTTTTATGGCTGTCGCATTCTTTATAAATATGCAAAGGGTAATTTTATTTTGTACTCAGAATAAAATATATTAGAATATTTTTAGAATATACATAGCCTTACAGATAAACATTAAATTATCTATAACAATGGCTGCATCCATCCCCGTTATCCAAGTACAGCGTATTTTGTTGTACTTCAGTTAAAAATATTCGTAGAAACGTTAAATTTTTACGAAAACATATATTTGCCTTTTCTAAAGTGGTATAATTTTCAAAATATTTTGGCTATTTATAAAAACATTATGCTTGTGAGTGTTTTACATAATTTTTATTTTGTAGGTACCAGATGGACATAATTGTATGACCGATTTGAAATGCTTGAAAAATTAACAGGCTCAACAGCAGACAAAAAAAAATTGATGTTGCTGATGGGTGCGCCACTGTTGTAGATGGTAAGTTTGAATGTTAGGATACATAAAATTATTTAATTTATAATAGTAAGCAACAATGAGCCAATTCTAACAAAATAGAATCCTGAGCGAAGTCAATTTTTATACGATTTGAAAGACCATAATATTTACGATTTACTTCAAAATTTGTTCTTAAAATAATTTTAAAAAAGATGTCGTGGATAATGAAAACTAGTGCATCTACTGTCATAGATAATTTAATGTTTATCTGTAAGCAACGATAGACCTTTACTTACGAAAAATGATTCTGAGCGAAGTCCAATTGATAGTGATGCTTTGTTAATAATATATATGTCATATTATAGTAAAATAATTAAATATAGGCTTTATTTATTTTCTTTAATAATATTTATTTAATGTTGTACAGATTTTCCAAGTTTTTTTACGTTTTTCCCATGTTTTATCCCGGTTTTCACATTTGCTGGGAAAATTTCTGATAAAATCCAAAAATGAGCTTTTTAAAGTACCTCCCTAGTGAAATTTCCTTTTAGAAACTATACTATCATTATTAGTTAGAGCAAAAGTGCCGGTTGAAAAGTTGTGCACAGGAAAAAAAAAATCGTAATATTTTAGTAATATATTTCGTACATTTCCTCCATTTTTTTTTCGGTTTTTCACACTTGATGCAAAAAACACCTAAGAATATCGTAAAATGACATCCTTAAAGTACTTTTCTACACCAATTTCCTTTCAGAAAAAGAGCTAGACTTAAAAGTCCGAGCAAGTCTTCTGGTAGAAAAGTTGCGTACAGATAAAAAAAAAAAATAATAAACATCTTTGAAAAACCATAAGCTTCTTCACTCAGAAATAATAATTAAATAACAGTATAAACTTTTTTAAAAACTTATAATGCACCTCTTGTTAAATATTAAAGCATTTTTATTTAGTAAAACAATGATAATCACGTATCCCCTTAGAAATTCCATGGAAAATCAAAAAGTAACTTCCCCAATGCAGCAGCTAGATCTAAAATTTAACAAAAAATGTCTTGTCAATTTTCAAAAGTTACTCAAAGGCACAAAAAAATTTAAAAAACCACATATTATAGTAAAACCTAAAACGCTCTGAATTTATATAATGCAGTAATTTTTTTTTATAATGGTATCAAGATCAAATTTTGAAGAAAAATGTAACTACTATGGACTTTCAAACCATGTATAAAAACTTTGCCCATAATCGTTTTTCATTATCAATGATTTATCGTTACTCAAAAAATAAATTAAATAAGAATAACTTAATGTAGACCATCTTCTCAACTTCCTGCCTACAATTGTGGTGTATCCATCAGCTATTTTTTTTTAAAATTTTTTTTGTATGTGTGGAGCCTTTTATTATTAAATCTTTAATTAAGCATTTAATGCACAAAATTAAAATTAAATATTATGTACATTTATTATTTTTGTTATAATTTATGGATTTAAAAACTACGTTATAACTATAAAATTTTTATCTTTCACTTCAAAATCGTTGCTTTACAACACAAATATTGTTTTACAAATATATGCTTTATTTACACTCACCATTTCGGAATTTGGTTATCATGAGAACGAAACACACAAAACTGAGAACGCCGATGCCGAAAATCAGCCATTTCTCCAAAACGCTCCTGCCATTCAATAACTCTTGTAGTTTTCTATATAAAAAAAAAATAAAGCAAAACAAAACTAAAAATTTAAAAACATTAATTTTTTTTAATAATTCAATACAATGTTATTGTATATGTATAATTTTCTGATTATCTGCACTTACATTTTCCCCATAGACAGTTCCCCTATATTATTTGGCTCAGCGCGATGGAGAATATTTATCATAATGATGCACACCATATATTTAAGCATCTATTCCCCCTCCCTTCATAAAGTACCTCCTCTGTAATTTCCATTTGTTTTGTTACCCTTAAAGCAATTAACAAGGAAATCAAATAAGTACGTACTTATATATATGGTCAAACTCATGGTCAAGGGTTAGCAATGCCCCAGCCCAATTATTCTTCAAACCTCTTTATAAGTGCCATGCGCCTATAGAGATGTAAACAAATTGCTTGTCAAATTCTATTGACGGTTTTATGCAAATGGTTTGTCAATGGTCTGTCATTGGTTTTTCCACGCCATTGGCTTCTCGTTAAATGACATAATATACTTGATATTTTTTTTTTTAACTGAGATCGAAAAATCATATTTTGTAATTATTTGTTATCAATTTTAGAAATTCAAATCTCAGACAATTTTTGAGATGGAAAAAAATTTCCCTATTCAATTCAGTGACGGATATATACGAGTTCCGAGGGAGGGAGATTTTCAAATCCACAGAAGTAATGGGATTCATCTCCTTCAGTATTTATTTCAAACCTTCATCGCTAAGGGGAAAGTATCGTACATTTCCAAGGAGATATGTATGTAGGAATTTTTACACCCGGGGAAAAAATTAAGAAATTACGCTCAATATTGTCTTTTATTATAGTTAGTGAAAATACAGTTATTTATATAACACAATATTTTTATGTTTATAAAGTAAATCCAAATGCAACTAGATAAAACACAATACTGATTATTATTACCTGTACTTCCGGGACGTAACGGAAATGAAACCGTCAGGCTGCTGCTGGTCCGGTCGGTCCGATGCCATGCGACGCACGACTTCCGGTCCGGCCACGAACTGTGGTGGCTGCAGAAAACGGTCTCCTCGGTCTTCTCCTCCCTCTTCAGGCACTTGGACAATGGCCACGGAGTTACTATGATAATAATCGCGCGGATTACGATCTACATCGGACCAGCCATCAATAAAAGACTCGTCCGGCGCGACGTCCGGTCGTTTTTTTCGCAAAGCATTTTTCAGTAGAAACATCGCGAAAACGCGGTCTTTAACCGGTTTCCGGCCGAGAACGACAATAATAATATACTCGTATACAAAACCCGATGGACGCCATCGTTTTTATGACAAAAATTCGCTTTTATAGCCCCGAAAATCTTACATGTACGATGAAATACATAAAAAATAAAAAATAATTTTCTGCGGAAGCAATCCCTTCGCAACAAAACGATATTGACGGCGTCAATCGTCACCGCACGAGTGTAGCTTTGTACTAATAATTTTATATTATTATAAACTACCCCCGAGCGGCCGGACATTGCATGACACGTACGCCTCGCCTCTCTACCCCCCGTTCCAAAAAAAAAAAAAAAAAGGAAAAATGATTACCGAAAAACGATTATTATTATACCCTCGCTCGCCGTCGCACCGTCCGAGCGTATGTTTCAACCGCATAAGCTAAAATCTTTTTTCCAACAAAATTGTATGCAAACCATGCTATATACGTCCAGCGGAAGTTTTACCTATTTTTGGGTTTTTTTTTTTTTGTAATACAATTTATATTTTCGTTTGGGTGAAATAAATTTCATGAAAAAAATATTAGATTTTAAAATATTTTTGTGTGACTGCGGTCTAAATATTCTGTGTTTAAGCGAGTTTGAAAGACTAAGTGGAAATCAAGTCTAATTTGCAATATTTACGATCTTCAAATGAAAAACCTTCCCAAAAGAAAATATTAATGGCAATTATGGACAGCAACAAAAATCGAATTCATATTAACAACCAATGCAAATAAAGAGGGACGAATTTGAATGTGTAAATCACCTTATAGGTATATGATATGAAGACAAATTAATAGAGAGAGATACTGTAAAGTTATTATGGAATTACGGGATGAAATGAGTTTTACATTAGTTACCAGATATATAGGTTGCCTCACGAAGAAACCTATTGCGAAATCTCGGAAAATATTACATTTTAAAAAACGAGCAGTTTTAAAGTGTTACATTATTTTCATCCGTATTTTGAGAGGAAAAACGAAAAATTTTGATTTTCAAATGGCAATCTGTATTGTTAATTCCATAAATAGATGGTGTATTAGTTTAAATACATTTTCGATATCCGTCAATCTGTTGACAAGACAATATTTTACTTTTAGGTTTGAATTCAAACACCGTGCACCATGCAACCACACAAATGATGTTCTATGATGCATGAAAAAGAAAGGTCTGCTGAAAAGAGTATGACTTGTACGTTTCTAACTAACTAAAAATCCAGTTAGATGCCGCAACAGAAAGTTTTTCTATCCTAATGGCATTTTTTATTCTTGAAATCGACCAACATCACGACCTTCAATTAGTCCGATCGATGTAGCAGAAAAAGTAAGAATTAGACCGATCAGGCTACTCTTTCATATAATTTCAGTCCTTATTTCCAAAAATATTATGTGACAATTTATGTGTATATAGGAATATAATTGAAGAGAAAAAGTGGCCTAAATGATTTTGCGTACACTTCACGCTGAATTCAAAGAATTTATTCAGAATTCTTATCACTACGTCGATTGCAATCCATGGACTGAGTGATTGAAGCCAAATTGTAAGTTTAAAAATATAATTGTTATGTTGCAACGTGTAGGTACGAGCTAAACAAAGAAAGAAAATGTCTATATCTTACCCTATGTAGAGCAGTGGTCTCGAACTAAAATAACCAACGGCCTATATACGAGTATACGTCAAAGATTTTTAATACTAAATCCAAAAAATCTGAAATAACAGAATTTATTACTTTGTTTCTATTAATTTAAATTATAAATTAAATTAAAATTATTATATTATTATAGGTAATAAAAGTGTTAAAAAAAATTACATACAGTGTATCCCACCATGTTCGAGGGATTTTTCTAGCGCTGTTAATATTCAATTTTTTAAAAATTTTTTTTCCATTGGTTTATCTTCGAGGGGAATATCGATTTGGAGAAAAATTAAAAATTAATTTTTTTTTTGTGTTTAGGAGATGAAAACAATTTTTTTTCTTCAAACAGATGTCCCCCTCAAATACAAACTGATAGAAAAAAAAAAAAATTGAAAAAAATTTAATATTAAAAGCGCTAGAAAAATCCGTCGAACATAAATATTATATATCTAAATATACTCGTATATTTGTATTTTTGTTTAAACCACACTCATAGACTGAGTACTCACTGATTATAAATCGCCTAAAATCAAATCAAATATAACTTATCTTTATAGATTATAATTACTGCGTCATGATTATCATGATCTAATCTAATTCTTATCGGTAATTCTTCCGAAAAGTTGTTATAAAAAATATTATTATTATTGATTTTTAATATTCACATAAGAGCTTCATAAAAAAAAATTATTTATGAAATCAATTTTTGTTGCAGGCCACATCGAAATGGTTCATGGGTCGCATGTGAACCTGTTTGAGACCACTGTCCTAGAGGTTAATAATATTGTCAATACTTATACCGATTAATAAAATACCGAACATAAATTTTTATAACGGTATGTAATTATGATTTTTTTTTTTTTTATATAAAATTGATTAGTTAGTAATGATCATAGAATCTCTACCATAAACTAGGTTGGTATGTTATTCCGTTAGATTGGGCCAAAACGGATTTGTTTAAATTTATAGACCACATAAAATTTATAAATATCCATTAACTATACAATGCGTCACTTCCACAATTGACGTTTCTAACGAAAAAAAAAAAAAAATTAAAAAGAACTTACCGAAAATCTGGTGGCACAGCCGATGGAGCGGTTCACGTGGGGGTCATCGTGGCGTACCGTGTTACGATCACCACAACTGCTTTGGATAAGGGCGACGGGTCTTCGGAACCGCTGCTCCGGACCCGACTGAACCGCACGGGACTGGCGGGTCCCATACACGGCGGTGATGGTTCGGGACTCAGTCCCTAACCGTTTGTATAGCTATAAAACCTAATCTGAAAAATGATAAGGTAAAATATTGTTATCATTTTTAAAAGAAACTGTTCGGAATAACGACGTATAGGTACTTAATTATTAATGCCATGTATCGACGTAACACGACCGCGAGGGCATGGCAACATATATGACACGTAATATTTTAAGCTTTGCGTACGGTATTTTCGTTCGTTATTGAATATTAAAAAAAAAAAAAAAAAAAAAACGAATTTTTCCAATAGGTCGGTGTACCGACCCCCCAGCCACGACAATGGTACCCGATTTAATCGTGTCCCTGTACATAATAATACAATATAATATAATAATAATTGACATCGAACGTCACCCCATATGTAAATAAATGGTCTGCAAGTTTATCGATTTTTTTCCCTTTCAGTTTTGCCGACCAGTTTAGCTAAAATGTTGTAACATTTAATCTTGATATTTGAATCCTGAGGAATGCATTGGATGGAGTTTCAAATAAAATCATCACTAGTGAAAAACGTTTCTGAGTGAAGTTCGGTTCAACAATTTTCAAAAATTGTATCCATATAAAACCAAATAAAAACTAAAAGAACTCAAAAATTTTAAATGGTTTCAAGTAACTTAAATCTTACTTTTATCTTAGTGAGCTTTAACAAAAAAAAAAAAAAAAATTAAATTAACAAAAACCGTTATGGTTTTTTCTCCGGGGTTTTCACATCGTTAAAAAACTTACAAAAAAGTCAAAAAATGATATTCCCAATGATAATTCCCATAAGACTACCAATATTTGATAGGATCCACAAAACGTAGTAAAATCAATGTATCATACATATATACATTATATTATATACAATCAATATTCTGTTTGCTCAGAATATAACAATTTAAGCAATTTCTATTACCAAACATTTTCATTTGCATGTTTTTTTTACCTAAGTGTTAAAAAAAAAACCAAAACACAAGTTTTAATATGTGATGTGTATCATACATGAATTATGGTCTAGTTGGCTATGCGATGGGTATGTATTTTGACCATTCTATTTCAATCTGTGTACTGATATTTTCTTTGTTTTTCGTAATTATGACCTCTGTATATCCATCATTCGATCCCGTATGAATAAACCTATAGTCGCCGGTTCAATAGTCTCCTGCGTTTGTAAAATTGGAATACGTACCTATTTGCCTGAGACCAAAAATTCTTTAGTTGATGCATTTTTGTAAATTTTCTAGGAAATATCTTGACGAAGGGCGATTATTTCCATTAGTATTGTAAAGTAACAATAACTGCTAGGAGTATTTTATTAAGGAAGGGAGCAATTAATTAAAATTTTTGTTTTTGATAAGAAAATTGTATCACTTTGTGAATATAAATTATCAAATGTTGATTATGGGAGGCTGTTTAAATTCTATGAACGCTCCTCTTTTTATCACGTCCTAGGAGCAAGTTAGATATATTTTTATACCCAATGCAATGGAATGAGTTATCCTAACATCCCCAACCGTATCGAATAGATTAATAAACTGTAAACATTGTAAGCTTTCCTCCATTTCCTTGTTTCCTGAGCGAAGCTCCTTGAGTCAAAAGCTCTAAAGAACTGCAATGAACCATAGTCTGGGATGCTACCAGTTAATTATATAAATAAATAATTAATTAATTCAGAAATTAAATACATTTATTTTTGGCCAAGTAAACTAAATTTGAATTAATTTTAGTTCAAATAATTTATATATAAAAAAAAAAAAAAATATACATAACATTAATTTCTATTTTATTTGAACTAATTATTATTGAATTAATTGTCCACATTATACTATTTAATTAGATTTTAGATCACACATTGTTAACAGTTTTTTTCGTATTTTTTTTTCACTCAGCGTTTTCTGACGAAGTGTTTTTGTTGTATTCAAATAACAGCAATAATTATAATTGCTTGAAAATAAAATAGGATTGATTAAAATGTAAAAAAATACTGCAAACTCATAATTTTATATATGTATTTATTTTACATGAAAAACTATAATATAGGGGAAAAAGCTCCATTATAAGTAAGACATAATATATATTATGTAGAATAATAAATAATAAGTAAATTGGTCTTTGGCACATTGAAAATTATCTTACACAAATATTATAATATTTCGTATCTAAATCTACTCAAGACGACATAATAATTATTATTTTTTAAGTCTTTTTTATAGGTACACATTCTTATATTTAAAACAAAAAAAATTATTCTAAAACTGTTTTTTTAACTTTTGAAAACAATAGGTAATCATATTATATAGTTTTTTTTTTTTAATCTAAGACTGCGACGCGCTACGGTTGAAATAATAATCACTAAAAAAAAAATAATAATAACTATGGATTATGAAATGTTATATGTAATAAAATATGAGATGAATATATGAACAGTGTCTCGTTATTTTTCATCGCGTATTAAAAAATATGTCAAAAAAATGACGTAATTACAAAATCAAAAATAATTACAAAATTCGGTTCTATTGAATTACTTATTTTAATATACTCGTTTTAAATGATTTATTGATTTTTAAACATAATAAATCGTAATAAAAGTAATAATATATTATATTTATGACTATCGTTTTGGATATTAAAATATATGAACACATACGATTGACTTACATGACATAATTTTTTTAAATTTATGTATAAATAATATTATAATAAACTTAATATTAACGACTATATGGTAAACGTACATGTATATAATATTATGTCAGGTTGGTATATGTATATTCGTTTGCTCAACGCAATTCTTCTATATTAGTTTTTTTCCAGCATCCGTTCGGCAGCGTCCGGTTTATCACTTCAATATTAACGACGTCGTTCGACAATGCAGCAATGTCATCATTGTATGTCTGGATCAACTGAGCCTATTAGGGTGGAACAAAAAGAAATTTTTCCCACTTATTATTTATTTTATTACAAATTAATAAATAGGCAGTATAAACCAGTAAGTACGTATGGATTAGGGTAGTGCATGAAGTTCAACCTGTTTTATTAGTATTTAAATAAATGTATGGGTGATGTTTAAAATTAAATTTTAAAAATATTGCTGGGACACCTTACCAATTGGATCTACGTGTTATTTGAGAGCCTCACACAAAATTTAAAATCCACTCATTAAGTATTAAAAGTAACCATCTGCACCTGATAAATGTATAATATCTTATACTATAAATTTAACACTTACTATATAATATTATCAGTTAGTAGCCACCTTTAAAACTCAATGAATTGATCTTAAATTTTATCTGAGGCTCTTAATCTCCATGTAGAAAAAATTAGCCATGAGATGCCCCAACAATTTTTTTAAAGTTAAATTTTAAGCTCTACACCAACATTAAATCAATAGAACTAATTTCTACCCATCTCAAATTTTGACAGAGAAAAAAAGTAGGTTGAATTTGACATAATACATATAGTATTGCGGAATGAGAGCTATAGAAAGTTGGATGAAAAGAAACAACATAAGTATTTAAAGATCACTTTGAGTGAACCTTTAAAATTCACTAATGCAAAAAGAAGGAACTATTTACAAGGTTAAGAAAAAGTGATTCATATGACCACGTTCATCTAATGGCTAGAGAATACAGTTTCGAAATTACATTAAAATTTAAATTATTAAAATAGATATGAGCCGTAAATGACTTAATTTGATAGAGTTTACGACGTATATTATACCCTAAAAATAAATGTCCTGAATTTGAATCTCAAATAAACAGAAACGCTATTAATATAGCGCTGTCATACTGGCCGTGAACTCACTTGAGAAATTCTGGCACTGTTAATAGCCGCTAATTTATCATCTAACTTAGCGTTGATTAGTTCTTGTTCGGCCATTTCAAGCCGGGTGTTGAGTTGATTCAACGTATCGCTGTCTGTAAAAAAAAAAAAAAAAAAACAAATTATTTACAGTGATAAAATAACAGAAATTATTTACCCTATTCTAAGGTAATAAAGCATATAATAGTAAAATATCTATACGCATGTATTATTTTACTAGATAAAAAAAAAATTTTTAGTTAAAAAGTGAAATTTCAAGTTAATTTGATATTTTATTTTATTTGAATATTTTAATTTGATATCAAACAAATAATAGATTAATAATACACTTACCGACATCCACTAGATTTGACAATTCTTTTATTATCACATTGACATCTTCCAATGCTTTATCTACAACTTTTTTAGCTTCAGATGCTGATGTTTTCGATTGACCTATTTTCGTTTTTGCCTAGAATATACGAAATAAAAAAAAAACATTAGTATAATTGTATTTTGAAATAAAATATTTTAAATTTTAATAATAATATTATTATTTTATAATAATCTGTTGATAAAATAATAATAATAACAACGCATATTGCTTTAAAATGTAAAATTATTTTTTGTTTACTTCGTTGATGCTTCCTTGGTCTTGTTCGAATTGAGTTTCAGCCGTTTTCAGACGCTCTGCAGTAAACCCAATACGTTTTTCCAGACCGTTACTTTCGTCGGATAACTTGGTGACTTCATTTACCAATTCATCGGTAGACTTTTTTATTTTATTTGCTTCCTGTTTTTAAATAAATACAATTGTCAAAAATCAAATATTAATAATAACTATTCAAAAAAACGGTTTAAATTTAATGCAGCGTTTAATATTACGTCTGCTGCTTGTTCAACGTAAGTTTTTTGAGCCTTTTGGGCAGTGTCCCTGGCATTTATGGCACTCGATTCAGCCCCGGCTAACGCTTGTTGGGCCCGAGTGGTCTTATCGCTGGCCTCTTCAATTAACTGTTTGATTTGAGGAATTTGTTTTAAAGCTTCGTTAGCATTCGTTTTGCTATCTTGTACTTGTTTATCAAAAGCTAAAATAAATATAAAAATTGAATTAATGTTAAACAAGTGTAAACTATTAAATTATATTTATTCTCACCTTTCAATGTGCTCAACGTTTGTTGAGCTTCTTCTAAAATTCTAACGCCTAATTTTACCGCTTGGTCTGCTTTTTCGTATGATGCGTTTGCTTGAGCCAAGAAATATTCTCTGGTTTTCTGTTGCTTCTCGCTTTGTTGCAATGTAACTTCTGCTTGTTGCAATTCCCCACCGACTTCGTTCAGAAGATTTTGAAGGTTTTTATTACTATTTTGTAAATTTAAATCATTTTTTATTTGTTGAGCCTAAAAATATTATCACAACATTATGGTTTTTCACATTCAAATAATAAAAAAATATTGATTTCTTACATCTGCGTTTAAATTTGATATATTCTGTTTTAATAACGTGACATTAATATCTGGCAGATTTATTGCATAAATATCACGATATATAGACAATGAATCATTACTGATCATAGACACCATTTCTTGAGTTTCGTTTGCTCGTTCAATAACGGCACCCAATTTATCCTTCACATAATTTAATTCGGTGTCCAAAGTTTTCAACTCATCACTAAATCCACCAAAATACACAATAAATAGTCTTATATAGAATTTTATTACTTAGTACTGTACAATTATTATTTTGCATTATTACCTAATATTTTTCTGTTGATTTACAGCAAGTCTGGTAATCTCATAAGCTTCAGTGGATATGTTGATAGCTTTCTCTGCGGTGGCTTTCATTTTTTCTATTTCTGCCTCTTTTCTAAAATTATATTATAAATAATTGTATATATGAAATAACTATGTAACTTATTGTGCTGTATACATTTATATAAACAAAATACATACACATCTATATATTGTCTTGCTTCTCGAGCAATCTCAGACATTTGGTCACTTTGTTGACCAAGTTCATCGCTCTTTGATATCGCTTTGGCAAGCGCAGTGGCCCCTTCGGTTTGAATGTAGTCCATGGCTCTTTTCAACGTATTAGTCGTTTCTTCGTTCATTTTTTCTATATTTATTATGTTTTTCTCGGCCTGTATAGAATTTTCTTCCGCTGTAGCCGTCCAGTTGCTGGTTTGTGCCATAAGTTCTTGTATTTCTTTTATTTGACTTTGGAGGGATTGCAATTTGTCACTCGTTGGAGTATTGCTTACTACACAAAAAACCATTCATTAACCGTACACATTCATATTATACACAATTATTTATTGAGATATAAATTAATTAATAAAATATTAAATACACAGATATATATATATTTTTATACCTACCACCAGTAGTTAATTTGGCGTTGTTTTCCAACTCGTTTACGGATACCTGTACTTCTTTCAGTTTTTGTTCAAAGTCTTCGTCGTTAATAACAGTCGGATTGTTGTTAATATCTTTCAATACTTTCTCCAATTTTCTCAAATTTTCCCGGTGCGTAGTGACGGCATCTTGTACCAAGTTATAACAAGCTGGACAATCTATACAACCTCTTTGCCGGTCGTATTTATTTTCCTTACACTGGTCACAACGTCTTCCCTCCACGTTTTCCAAACACTGCAGAGTAACAAAAATATCTTTTTTAGATTATGAGCTGAGGTTTACAATTTTACAATGATGATTATTTATTTATTTTTTTTCTGTGAACAATTTTTCTACTACCAATTTTACTCTAATTTTCAAGTGAACCACCTTTTCTGAAAGGACATTTTTGTAGGGTGGTACTTTAAGAAAGTATTTTTTTGATTTTTGAGGGAGTTTTGTAAGAAATGGGAAAAACGGAGAAAAGTTACGAAATGATTAATGTACATTGAATATATTATTTTTAAATCGTAAATATTAGAGCATTTCAAAAAATTTATAACCGAACCCCACTCAGAATTATTTTTTGTTAGCGATGATTAATCTTTGCCTCCCCTCTAAAATTTCCTCTCTACCTCCCCAACTTCTCACCTACAATAGTGGTCCACCCATCGTGCGAAGTATGTCCGTTTGTTTTTAAAAACGTTATCAACAAAATTAATATTTATTAAATTATATTGTTCCATTTATAAATAATTAAACTGTATATGGCGAATTATGATTTTTAACTTACTGGACATTGTCCACTCGCATCGCACTGTAAGGACACGGAACCCACCGAATCGCAGGCACACGGTTTACATCCCTCGACTGAGAATCCGTAGTGGAACGGCTCACAAGCATCACATTTCTTACCAGTTATTCCCGGACGACAAACACATTGGCCGGTATTTGTATTACAAGTGTTGTTAACTGAACCCACAACATCGCAATCGCAAGATTGACAACCCTAAAAAAAATGTACACTTATGGTCAGACATCGTTGTTACCAAATATTTTACCACGGTTTTTAGGACTTACATCGCCGCTAGCTATATTAAAGTATCCGACTTCGCATTGATCGCAGTTTACTCCGGTTATGAATGGTTTACACTGACACTGCCCGGTTATCTGGTCACAAGCCAAAGGACCAAGACTCGTTTCGGTGGTTCCGAGGTGATAACAATCGCAAGGTTTACAATCTCCTTTTTCGGGATTCAGAGCATCTCCAAAATATCCTACGGATATCGGTATAATAAGAATATTAATATTTTAAAATTCATTACACAAATTATATATATGAATGTCTTTGTACCCGGTAAACATTGATCGCATTGAAATCCTCCTGTGTTATAGATACATTTGAGACATTCGCCGGTAGTGCGGTTGCAATTTCCAATTGCGTTCGGGTCGACGTTCGAAGTACAATCACATGGTTTACAAATACTAGTCGGTCCGTACTTTCCGGTTGGATCGCCAAAGTAACCATCACTACAAATGTCACATTTTGGACCTGTAAAAATGCTCAAATCGTAAATAAATCCTAGCGGAAAACATAATTTGTCTATAATTTACCTCCGTATCCTTTAGGACATTCCAAACAAATGACCGTGTCTTCACCGATCAAAACACAACTACCTTGGTTGGGACATGGACATAATTTACAATCAAGAGCAGTCCCTTGTAAAGCGTTACCATAGTATCCTTTCGCACATCTGTCACAATTTTCACCCGCAGTGTTATGTTGACAGATACATCGACCTGAATAAATAATCGTGCGAATTATTATTTTACAAATCACATAAATAATTATAATATCTATAATTAATTACAATATTGTACTAGTTGATGCCTGTAAAATTTACATTTTACGTATATAATAAGCAATAACGCTATAAAAAGTAACCAACCACTATTCTAGAAACAACGATTCTAAAGGAGCTCAGTTATTTCTGGGTCGGATTATTGATATAAGTAATTTCACTATTATTAATAAGATAATTAAAAAGAATTTCAACGAAATAGTTTAATAATTTTGTATTTGATATTATGTAGGACCGAAATTCCTCAATTTTTTTTTAAAGGTTTCTCGTGAAAAAATCGGAACATTTATTAAAAAGAAAACTCAAACAATTTCAATATAATTACCCGATTCTGCATCACAAATGGAAGCGTGCCCGTGACAGTTACACGGAATACACGGTGAGAAAGGACCTCCACTACTGGACTCGTGGCGAGAACCGGGAGCGCACGATTCACAAAATTGACCGATGTATCCTTCGGGACACGTGCACAGTTCGACCCAATTGGCTGGTAGTCCGGGAGCACCGCGTCGAGCCGTTTGAAGCGAGAAATCGTCCAAGAACCCGACACCTTTCAAGTAGTCATAATATATATATATATTATTTGGTACACATCGTTGCGTTAAGTTTTAAAACGTATAAACACGCGTACCTCTATCGGTGTACGTTCCTCTTATTTTGATCGCCGTCAAATTGGACAAGACACTGAAGAAATCACGCGACGACAATCTGGGCTGCCACCCGTAATCCGGATTCTCGTGTAGACGGAATTTATATGTTTTCGGCTATTATACGGTATTGAAGTTTCAAACGATTATTGAAAATAAATAAATAATACAAACTATTTTCAGTAATATTGTTAACAGCGATAAATATAATACATTATCCTTACCGTGTCAGAAGGCAATACGTTTCCTTGTCCGAATATCGCTTGAGTGATCCGGATACCGGACCCGCTTTCCAGAATAACGTCGTTGATAGTCGGTTCCGGACTGTTTTCGCCGATGCTTAGTTTAAACGTCAAGTCGTGATTGTAACTGGACCGTTGGTCTCCGAGGAATTTGTCTACGGTTTTCGCGAAAATATATAACATTATAGGTCGCGAATCGAGATAATATTTTAAACAATATTGTACGCAAATTCGTATATTTTTAAAAATTACCCGGCGCTAAAAAGTACACGGCGTCCTTGGATTGCGAAGAAATCTCCAATGATTGTTTGAACGGACTGTGTACTGGTAACACCATCCTGCCGTATTGGTCGGAACCGTTCCAACGCTCGTTACCCCGGGCGAATACGCTCTCGACCGATACTGAAAACAAAATTGCATACGGGTATAAAAATTATTGTATAATATCGTTATTATAGAATATGAAAACGACATAAAACTTAGGTATCTGTTCTGTTCGATATAATATTTTGATAACTATACCCGATATTAATATTTACGTACCTCTCGAATAACCCGGTGCGGACTGGCATACCGAAGAATGTCCGTAACAGAAACACGGTGTACAACCGTATTCATTGTCTTCGTTCAAGTTGAAGAAACCAGGTTTACATCTATGTAATAAAATAATATAACAATTTATAAGATGAAAAAAAAAAAGTAGATATTACATGCGTATTATAATAATAATATATGAAATTCTGTTACATTGTTTTATTGTTTACCATAGTATACTTAGTCGATAAAGAAAATGAGATTTTTCGAAATATTTATACATTTTTTTTATTGTTTCTTATAACCCGAATATATTAGCTAGTTTTATGTTTTATGACGTACAATTTAATTTATTTGTGTATTTATTATGGGAAGATTTGGATATTTTTAAGTTATTGAGTACATTTGAATTTTATATTTTTGGAAAAAAAATAAGACCTGTTTAGTGTCTATTATAATAGATTTAGAGCCTATTAATAATATGCCCTGGAAGATGTTGTTAGATCGAATGGAATGGAAAAAATACGCTGCGAAGAACAGTATTAATATTATGGGAATGAAAATTAATCGCATCGTAAAATTGTATCTAACGAAAAATATGTACTTAATAAAAATATTAAAGACTATAGTGTCTAAAATAGCATTGAATATTCCATAGACAGATAGTATATGTTATGGGGATATTTAGCTTTATCCCACCAGTGGAATTGTCATTGGTTTTCGTGCAAATGATTATAGCGCTTCATAGCGACCGCACTCTACGGGAGGTAGCCAAATACCAATATTGTATTGGCCGTTTATACATTGTATCGTCAATTTTTGTAGCAAGTAGGCATATTTGTTCTTACCTGTTACATTGGATGCCCTCGACGTTTTCTTTGCAAATACAATTGCCGTTCTCTGCCTCACATCTCGGCTGATTGTCCAGGCTTCCGGCCACGTTACAACCGCAAGGTTTGCATCCGGTTGGACCGAAATCGAAATGATTATCGGCACAGCGGTCACACTTGTCGCCGGTGACGCCGGCCCGGCACAAACACTTCCCCTCGCCGTTACACTGCAAGCTCCATGAACCTGCAGGAGGACGCGGTCAAAACGAGTTGGTGAGAAAATATTAGACGGATAAATAAAAAATAAAATAAAAATCTTGAAAAAAAAAAAAAAAAAAACACTTGCCAACTTCGTTGCACTCGCACGACGAACAGTGCGCGTCTCCTTTCCGCTGGTAAAAGTTTTCGCGACATCGTTCGCAGTTGGCACCGTCCCGGTTCCCGGCGCAGTCCAAACAGTGTCCGCCGTGTCCGGTCCGATCGTATAGGTCCTTGTCGAAGAAACACCGGTACGAGAACCCGTTACAACTGCACTCTGCGGAGTCACCGGTCATAATTAGTAAATAGTATTTACGATAAAAAAAAAAAATATACTAACACAATAAATATATTTAAATATGAAAAAAATAAAATAAAAACCGACAAAAGATGATCTAAAGATTGCACACTGCGATATGGGTTTTTCTGCTCGACAGATAGATTTAATTAATTATTGCATGCATACAGGACGATCATGTACGATTTAGTCAGACCGTTAACATAATTCAACTAGTAGGCAGAGACCTGCACTATACGCATCGTAGCTCCATGAAATTATCAAAACATTCGAAACGCCAAAATAATAATTGAGATTGTTAGATTGTTCCATAAACATTGAGTCAAATCCTTAAGACATTTTTACACGCATAACCGACACTTGATGAACGAGCAAAAATTATAAAGCTTCAAAAACCCGTTGGTGCTTGCTTGTAACACTCTATATCTCCTTAAAATATCTATAGCTACCTAAAATCGTATTACTATTAGTACAATATGAACAATATTAGTGTTTCTATAAAATCTATCTTAACCTTTTACATAAAAAAAAAATATTTTTATCTGTTGTTTTTGGGCACGAAATAATACTTTTTCACCCTCAGATGAATCTTTGTTTAAGAAACTGTAGTCTTATGCCCCACCCTCAAATGCCACTACTGATTTATTGACACATTTATCGTAGGGGGGATATCAGCTGTCGATATCGAAGTTTTTCACTTATGAAAAAAACATTTTCTAATTGCTATTTTTTTTTTTTTTTTTACAAAAAATCCTTCGATTTAACAATAATGAGCAGTCTAGCTGTACGTCGGGCGTATGTCATAACCTCACTACGGGATAGTTAAAATAAATATAAATTTTGTACGACGGAGAAACGGTACCCACGAAGGACGGAGGTAGAATTATCGGTTTCGGGGATTGAACCCTCCTTTTCTTTGATAAACGTCCGACGCCGCCGCCACACCGTCTTTGACGACTTCGTAATTTATCGACTATACAACGTATATGGCGTTATACACATATTTTATGCGCCGCCTCTAATAACCGTGTGAGACGGTCTTTTACTAAATCGATCGCAACATGAATAAGGTAACAATAGTACAATATAATTGTACCTATACTTGTGTTTTATTATACCATTTAAGTATTTTACTGTCAAAATTCTTCGTAGATACCTATACTATTGTGTCGACTCGAGACACAATTTACAAAATCACAACGTGTTCAACGTGTGCACCGATATTTTGGGACAGGCATTTCGAACGATTGAATATCCAATGGATAATGTGAGGAGATTTGCAGGCGTTACTCGACGAGTTGAAACTGCAACGTCGGTGAGTTTCAACCAACATAGGATATTTTGATTTGTGCCCTATTGCACTGAGGGATTGTTCAATTTTATGAACGAAATATAAACATACATACTTAAATTAATTACACATATATATGCAAAAAAACTATAACACGTTAGCCATAAATATATAAACCAGTTCTGGGTGGTAATAGTGTAAGACGTCAACCGGATTCGCAAACTATTTGTCCGCGCGCGCGCGAGAGTATCATACGAAATACCGAATTTAAAAAAAAATATTCGGTTAGACGTATCCGGAATATTAAACAATGCAGTACACTTTCTGGCATATTCGCGTGGGAACAAAACCGACGATCCAAAGTCGAAATTATAGACCGGCATAGACGACAAATCGTAGATATACCTACTATAAAAGGATGAGTCAACGTGAATATTAAACTCGGACTCATACACCGTACAATAAATTATGCAGTAATTTATAAAAAAAAAATGGTTTTTTTCGCTGGGTCACCATTGGATATACCGTTTTCACGCGTAATAGAAGAAAAAAAACGTTTTAGAAAAATTTTCGGAGAGAAATTAGAGAAAAAACAAAATTCGGATGCTGCGTGAAGTTATAATGTAGTTTATATCGCACCATCCTTAGAATAAGATCGCCATAACTCAAAATTTGGCACATTTGACACATTGGTATCATGCGAAAATCGCTAAAACGTTCTCTACAAAATAGAATACCGGCATAACATATACTATATCATTATTCTCTGCGTTACAATGGTGTGTCAGCAATCATTTTTTCGTTTTTTATTTCACTTAATGAAAGCAAAACGACCCACGTTTTTAAACATCCATGTATTGCTATGTAATAAATAATATTTTAGTAATATTCCTAAAACTGCCAAAATTGCCAATTATGGCAGTTTATGGTTATTTTTTTTTATTACTGGTGTTAATTAAGACGAAATTTAAAACGGTTATATTTAGATTTATGGTTGTTTTGTATATTAATGCGAAATGCTGTTTCAAATCAAAATATGGCAGCGTTTTGCTAAAAATTAAAGTCAAGCAATTTCCTAACTAATATAAATTCTCGGAAATTGAAGATATCAATACTGTTTCGTGTACATAAAACGACAAAAACATTGGTAAAACTTAAAAATTAACATCCTGGTAAATATTTAAAATTTAAAATGAATTTTTCTCAAAATGATAGATTCCGTGTCGTGGCGATCTCGCTTAACGGGGTGCGATATAGTACTGGCGGTCCGTACAAAAGTGAATTGATTGTAATAATAATAATAATAATAATACGTATATAAACGAAACCAATATCCCACGGTTCTTATTGTCGGCCGCTAATTTAATGCGTTTTTTTTCAGTAGGCAATGAATACAATCGCGTCGACGGTGTTTATTATACGCGCCGTATAATATTCGGAATCACTTTGGACGTAAATTTCTGTGACTCGTACCCCAAACCGTGTGCGCGAGCACTGACAAAGCGGCAGCCCGAAACCGTCGTGAAAATCAAAGATCGCATCGGCCGCTTTATAAAATTGTAATATTTATTTATTATCTCCCCGAACGCGAGAAGAAGAACATTAAAAGGTCTGAAGTGTTCTTAAACACGCTTAAATATTATTGTAGCAGTAGCACCGGGCCGATACGAGGTTTTTAATAAACATTCCAAAGTGATTGCGCGGCGGTTGCCTGTCAGTAGCCTTTTACCGCGGGGCGGAACATTATACAATAAATTAATGTAAATTATAAAATATCTGGACATAATAAGTAATGCTTTCATGTATACGTATAAAACGTTACATTTGTACCCATTTACAGCAAATCGATAAAAAAAATAGTAATAATAATAACAATTTAACGTGCCGAATAATAAAAAAAAATACCACAAGAACGGTTTACTGCGGGTTACAGATATGACATGTTCCCGACGACCGTTTGTACTCAATTTCGAACTCGACCGACCTGTGTTGTGATGCGGATGCGATTTCCAAAAACAAAACTCAATAAAATTCGCTTTCGTTTAGACATTAGAGCGTCTACAGACAAATCGTGCGAAAACAATAATAGTATAGCTAAGCCGTTCTTATCGTCTTGGGTCTCAGGGATGAAGGGCTCAAGCCAATGTTGTTAATTGATACGAAGAAATTACGTTTTGAAAATACATACGCTTAGGCCCTTTAGACCAAGAAATAGAGGGGGGACAATTATAAAAAATAATATGCCAAATACTGATATCAGCTTTTCTTTTTTTGGACTAAAAGTATATATTTCTGTCATCTATGAAATAAGCAAAAAACGTGCGTATCGTTTGAATGAAAATCCGACCGATTTTCTTATCTTTCTGTTCGCGGGGTACAGCTATACTCTTGTTGCAGCACTCTAGATCCCCATTTTCTCATCTTCTCGATATTATCTAATATATTCTTCCCTATGACAATAACCTCGTAGTCACTTTTTTTACACTCATTCAATCTACACCGCTATATAATAATATCTCACCAGTCTTCTCGACGGCTATCCCGTCGTGTCTTTTTCATCCGAACACGATGTAGTCCGTACCGTCTTGATCCGGCAAATCGACGGTGGGTATTATACGAAGAATAATACAAATATTTACTGTCTACCTATACAATTATATAAAGAACTATACGCAATTCACGCTGTGCCATCCGAGAAACACCCTGTCGGGTGGTATTGTTATATATAGGATACGAATGTACCGAATCGTGTTCACGACAATAATGACGTTTGTGGAGTGCGTGTCCCTCGAGGATTTTTATCGTTACCGAGTCGATCGGTCCGTAGCTCGTGTGTATACGCCAATCGATCGTTTCAACATATGCGGACACCGACGACGAATGCACCGTCGGACCTTTAGAAGCGATAATGCGTTCCGAGAAACACATAGAAAATTATATTATTACAACGGTCTTAACGCTGCATTTGACAGCGAAACACGCTTATTCGAAATGATAAAAAAAAAAAAAAAAAAAAAATCGAAGAGAACAATTAAAGATTAATATAGGCCAACAATATTATATTGGGTGTACTGTAGTCTGAATCCGATTCGGCGGTAATATCGGAAGGGTACGGAAATCGACTTTTACACTTGCGTGAGACGACGAAGTTTATTATATTGTTTTATCGTTTGCCGTTATCAAAGGCCTTTGGGAATTTTTTTTTTCCACGACTGTATTAATAACAATAATATTGTTGTCTGTCCGTCGCGCGACGCGGCGGCGGCGTAGAAAGTCGATAATGATTTATTGTGCCGCACGATGTGACGATGCGAACGTTCGACAAAATACCTCATTAGAGGTGCTTGTGTCCAGTGACGGCGTGCACTTGGGAGGAAAAAAAAAAAAGATAAAAATAAAAAATCTACAGTGTGGCTCCCGTTTTGCAGCGCGGAGCCAAGTTCGTCGAACCACACGACGTGGACGCCGTCGCCGCCGCCACGCGTGATTTTTTTACAATATAAAAATATAATGGACCGGCACGCAATGTCCGTATAAATATAAAAAATAGGTATTCGACATATGTATATGAAGTAGTTTTCATACACCTCGCCGCCATAACCGATACAATATTGAAAACTGTGCCAATAATAATATTATTGCAAATTAACCGCACGAAAATATACCTGTCGAATTCGGTTAATCTGCGAGTTACCCAGTAATTTCTTATAAAAATGTTTTTTTTTTTTTTTTTGGTGGTCAGAGGCGGAGAATTTAAGATATCGATGTACGTATAGCTTGGTTCACACGGTGATGGTTGCTACCGTTATAGTCACGAAATGGTTATGCTATAGAATATAGTTATGGACTTTTTTAGCATTTGCATATTTTTTTATGAAAGATTAGAAGTATGGCACAGTATTTGATGATGCAATAGTGTAAAAATCTAAATTTTTAATTTTATTTCACAAATATATTGTATTTTAAATTTTTTAGAATTATATTACGTTTTAGAACACATTTTAGAAGTATATAGGTTTCAAGTTCATACACTCATTTTTTATCAAACAATCTCTAAATTTCTATAACTACGATTATCAAGAACTATCGTTGTGCGAATATGACTCTAGTATATATTTGTAAACTAGGTATCGTTAAAGTTGTTATCATACTTTCACGTCTGATAGTTTAAAGCTACTCTCTTGAAAATGACACTATAACAGTGTAAAAACATAGTTATAGAATAGTTTTATTTTACTGACACGACATCACTTCCACAGACATGTCTATGTAGATTTGAAAATTCTATCGAAATTCACTTTGCTATCATATCTTTTACTATCGTCTCGCTGTGGCTGTCTCGTGTGATCATCGATACGGAATCTAACTGTCGCGTAGTTGGCGAAGTTGGCCAACCAAAATGTGGACAAGCGCATAGTATAATATGATATAGTAGGGTTTGGTAGTATATATGGTATTCTAAAATTGAAGTAGAAAAAATTCAGAAATCGAAAAATCGAAGTAATAAACACGCGCGCGCGCCAGTTGCGCATTTATAATATTATTATATACTCGAATTCCAGACGTCTTTTCCGAATATGGCGCCGTCCGGGGCAACGGCATATTTCTGTATACTACTGCACCACATGGCAAAACAACGGAACTCTCTTTTTGCCGAATATAAACCGTTGGTTACAACACCGTATATGCGTATAATATTATTACTTTACGCCGTATACAGGGTGTTTCGGGACAATCGTACGCGATTATAGAACAATAATTTATGTAGTTTCAATGCCCGGCAGTAATACTCGCTGTGATCCGATCACGCTGCGAAATAATTTTCGTAGGAATTAGAGTGATAAGAATAATTTAAGTCCGTAACACTCGTGAAAATCATTATATTATAAGTACATGTTACACCGCTGTATTTTAAAATGGCATGGACAGGTTGAAAACCGTCTTCTATAGCACCAAGTCCCGAAAACCACTCGCCGTCATATCATATTATATACTACAGTAAATCACTGTGTATCGTAACGTTGGCTTTTGCGTCCGTTCCGGTTGGTTAAAATTGAAATTTTAGAGTTCCGGTTCGTAAAAATATTAAGTTAAATATTAGTATTGAAGAAATTAAGACAATTTCCACAAGGTAAAATTTTTTCGATTACATCATCAATAATAATTTGTACAATAAATTAATCTTCTTCTGACGAATTTATAATAATATAATGATAAAGACAGTACTTAAAATTGTGGTATTCTAATACAACCGTTTTGTTCTGTCAAAATAAAATGTTTTGCGAAAACTGCGTTATTGCGATCTGAGAACTCTGTCTATTGACTGTCGGTGTCTGATAATTTTAATTGTAAAAATGTACTGTGTATCACTAAAACTGGTTTAAGAGCAAAAAAAAAGAAAGAAAAGGAGTTTTATACATTATTAGCCATGATAATGTAAATTAATTTTGTAAGCGTTCCGGTTCGTAAAATTTTCTATCTTGAGCAATGCCGATACCTATCTGTACTAAATCGTATTGAAAATTTCGAAAAACGACTTCTTGACGATATATATATTTATAATTGGTTTATTATATAGCGACGGTGTAATTTGGAAATTTCGGAGTGGTATTAAATGCCTCAAAAAACGCGATTACTATAACTGGTGTCCGAGACTAAAAAAATAATTAAATAAAAACCATATTACGCACCATTTCAAAACTATATTAGTAATACGGCGTTTCACTTTGCGGAATTTGATTCGTTTACCTAAATATCGGCAATACCGTAACGCGAGGTTATAACTTGGTCCGCTAGCCCGCGCGATGATAATTTATTGAAAATGTCGTTCGGTAATATTGAACGTCTCTCGGGCAAATTTACGACAACGGGTCCGAATCATGTAAACACGTTCGGTTTTACGTGTTGATATATTATTATCGGGTCACTCGCCAGTTATAATAAATGAATATAACGTTATTGCCTATTGAGTTTTGTATTTTTTTTTCGAGAGAGAAAAACATAACCGATTGATGTTTCGCCCGCCGTTCGTTTTAATAACAATACATCTCATACGATTTTATGGCCGGATTACTTTTTTCAAACTAAAAAAAAAAAATAAGCAGTAATAATAATAATAAAATACTTTTTAGTCGTAAACGCGTATAGTGTTATTCGCGAATAATTTATAAGTATGTACGCACGTGGACCGACTCGTTCCGTTTCACGGGTTCGTATTACGATCTGAAATATGTCGCCGAAGCTTATAAGTTTGCCGATACAAAAAATCGAGGCTACAACCTTTTAATTACTATTTAAATATCACGCCGTAATATGAATTTTGTTATTTCAATAGCAATAACAAAACTCCCAGTCATCAAAAGAGCTTTCACATCAAAGGCGTAAAGCGAAAGAAAATGTTTAGCATGATTCCATCTTCAAAACGACTATAGAACGTAACTGAAATACTCTTTATTATCAACACATCACACTAGAGAGAAATCGTCTTATCTTATTGTCATTTTTAAATAAGTTGAGATCAATTTTTTTTTTTTAATCTTAAAATGTGTTAAATTATTGATGTTTCTCTCCGTCTATTCTGTCGTTTATATTTCTTTTAAACTCTGAATTCCGGTGTCTTATCCATCACTAATACCTCATGAAGAACATCCTCGGTTTTCGTCTCTATGTCTTTCCATCAATTATAAATACCTTCTATTATTGCCCTTACCCAAGCGTTATGTCCTACAAAAAGCCCGATCACATTGCTTTCCTCTTTCCTTAAACTTGTTCGTTATTGATGTTTTTCATTTGACTTGAGCGTATCTAGCGCGCTCACAAAGAAACTCTTCATTCCTTATTCTCTCTGTTCTTGATAGTGACATTCTCAGAGCTCTATACTCCGATACCACATTTCAAATGCTATGATTTTGGCATTTATCGGTTTTGAGTGCCACGCCGAGAGGTTTCGATGAGAGTTCTCTTAACTGTTATTTATTATATCATTATAACTAAACTGTACTTATTATCGTGCCATTCCGACGGCGACGACGGGTCGGCGTTTTTTGCATTCCTGCAGTATAGCGGAGAATTTGTCCGAGCGAAAAAAAAAAACCAGGAAATAATTTACTCGCTTCTGTACTTATTTTATTTAACTGACACGCTGGACACACGCGCGCGCGCTCGCGCTTACCGTTTATATAATATTCCGTATATTTATGTACACGTACTTGCACGAAAACGTGTACCGCTACGCTGAGAATATTATTATTATACGTATATAGGTACAACTACGAAGCGACCGCAATTGAAATTTCACACTTTTACGGATAATAATAATAGTAATACGGCGTCGGGTAGGTGCATTATAAAATATTATCGTGGTTTTGATGTAATAAAACGATACGGCGTGTACGATAGTAGTTTATCCCGAAGAAGTCCGAGTATATATTACACGACGCGAAGACGGTATAATAATATTTTCTCGTCCGTATATTATACTTGTTCATATATATATATATATATAGAGATCAAATTAACACCACGCCGAATACTAACGACCGTACTATTGTCTTAACATTTTGGGTGGTCCGGCGCCGGCGTATTCGATTGGACGAAACCAGATCGCGGACAAAGACATCTTACGACGGTTCTTGACAGTATATATATATATATATATATATAGTTAGAAAATAAAAGGTACTCGTAGTAGCGATAAAACCAAAAATGTAAAATGGAATTTTATAAAAAAAATACATATTATACACCCAACCGCGTTGTTTCACGAGACTTATCTGACTTAAACGTCGCCGATTCCGATTCTGCTGCCGTTATGTCAGTTTAGTTTTAGATTTCGTATTGATTGTAGTGGTAATTATGATAATTATAAATCGTAAATAAAAAAAAAAAACAGCAACGATTGTCGTAAAAAACTGAATTAATAATGACGCGTCATCGACAAGAGACTTTCGTTTCGGTGTGTCACCCGTCAAGAAATCACTTTATTAACAAAATAATACGATCGTAACTTTATTTTCATCTGGTCTTTAATCTTCCTATATGTTGGCTCTGCGGATCTCCAAACATCTCTGTCTAACCTCAAATCTTTCAAAGCTCGATAAATTTTCATTCGCACGTCCTTAATAATTGACGGTACATATTCTATCTCAGGTCTTCTTCTATATGTATCTTCTACATAAAATTTTACATAAACTCAATTTCAACTAACCATACTATCATAGCATAGTATGATTTGAGTTATCATAATAGTATCCCATCCATTTTTTTTGTTTTTTTCATATAATTTTCCATAGTTGTCTTTTTCGTAGTACCATACTTCAAATTTCAAATACTTCTAGCTTTCTCTTCTCGATTGTGTTACTTAGCTCACTATCCAGGTATCACACCTGTTCACACACTCTATATGCATTAGACTTCAAAACGTTTATTCCAGCATTCAGTATAATGCTTTCGGGGGTAAAATTAATTATTTTTATTTTGAAAAAGTTCTTTTTCCTTAGGTAATTCTCCTGGGTCAGATAATACGAACACACGAGAACTCTGAAAACCAAAACCGGAACTCTCATATATAGGTGCGGTTATAAAAACACAAATAAATATAATATAATCATCACGAAATATTATTCGTTTACAATATAGTATTTTATCTACTTATACAAATTGGATTCGTTGTACAAAATATTGGAAGGTGGTGTATTAAATATTGTGTAGTATATGTAATACAAAAAGAGTCGGTCATATTTCACACTGTCATAGATATGAAGCTGTGAAAAGTACAATAGATATAGAATAATTTAGTTTACATACTAAAATTAACTATACATCGTTACAATCAAAAAATGATCCAGTGCGGAGTTAGTAAAATATTTTTCCCGTATAGCCAATGTAACAAAATTAAATCTGATCAATCGTCATTTGTTGTTAGTTTTTTTTTTATATTTAGAAAACCCATTGTAAATCTAGAAATTGTTTTCAAATAAAGTACTTCTCGAATGAAAAAACCACATGGGTTCTTAGGGTAAAATGTGAACAAATTGAATCATTTTACACACCAAAAAAATGATTATATAAAAAAAAAAAAGCACATGCACACATCTTATAGTAAAACTAGTAGAGTTTTTTCGTCAGGGTCGTAACTAGATGGAAGGTGGAGGCCAAAATGTATCTTAAGTATCTTAAAGGTATTCTATTGACCGATTACCAGTACGCAAATGTAACACGGTAAGTTTCAACGTAAGTTTTTACCTATACAGCCGTATTATAGTAATTAAAACGTATAGTAATTGACTATAGATATTATTATTATGGGAAAATCGAGCGGTCGAGTGAAAAAGTCGCTAACAACGCGATTTATAACGTGTCTATTCGCAGTGTGAGAACCGGACTTTATGTAATATATTATTATTATTATTATTAATAACGTATGCGTTTTTCATGCGATGACCCGTGCGAATCGCACGCGTGCCGAGAGAGCCGGTGAAATAATATATCGCGACGGGTTCGCGGTGTGGAGTGAATAAAATAAAAAATAGCGAAAAACTTGGGTACGTATACCAACTTGTACAAAAAAAAAAAAAAACACACACAACCGGCGACTAGCTGCGACGGCATAAGAAAGACCGGACTTGGAGGATCGTGAGAAACACGCGTCTAATGGGCTGCAACGCGTGGCGTCGATTTTATACTCGGAAAGTGCAGAAAAAATAATAGTAGTAAAAATAAATAGAAGCGCACACGAGATGTACCGTGGGTACGACCCTCTCGTCCACGAGTAAAACAAGTTTTAACGAGGAATAGTTATCGATGATATTAATACCGTTGATTGTATACACACATAATAATCAATGATGATAATTGATAATGTATGTTAATACTAATAAATAGTAAATAATAATTATGTCGTATACAGTGTGTTTCGCTCAAACGGTAACGCAAAAATTTTGGCTGGTTGAGATCAAAATGAGGTTTTTTTAATAAGAAGGTGAGACGTATTAAAATACTGTACACATTGAGCCAATTTTAATCTATACGGTGCGTGCGCAATAAATCTTACATTTTCCTAAATGGAAACGCTAATTGTTTAGCACGAGTTTCAGCAATTTCTTTTCATTTTTTTTTTAATTAACTTTGATCGGTACATTTGTTTTCAATCTTAAAAACTGACGAGATTATAAACTTTGCATTTTTTCCCCGATTATTCCGAAGATTTTCTTCGCATCGTAAATGCGTAGTTTTCTGTTTATTTTTGCCTAAAATATTTTCTAAAACCGAAGTCAAATTTTTTCTCTTTAAAAGTCGTGCGTTTTAGTTATATTTTTTAAATCATAATCTTTAACTGAATTTATAAACAACTGTATCATGCAAAACATTTTTGTAATAGAAACAAATTCTATTAGCCAATCGCGTAAAAAAAATTACAACTATTTGAATTTTAATGCTGAAAATAAGTGTTTTATAATAATGGAAGTTTTATTGCTTACAAAATGTACCGCAAAGATTACGATTTAGACATTTGACATAAAATTTGTATTTTACTACCTCCCCAGTCCTCGCCATTTTAAGAATAATCCCGTTGTGATTCAAGTGACCTGGCTGAAATATTTCGTTTTATTGTTTGTATATAAACATAATGTAAACACTGTCTATTGTTATTGATAGTTTCACCGGAGGTGTGTTATCCGAAATAAACGAACATATAATGATTTTTTAAAAAAAACACGTTTATTTACATAATTTGGACGAGCCGTACATGGACAATTTTAAAAATACGCTTTGTTTATCAATATCGCTTTTTCACACCGTGTTGCGTATAACAATACCTGTAATACGGTCTCAAACATCTGTCTGTATAAATATTGGTTTTTGAAGCTGCTGAGGGATACGAAAAATACAAAATTCACACGAGTTTAAAAAACCGTATAGTAATAAAACGATAGACGTGTTTTGTATTATAAAAAGGACGTTTACAAATTTTTTTCGTCACGCGTCAATTAAAAAAAACGTGCGACACAGATATAATACGAGTATTATAACTATTCTAGATTGCTAACTAGTGACGAGAGTTTAAAACATCCTGGTCAGTCAGTTTTTTTTTTTGAATTATACGGAATATATAAGTAATAAGTCATTCTTATCATCACCGTGCTATCGTGCTTATTAATATATCTGACATACGTACGTGATGCGATGCTAATATTTCTACAAAGATGTCGGAAAATGATCTGTGACACTGTGTGTTTGTATTTCCCCCGTTTATTTGTACTATATTAGTAGTACAGCACGTGTCATTTATAAACGGTAATTAATTTGAGGGTTTAAATATATACATATAAAAAAAAACTATCACTATCATATTGTACGTAATTTTTATTCGATAGGTACTCTGTGGTCAAATTTTTAGACTTGAACAACAGAAATGCTTAAATTTAACAGAAGGTTTATTAAGAGTTTTACTTTGTAGTAAAAAAAAAACAAAATTTAATTTAATGAAGTTTTTTTTTTATAGGATTTTAATATCAAAAATCGTTTAAATAAAACATTAAGTGAAACAAATCTAATTTATCAATTTTTTTTTTTCGAACGTATATATAATGCCAATTTAAAAACGATGAAAAAGTCAGAATTAAGCGGACTGACTAAATTTTGAAATTATAGCTTTTTGAAGTTCTAATATTATGCGGATATTATATGTTATTTTAAATAAATCTATATTGTACTTAAGTATATTTGTCGTGATCTAATGGTTATTTATGATTATTACCATCCTAAAGGTATCGAGTTCAAACCAGTATTCCGAAAGAAAATTGTTTGCATTTTTTTTCCTTTTTACCTAAACAAGGAAATAAAATAAATGCATTTTGGGTGTATTTAGAAACCTAAGCCATCACTCGCTCGGAATATTTTAATTGCAAAATACTCCTCGATTTATTGTTTCAAACTTTTCTACCAGCAATTTCTTTTCGATTTAAAATGATAACACTTTTTCTAAAAGGAAATCTGACTGGAGACCTACTTTAGAGATGTCATTTTTCGATGGCCAGCAAATATGTAAAACCGGGAAAAACCATGGGAAATCCAGGAAAAACGGGAAAATCTGTACGATGTTAAACAAATATTATAAAAGAAAATATATAATAACTGTTTAATTATTTTACCATAATGTAATATATATATATATATTGTTGACAAAGCATCACTATCAACTGAACTGCGCTTAGAATCGTTTTTTCGTTGGCAATGTTTTATCACTGCTTACAGGTATACATTAAATTTCCTATAACAGTGGCTTCATCTGTCTCCATTACCCTAGGACGTCATTATAGTCTCCATTATCTTAGGACGTCTTTTGATACTTAATTATCGTTGTATTATAATGATATCTTTTTAAAGAACAAACTTATGTGGACAATTCGGTACTCGAAGTCGACAAATTTTTAAACACACGTCTTTTCATCGGTTTTTCACATATTTACGAGCTCTGACGAATAGAATATTATCGTCCGTGAACGAACAAACGGATGCAGGCTTTTCAGTTTGTCATTTTCGTCGTTCGTGATCGCATTTCGTAAATCCCTTCTCCGGATCACAACAATGTATTGTAATAGGTATTAGTCCGAGCACGTCACGCGAGACAAAACTAGCGCGGAACAAGTCTACCGGAACACAAAACTCACTATTTTATGTATGTATATGTATATAATATTATGCTGCACGCTCGCCAGATAACTCATAAGTGAATGATATATTACGATATTGTAATGTTTTTTTAAATAATTTTAATAACGTGAACGGGACGCGTTTCGCCCTCGCAGTGGCGGCGTGACGTTTATCTCGATGGTCCAATTGTCACGGGCCGACGAGCGGCGGCAGCCCGGAGGTCTGTTTCCGCCGCGATAATATGCGTCGTCGTATAATATTGTAGGTATACCTTAGCTACAATAAAATAAAAAAAAATGGGTATTATAAAAAATATAAACCCATTTTGTTGTATCGCAATAATAATATTCTTGTCAACAACACACGTTTTTTCACGTATTATGTCCGCGAAACATTTTTACGAGCGCTGTTACACGCGGCTCCAATTTGCCACCCGTATAGGTACATAGAAGTAAAGAATAATAATATATACATGCACGTCACGCGTTCGAGATGACGTGATTCCCAATGATTTTTAATGGTATAAAACACGTTTTTTTTGAAGAACTCGCTCGATTTTGATTTTAGAGTAAAAACATTTATTTGAATATTAAAAGAAGACAACGAGGACTATAGTGTACGTGGAAATGAATTTTTTTTTGAAAAAATAATTTATATTTCGTAAATTTGATACTGTTCGCGGGCAGACTACTGTTTTAAGTGGTTATACAGGGTGTAACAGAACTATTTGACATGTTTACATGTACCGACAATGTAAAAATGTCAAATAGTCGTGTTACACTCTGTATAGTTGATAAGGTAGGCTATACGTTATACAAGGGAAATTAAGTTCGTATGCTGTGTTATATATTACAAAGATAAAACATTACAAACGAAAAAACGATTCTGAGCGGAATCGTATGTGTTATAATACAGTCATGGTATTTTCCTTACGTCCCCACCTGTCCAGAATAATCCAAAAACCAAACACTATAAAAAAAATAACCTAAGGAGAAATTGATAAAATTATCGTTATATTTTTCAAATAAACTATCACCGGGCAAATATTTTACATATATCAAGATATGACATAAAAAAGTCAGAGCATTTTTACTATAACCGTAAAAATATTTTCTGGGAAAACAACTCATCTTCGCAAAACGAATAGCCACACTTCTTTAAACACGGAATCTAAGACGAACTAAATTCAATTGTATAATATTCATCCATAATATTTTTACCCGATTTTATCCCGATACCCGATTCGAAAAGAACATTGACGGTATTTCTTTGTTTATGTATTTTACTGATTTCATAATATTGTTTCGATTGATAAAATATTGTAACAAAAATAGAATTGCTTTTTGTTAAAATTATTGAAAATCTAATTTTTCTTTTCTTTTTGACATAATATACACACCTAGGTGAAAAATACAGGGCGTTATAAAACGAAAGCGATTTATCTGCGTGACGTGGGTATATGCAAGCAATAATTTTCGGAAGGTGTATAATTTATTATTTTTATTATTATTATTTTTTTTTTTTTGAAACCGTCTCCATCGCAGGGAATCTACTGTAAAAAAAAAAAATAATGATTTATAGCGGCACGTCGACGCGCCTTCTCAAATTCTACGATCGCCTTTACTTATTCGTACATAGGTACGTATACGTATATACGTATTTAATATGCCCGCGTGGTCTTAAATAGGTAATAACAATATATTGGCATAAATTTACCCATTCGCTTTTACGACGTAAATCGCGGACAAAGCATTTTTTTTTCTCTCTCTCCCTCCAAAGGACTGTCTCTCGTTATATATATAAAAAAAAAATAATAATAAAATGGTCGGATACGTTTGAGAAACGGAGAGATGTTTTTAATTTTTTTCGTCCCTAAAACACAAATTGTTTAGTACTATACGGGTATGTATAGTATGTACCTACTGTAAAAATACCTACCGCACGTAATGCAACGTTATATTTTCATCCCAGGATAAACAAATAAGACTAACGATACGTAAGTATTTATTATTAAAATTGCATTCTCCAACACGCGCGCGTCGCTAAAATAACACTATTAAAGTATCACGGATCATATTGTTTATTTTTATCGTTTGCGCTCTAATCTAATCTAACACATACGTAATATCATTGCCGTCGGGCATAAACATTGTATTATTATTAATATGTCCGACGGTCTTGGTGTTTTATTATTTTTTTCCAGTTTCTCATCGTGGCGAAGAAGCTATATAATAACACTAGAAGACGTGTGTTCTTTTTCCCGGAAACCATTTTTTTAGTTAGTAAAAATGCACCAAATTGTGCACATTATATATATATAGAAATGCGCATGTTTTGCCTTCAAGTAAAAAAAAAAAAAACACGACGTACAAACTATAAACTTGCTAGTCTATCGAGCTCCGCTCAGAACCGTTTTTCGATTGAAATGAATCTGTACGGTTATAGATTTCAGTGTACATAACTATATATTATTTATCCCATACCCGACTTCTCACGGTCCGAAGTATGACCGGCTTTCCTATAGTCTATTTAACTATATAAATCGTATTATTGTACAAAATTATCATTACGCTCGTACATAATATTACGATTATTAAACGATAAGACAGACTTTTTAATAAACGGTGCCACTAGAAAAAAAAATTATATAGATTTGAGTATATACATACTCGTACACTACACAGGTATACAGTCATTATAGATAAAATTAAAAACCGCATAAAATGTATGAATAAATACTGGCCAAATTATAACTGTTGCTGTCGGCTAAAATGCAAGTCGACAAATTCGCGCGCGTTAAAATATATTATATTATATTATGTTAATTATCGCAAACGATTGTTAATCATTTCTTACGGCCCCGTGACGGTATAATTTTCCACTTCATTTGCAATAGGCACCATTATTATAATATCGGTAATACGATAATCGTTTAATATTTGTAATAACAGTTGGCTCGTAATTATATTGTTCATTATTATTATTATTATAAAAACCGGAGGCAACGGATCGGATCGAAATTACATAGTCATACATTATGTTCCGTCGATAATATTATTAATGTTTAACATAATGCGTATTGCAACCTATCCGCAGCGGTATAAAGTGGTAAAAGTGTATAATGAATCGAAATCATATTATTATTATCCGTATAAACCATAGACGATAAAGACCAGCTAGGTGGGCCGCAATTGATGGCCACTAGATTTTCCACACAGCCGTATTATAACAAGACCGGGAATGACGGAGGTCGTTTTACATGCAATTTACATTAAACGCGAGAAATAGAGGATATTGGACGGTTTTTCATGGCAAAAAAAAAAAATAAATATTAACTCGTGTTTTGAATTTACGTATTGTGTATTATCTGAACTGATATTAACAAACGAGACGACCGGTTTGTTAACATTTTAAGATGATATTACTATACAATGCGGAACAATTGATGCCGCATACGTCACATTACATGAAAACTATGGGTGACTATATGACAAGAGCTGGTCTTCACCGATAAGCTGACATGTACCATTCACGTTTTTATTGTTTATATGCGTATAAATATAACACCGTTAACAATCCATATAGTCTTAAAATCGTTTGTCATGGTATCGGCGCGTGTCATCAACGATGATGATACCGTATTATAAAAGATTAAAGGAGCATCGTTTTCGGTGTTAGTGATGATAGAACTGACACAGATTTGTTCGATAATAATATAAAACGATAAAATTGTTATGATACACAAAACATTATAAAAAATCCATCACACTGTCCACCAAAACCTTTTTTTTAACGTGGTGAGCGATCAAGTCATTTGCAGTGATGTCGTCGGAAATTTTTGATTTGAAAAGTAACAACACCGATGCTTCACCGGACTTTTCAAATTACTTTATAAGAATATACGGAATAATATATTAAAACTTTAATGTTACAATACTCGTTATAGTTCGTTATAGGTTATATGCTTAGCCAGCCATTTGATTATAATATTACGAGTATATTGTATACAGTTAATGTTATACGTGTTATGTGTTAAAATATATAAGTTTAACGTTGTCGTAGTAAATTATTTTTCGTATTGTTATCTAATCATCACGATTTTTATAAGATGGTCTACTTAGGTATATAGCTGCAGCAGTCGACGATAATATCGACATAAACCGCGTCGTGTCGCGTTTTTATAATACATTTTTTCGTTTGTAGAATACACCTATAGGTAGGTACTTACTACCTAGTGAAACTATTAAGTATTTTTTTTTTATACGTATAAAATTAGATCAAAATAGATATTATCTCGTTGGTTATACATCATAAACTGCAGTGTATAGGTATACATATAACGTTTGAGACGAATCGTTATTGTTTCTTTGAGATATTGTTCTATGAGTTATTCACGATTACTATAATACATAAACTATTATTATTATTATTATTATTTTTAAATTAATTATTCTATTATACAATATTCGATTTTTTTTTTTTTTAACCAATTAAGAATTTTGATCTTGATCGAGAAATATAGGCAGGTATCTATCTATATAGGTACCCATAAAATAACCGTGGGTATTTTTTTTAATGTATTTGTCGGTTAGGAAGTCGGTATAACAACAAAAGACTGCATACGTTTATTAATAATAAAATTATTATATTGTTTTAATCTCATCATATAATACGGTCAACTTTAATTGGCATAAAGATTTTCTTTTCTGCAGCTACCTGCATTAAATTGTGTACACATGTATATAATAAACAAACAACTGTAACTATATTACATTATCACTGCAGACATCGTCGCTGTGCAAATGCATAATAAATATAATATTATAATAATAAGTATATTATAATGTGTACCTGCTGCAGCTATTTCATTTAAAAAGGGGAAAGGAAAACTATAAATCCGTAATAGGTATATATATAAGCGTAGTAATAATTAACGATCGATTGTTTCTTACGTTTACGCCCTGAGTGGGAATAAAACCGTTCTAGTACCACGAAAAAAATAATATCTATTGTGCCGGCGTAATATTATAATACTATAATAATAATGCGTGATGTTGTCCGTCAGCGGGCGTTTAAGTCTCTGAGTTTATGCTTAGAAAAAAAAAACCCCACTGGAATAACATGTACATTATACTATAGGTAAACGTATATTATATAATGTATCCATACTTGAACAAAACAAATAAAATAATAATATGGTCACGTTGAGTAAAACAAGTCATCACTTACAATAAGATAATAATAACATTATGTCAAACGGATGCACCTTTTTTTGTATGTACATATTATATATTGATTTTGTGTATTATTTCATTTGCCCCACGTAAATAATTCCTTAAGTGAAAACTCTTTTCAAAAGAAAATCAAATCGAGATTTAACGTGACGATAATATAAGGCCAAAGCTCATATATATATAAATATTTATGAATAGGAATCGTAGAGTATTATTCTATATAGTATGTATAGGTACCATCGACAAAGGAATTATATATACATAGATACTCAACTTAGCTTAAAATGTGGTTTGCTTAAAAGAGCGCTATTTGATGATATTTATCTTTAGTAACTGCTGAAGAAACTGATATGAATGATAAATAGTATTTTTTTTTTATGATTTCGTTATACGGCTTGCGCAGTGAGTGGAAAATGTTTTAGTTATAACTAACCGAATAACCGTTTTGTTCAGTTTTATGAATAAAGTTTCAATATTTCTTTTATTTGTCACGGATAACTATACCAACGAAAGAACACTAAGGACGAAATAGAATATGGAGAGTAGAAGAAATGGATACTGAGTCAATCGTAAGCCTAGTGTAAAGGACCCCATGACTTACGGGCACGTGATACAAAGAAGCGAGGACGATATATATCATGCAATACAGTTTTGAATTGGAAACCAATGGACAAGAGACCTCGAGATCTCTGTATAATATATGTATGGTCGTTGTGGAATAAGATTGTAATGACGGAAACAATTCTGAGAGAGTATACTAAATGCCAGAATAAAAAGAAGCAGATGTAATGTATATATTAGAAATTCTGAGCGTACATGTAGAAAAACGCCCATCCGAAAAATATCGACGACAGACTCCCGGCCGTTATAAAATATTAAGATGTTATATTATATCTGATGTATACATTCTGAGAACTCCTCCACAAAAACACTAAATCGAGAATATTGTAAGAAAATAAAAAAAAATGTCTGGATTATATTATTTTCGTTTTGTGATGCCGAAAATTATGGATTTGCCGCAGGTGCTGATAATATACAATAATAATATTATTATCGTATTATCGTAAGTAACAATAGCCATGCATGGTAATGTGGGTGGTGGGTCGGCCGTAGAAATGTGCAGCACGCGTGGGAGGCGCTGCTGTAGCTCAAATAATGCGATTTCTTGGATATATCCACCTATATATAATAATTTATTTATTATATTCTTTTTGGGGATTATATTATGTTATGTGCATGTGAGTCTGTTCGTGTGTGCATGTGTGGCGCCACTACCCGCTGAGTACAATAATTATTTTATATATGTACATACACTATACTTGCCGACGCGTTTTGGGGGAAACGATGAAGATCGTGGTGATGAGGATCTCTCGGAGGTCCTAAGCGTATAATGAAATTTACATAATTTTTTTTTTTTGTTTTCCTGCTGCAGCTCCCCCGAGGCAAACGCCGTCTAATTATCATCGTCGATCCCCGCCATATAAATAAAGTATACCTATAATATACAATGATGATAAGACCTGTATGTATGAAACGTACTTATGTATAATATGAAAAATACCCTTATTATTATTATTATTATTATCAACAATTGATTTACGGTCGAGTGATGGCGGCAATATAATAGTATTATACGAGTAATAAGTCTCCGACGCGAGGCAATGTAATATTAATACGCCTATAAATATATATATATACGTTCAGGTGGCGGCCGTATAGATAATATAGAGATATATGAACTATTGTATTCAAGCGCACCCCGAAGAGAATTATGTGTGTTACGAGTGGTCATCGATTTTCATCAAAAAACTATAGAAACGTATTCCGCAATCACATTTTGTCGTTCTAGTAACTGTATATAGTATCTTCTTTGGGCACACAATACATTCTGTAAAATAGGTATATGTACAGGAATGATCCGTCCGTCTTTTTACTATCAGTTATGATTACGCCGTGATCGATGTGATTTACACAAAAAAATAAATCAAAAATTATCGTCGTTTTTATAATAATAATAATATTACACCACACGAGGAAAACATATACAATATATAAAGGCACGTCCATACACGAGCACGTTTGCAAGAGACCGAGGCGATCGTGAGCGCACAAATAAACTAAAAAAAAAAAAAAAACCGAGCTGCAAAAGATCGCGATCCCTTGATAATACTATACGTGCGCGTGTTCAATATTATATATATGGACTCGAATCGTCGGTTTGCACAGCCGTAGTGGACAGCAGAGGCGTAGTTAGAAAAAAACAATTTTCGGGTAGCTCTTGCAAGATTAGAACAACGTGACTGAATTACGACTGCAATACATATCGTCAATACGAAAGAGAGAAAGTTATTTAATCTCAATCAGATTTTGTATTTTTGAAATCGATGACGTCGTTTGTGTCAAATGTTGTGCAGTGTTATGTCGATATTAAACAAAAGCAAAAAGTAAATCGAAATTCGCTAATATAGTATGATCGAAAAAAATTGGAGGTTTTAATTTTTACAAAATATATTTTCAAAAAAATGATGTTTCAGGTACCGGAGCATTTAATATGGATGTACAATTTCGAGCTGTTTTTTGAGCAATTTTGATGAACGAAATACGACCAAAATGACAGTTATATATTTCACATAATGCTAATAATTTTTTTTTTTTTTTTTTTAATTTTTGGCGCTACTTTACCGTCTACGTATTATTATGATACTGCAAATTCAATTCGAACACGTATGTGATCATGTGTGCGGGACGCGCGAATTAAAAAACCGCGCGGTCCAAATTCTTTGTTCCTAAATTACTCGTCTCTAACTTAACCTAACTTAAGCCGAACGATAACGTTATTATTGTACGATAGATCATGAGACCGTCACAGTCCACGTTTCACTCGACACCCGCCCAATATAATAATAATGATAATAATTGTTAAAATCTACCGAACTCGTCATCTCGCTTACGAACTTATTAAACGCGACTTATTATTATTATATAGCCGCCAACGATGACATTACCGATTACGGTTAATTTGTAATATACGTCACGAACCGCAGGTAGGTATAGACCGTGGCCGACCGGTCCTAACCTTTTAGTCTAGTAAGTATAATTTTGTTTTTTTTCCTTTTTTTTTTTTAATTACAGTACCATTCAAGTGAAAAACGCATCAATCTTCTCGAACCCGCGTGTCCTAATATACAAAAGTACACCGTATTCACTATATAATATACATGTACCCCGGGTACCTGCAGTATACATGGCCGATAACACCGTGCAGACGAATATAGTGGTAACCCGCGCACTGCACACGCGGTAAATAAGATGAGACTGCAGAGCAGCGGTTCGAGTGCGAGTCGGTTTTTTCTTTTTTCTCTCTCTCTTTCTCTCTCTGTCTTTCTCCACGGCCGTAAAAGACACACCTCACGGGACGGGTCATTATATAATTTATGCAGGACCCTATATAATGCGATGGGCGAGTGTAGGTACAAACACGGATTATGTACAGTGACGGAGGCATCTCGAAAGAGCATCGTGATGCGCGTACATACGTATACGAGGCTGACGGGTGTATATACAAGTAAGAGTATATTATAATACGGCGACGTCGGTGTAAACGGAATATTATTATTCGTCATTTTCGGTATGTATGCGCGTACGTAATGTTTTTGTTTTGCCTCCAGGATACGTCTCGGTGTGGCAGTCGCAGCACCGGACAATAATAATTAGACCGCGGGTGAAAAACAATAAGTCTCGTGACAATCCCATTAGCAGCTGCACTCGGTAGCGAGGAATTCTTTATGGGTTCCTATAGGTAAGTACTAACCGACCGACAGATTGGGACGTTCCGGTTATTATACCGCGGTTGTACTGTACGTATTATAATATACGGGGTGCGGCAAAAGTATAATACATCCGTTGACGCTCGCAAGAACCGATCAGCTCGTAACGTAGCTCGGTCAGTCATTCACGCACGAATTTCCGACAGTTCATATACGTCACCACGTATATTACGTTGAGTGCCGTGAGACCGATTAGGTGGTCTCACTGGCCTTTGAATGAAGTGCTACGGTGTTTTTCTTATGAATTACTTGAAATAATTTTGGAGGGGTAGGGAAAATGATTACAAAAAAAAGAAAACAACTCAAGTATTTCGTTAATACGAATACCGACGAAATGGCATATAGTATTTGTATAATAGTATAATAGTATTTGAAGACGACGAACAAATGCCATTAAATAGGACCCACTATTCAGAATAATCGCCTTTTGAAATTTCAAATGAGTAATTGCAAGATTAAAACATGGTTCTGACTACGCTTTTTTTTTATTTTCAATATTGATTAAATAGAGGCTCAATATTGGATTTTATGGCAAAATAAATTAACCGTGTCGAAAAACCTTTGGCGCTGAACATTATATAATTGTGTAACTACTTCGAATTTCATTTTTTTACGTTGATTGTTTAAATTTGGTAAGGTATATTTTTTCCTCAAATACGAACTTTTGCCACACTCTGTATATTATGATACCTTTTGAATAACGAACATTTCATGAACTATTACAGACTGCCAACCTATAGTAAATATAACTATACTGCTCGGTATTTCGCAATGCTGCGGTCGCTGCGGGGCGTATAACAAAATATCATAGCAATTCCGTTTCGGCAGATTCGTTTTGTTACACACGCGTATTTACGAAATCATCGTTTTTAATGGTTGGTTTTCGTTGACATACAAGTGAGTGAGGGGGGAAGGAAAATCACGGTAGTACATACATTTTTTTTATCTGTTCACACAGTATAATCATTCCCCTTTAAAAATCGAATATAACGCAATCGCGTTGTTCAAATATATAGCAAAGGTAATAACCGTTTGATAGGTACTTATATCTAATACAGACGTCTTATCCGGTACAATATTTATACACGTGATATTGTTTGTATTGACACAGCGATATTTTAAATTTTAATGCGCCGGTTTTTTTTTACTCTAATAACATCAAACAAAATAAAAACAAATAAAGGTAACGAAGTGAATAATTCGGGGGAAAAAATTGTATATTGTTCTTTAAATATTTAAAGGGCTTCGTGAAAACATTTAATTTTTCTGCCAAGTTTTGTGCAATATAGGTATTCCGCAAATTCAACTACTCCGATTGATCTGACTGACTTCAGGATAAAAGGACCTATTACATACGTTCCTATAAAGAAAATTGTTTGCTAGGGTTTCTACGAACGATTTTGTTTTTAATAAGTTATTAACTAATGGACGAATTAAGAGATATCAATTTCAATTGAAATACGAATATCATAATAAAAAATTAAAATATAAAAAAAATTATTCGTTGATACTAAGTAGTCTATAATATTATAAAACATATAATAGATCTTTTTGCTTTAAATTCAATGAGACAGTCGCAATTGTTAAAGTGCGGAATGTGTTTGTTGTTTCTAAATTACGTACTATATAGACCGAGAAAACAAAATATTATCATGAGACACCTTCTAAATGATTTTTCTAGAGGATACAATTGTGGAGGAAAAGGGCATTTAAAGATAATATGGGATATTTTGAATTTTACTATCAAGTACTAACCGATCGTTTACAGAACGTTTCACGAAAATAAGGCTGATACTGCTGATAAGTGTGCAGGTAGGATAAATAGATTTATTTAATTTAAATCTTTACGTGACCATAAATATTACTAATGAAAAACGATTCTAAATAGAGTATTATTAGTCGTATATTTCCTTCGCTGCCTAGATAAATATGGAATCAACAAAAATTATAAAAACAAATTTCCAGTTTTTCTCATTTTTATTAAGAAAATCAAAAAATCAATTTTTCAATGTACTAATCAGACAAAAAATCCTACATAGAAATTCTTATAAAGTTTTTGATTGGATCGAAATTGCTGGTAGAGAAGTTGTTTACAGACATAAATACATATAAATAAAGACGCATTATAGTAAAACTAATACGTTCCTCGCTTTGCTCAGAATCCGAAAATCTAGAGTCGATTCAAACACTGTAAATAATTACAATTCGGCCAAATCACGCATAGATAAAGAATATTATAAAATATAATGAGATAATAATAGTGCCTGTATTATGTAAAATGCAGAATACGAACGTTCGGCGATTATTATCATCTCGCATATATTAGCATTTAAAAATTATTTTTAGGTACCTATGTTATAGAAAACAAAATTCGACGTGCAGTTTTTCTTAAAGAATGTGTACAAACTAATATTACCAATTAATATTACAGTAACAAAAGCTGTATGCTAATTTATGTGAGATACACACTTCGTTGTATTTTTCCATCGAAATGAAACGACGCGACGTGATGGTGTTTTTGAACGCCGTAATGTATTCCCTAAGTTATATTTACGGAACAAAAAAATCCTGTTAATTCTGACGGGTATGCCACTGTTTTAGGAGGAAAGTCGGTAGAGAGGATATAAAGTACCTTAATTTAATATATATATCACTAAGCAACAAAAAATGATTCTGAGCTGAGTATTAATAATCGTACTTTTTTCTTTTATAGCCAAGGTGAATCAGAAATCAACAAGAATCATACGAAAAATGCCCAGTGTTCCCCAATCGTAGCATGAATACTGCTTGGAAAATCAAAATACGACCTCTTCGACTACGCCGACTAGATCGAAAATTCTCCAAGAAAGGTCTTACAAATTTTTTGATTGAATCCAGATTTCTGGCAGTCATTTACAGACAAAACAAAAAAAACGTGCTAATACTAAAGACGGGTGCAGCCACTGTTTTAGGTGGGATGCATAAAGCTATTCAATTTATATCGGTACGCCAGGATAAACCATTGTTCACGAAAATCAAACAAGTTTCTTACTCGCGTACTAGACAACATTTTCAAAATTTAGACAAATATAAGCTTAAATATTTTATATAATGAAATCGTTGCTCCGCTTTTAAAAAAAAATTGTATATTTTTATGAAAATAATATGGATGTAAAAAATGTCAGTGGCTATAAATCAAAAATAAAAAAATCGATATTTTGTTATTCTTCGATTGTAATTGGTAGGAAACATAGTTTCCGTAAATTAAATCAAAAAATCAATGAAATCAATAACGTCGCGGCACGCCGTAGATATTCGCCGTTTTATCTATCCATTTTCTTTCGGGTTTTTCTCAATTATTTCGATAACCCGTCGGAAAATCAAAAAAAAAAAAATCGACCTCCCGAATGCACCGACCGGAGAAAATTTCCTTTCAGAAAAGGTACTTGTAATATGCTCTCTACATCGGAACGAGATTTCTCGTACAGAAGTTGTTTGCAGGCGGAAAATAACTAAATACACATTGTAGTAAAACCGATTGATCATCCCTCGCGACGAATCGAAAATTTTACGCGCATCGCGGTAAAACCGCAGTCCGATCCCGTAACACAACACACAGCTTCGCTGGGGATCTATCAAATACTATAAGCGCATACGCGAGTATTTGGCGCGTGATATTTACCGGAACCGGTGAACCAGGGTGTATATCCGTCCCATTCGGCGGGCCGACAGTGGCGCGGAATCTGCGCCAGCGCGAGTATCAAAAGACTGCAGAATGCGATCGGCCCCATCGTGACGCATCGTCCGGTTCGCGCGCGTGTTATCTACGCACTAGTATTGGTCGCCGCGGTTCGCACCAACCGGCAGTGTCGGTCGTCGGAAAATCGCGGACTGTCGCGAAGGGTTCGGACGCGCGGCGCGCCGGCGAAAACCACCTGGTCGTCGCACATTCGTCCCGGCGCGGACCGGCCGCCGCGGGGGAGTGCCGGCGGTCCGTACGCTCGCGGTTCCCGGATTCGCGCGGTCGGAAAACGCGGCCGTGTGTACCGCGACCGGTATTATTATTATTGTATTTTTTTTTTTTTTTTCTCTATGTGGAACGCGGACGAACGTGCCCGCGCCGACGCGCGTGAATGAGCGGCGCGAGTAAGCGGCGGTCGTGGCGACTGGGAGCGGATGTCTCGCGGAGACGTACGAGTTGACGCGGGCCCGTGGACGCGAAGACTGCGGGCCGTCCCGGCGCGGCGTTGTGTCGGCGGCGCGACGCGACAGGTAGTGCCGGCGGCGGCGGTCGCGGCGGCGGAGTGCCGGGGCGGCCGCGTACAATATAAAATACCGTGTCCCGCCGCGTGCTGTTATTGTTATGCGAGGTATCGCGTGTGCCGCAGTCGGGTGCGCGCGGGGCTTACACCGGAACGCGGCCCTTATTATTGGCCGGTGAAAACTGTCGCGATCGCGCATTCCCCGAAACTCCCCCGCGCATACGGATCACAAATCGAAACGATCGGTCACGCGGGGGGGGGGGGGGAAACAACGCGCGTCGCGTCTGCCGCGGATTTTTGAACATTGGAGGTGGCAATTTTCGATCGTTTGAAGTTATAATATTAAAAAAAAAAAAAAAAAAGAAAGAGAGACAGAGAAATTCGGCACCGCGAGTATACCGTTGTTGCAGTGTACGCAGAAAGTACGGATGGTGTAAGACGCAAAACAGTTTAGATTTTAGTTTACACCTATCGCTGAAAGCAACGATAAATCGTTACAATAAAAAAGAAAAAAATATTCCGAGTATCAGTAAACTGTTAACCGGTACGATTTATACGGATATCATTATATCACAATGTTTACACGGACAATCAGTTATCAGATCGATAGACTCCATTATCCTAACAATGTTGTTTTAAGTATTTAATAATATATTATAATTTTTTTCGAGTTTCATTATGGAAAATTGTAATGTTTTGCATTATAAGAACGTTTTGTATTTATAATTTGTAAGTTCTTGCGTAAAAGGAATACGAATCAAAAGAACGAAAATCTTAGTTCTTTTTCCTGTATAAAAGGATTTCGTTCCACGAGCTTTTTCTTAAAAAAATGAACCGTTCCTGAAACTCGTTCCTTTTGGTACTTGTTCCTTTCAAACACTGCTCGGCGACCATTGTGTTACTAAGAGGGGATATGTTTTTTAAATTAATCCGTGAATTACAAATGTGTGACGAGTCACTGGAATCAGGGACTTTTATAGAATTTGCGTGTATATTTTCGTTGACAAGATTAAAAAAAATATCATAGTCAAATGTAAGGAATCTTAATGATCATTTTTTTTTTTTACGCGTACAAAAGTCCCTAAACGCAACCGATAACGTACTGAAAATGTTTAAATCCTATCAAGTCCACAACCTCGGTTTTTATTATAAATACACAGTCACGTAATTCACGGGGTTCACCAATAGGATCGATACAACGTACGGTAAACAGCAGGAGCGCGGGTGTATGACGTATCAATAATCAATATATATATATATAGGTACGAATATACTAATCGATTTATTTAATTATCGCGTCTGACGAAGGAAAAATAAAGAATACGGTACTGTGCGAGAAGAAAAAAACGAATGCACGGCGGCGTGCGGTAGGGGGAAAACATAATTTACTCCCACGTTATATTGTAATACATATAATATGATAATATTATGCTGCGCCCTACCGGTGTTAACACACGTTACCGGTAGCCGGGCACACGGGTCGCGGATCACTGTCAAAATATTATATTGATTTACAATACCCCGAAAGTGCTGTAGGTGGCTACCGTCGTCGTAGTTATTTTATATTGAATCCGGTACGTATATAATTATGATTTATAGCGTATACGGATCTAAATAAATTGGAGAACGAAGAGATATTATATTATATTCGACTACAATTTAAATGCACTTCTCTCCCAACGAGCGGTAATAAATAATAAAATAATTAGACGCACTTATTGCAAGTCATCTTGATTAATCTCAAGTTGTACTTGGTGGTAAATTGATGTTTGGAAGTTATGGAGCGAGTATAATATTATATTATTTAGTTTATACACGAAAGCAACGGTTAATCAAAAACCGATCTCGCTAAACAGATAAGATTATAGTGTTTTTCCTTTGTAGCTAAAAAGTTACCATAAAATCGAACTGATTAATCGTCATTTGTTGTCGGATTTTCGACATTTTTAGAAAAACGGTTGAGAATTTCGAACACGAGTTTTCACATAAAGTACCATTAGGCGGACAACGCGCATCAGTTACTATTCGGAAAAATTCGGAACTTTTTTTACCAATCGAACGAGTGTTTTCCGTGAGAGAAATAAAAAACGCACACTTTATCAAAACTATACGATAGTCTCTTCACTATACATTCTGAATGTGAAATTTTTTTTATTTTTATCACGTCTTGTTACGACGATAATAATATTATGATGTTTACTAATTCGAATTTCGGGACGAAAAAAAAAAACAAACGTATTTACAGTGGCTAATTAAAACTCGCTATACACAATGGCCGGATAGGTATATACCCGCAGCTACCTCCTATACCGTACGGGACGAATAATCGAGAAAGCACCACAGTACATTTCTTTCTTTTTCAATATTATTATACCGAAACGCGCTTATCGACAACTACACAGCACTTCACTGACAAGCCGTTTCTCCAAATACGGAACGCGCCGAGTCGGAGTCCGCGAGCTGCGCTGCAATGAAGGGCACAATGCGTTTAAAAATAAATCTTTAGACATTCGATTGTACGTAACGCTCGTTATATTATATTATTATATTATATTATATGCCCGCGTGTGCAATTGCAGTAGCAGCAGCAGCAGCAGCAGTAGCGTTTCAGTAGTATTTGTACGTTTTGGAAAAGAAAAAATAAATACAAAATGAACAAAAAAAATTGTTACTCGAGGTACGCATTTCAATCCCGGAAAATAATAATAAAAAAAAAAAAACCCCATTCGAATAATATTCACGCATATAATATCGCAGGAAATAACAAAAAGAAAGTCGAAGAATTTTCGAAAATATTATCGAGTAGATACTTGCTGTATCATACAGTTTCGAAAAATAATAATTATCGTATTATCCTATTTATAGATACGTAACATTATACTTGAACTAAAATCAACGAAAATATGTGTCTCAATCATTTCCACCAATTCACCCGCGTGGAGCGAAAATTAGTCGGAAAACATTTGATTTGCAAAATATCGTGTTATTTTTCGCGGGTGTGTACCATCAAAAGACGTGTAACTGGGCAGGCTAACAAATCTTTATTGTTTTTTTCCCCGTGAAATGCGTCGACTTATCGTAAATCGCACAGTATTTATTATGTATAGATAAATAGAGACCTGCGGTTGGGACATCCGGCGGAGGAGGCCACTATATTTTATCGGTGCCGAACTGACAACGGGCGAGGCCACTTGTTTACATTGCTGTACAATATGATTACTACGTGCAGTGATGCCGAGCAAGTAAGCCAAACCTAACCTACAGCGGTCACTGATATGCCGACATGTCCCATTCGTGTTTTTATTAACGATTTAGCAAAATATATTATTTTATATACGTGTTATTGTTTATGATAAAGTAATGGTTTTTACAGGGACAATACGAAAAACGTCTGTTTTGTTTTTTTTTTTTATCCCGGATAGCCCATTATGCTTATCAGATGTTTACATTTTTCCACTAGTCAAAAGGTGTAAAAAAATCAGTCCACTCAATAGGTTATTGACGGTTTCGATAACAATAATAATATATAATATTACGGCACTGAAACAATATTATATGAGAATTATTTTCAACGTAATATTATTGTAGTAATAGATTTTTCGGACACTGATTGATTTATATTGTGACAGGGGCGCGCGCAGTGTAATTAGAAGAAGGAGAAAAAAAATGCCCCGGTTTATGTAGTAAGTGCACGTATCCCGTGCAGCTCGTCGCGAGTAGCACTTTGTTCATACGCACGGTGTTCCTAATTATTTATTCCTTGTACCGACTATATTATCATTACGGACAAGTCACGCGCATTAAAATATTATTCTTTCGCCGTATCGTTCAGCGAATAATTATAATATAAATGTATACGCATTCGATTTGATTATAAACTGTTGTACGCGCAGTGGCAAAGCGGGGACCGGAGAATGCAGGCAATGCGGCCGTATTCGGGCCCTGTTGTACAACAGGCATTTCTGTCGGCATACGATTAATTCAAAAAGAAAAAGGGGTCCTTCCGGAATACTGAAAAGTAAATAATAATACGTCGGTTTTATTAATTATTATTATTTTACGAGTATAGTGAGTACACTGCTTTGCCGTCATTCTCGATATCGACTGTATGCGTGTGGTTGAGCATCCAATAATTGAATTATTTTTCGGTGCGTCTTACAAACGCACGACACGGTAAACTCGCATACAGCAGGGATAATTTTGTGCTGCTAAATTTCATTTTTTTTTTTTTTTTTAAGAGAATTGGTTAATAATCGAACTTTAATTTATGAACATTGTTTGTGTTGTACGTTGGTGTTTCTCTTAATATTGTAGCTTTTAAATGAGTTGAAAGCATTTTTAAACTGTAATATTGCACACACTTAGATATCGTTTAAAAATTGTAATATCGAATAAAAACTTATGACCATACATAGATAGTGCTCTTGTTTTTAAGTTTTATTAAATGTCAATTAACAGCCCAAAATCGTCACGGTTAAACGCCTTTGCTACGTCGTGCGGTGGTAAGACTGATACAACACAGCGGGTATGTCATCACGTCGCTTCTTAAGAACAATACCTATGTTTTCGTCCGTGGCTTCAACGTAGCTCTTAATTGCCGAAGCCACGATCGAAACCGTGTTCTTGAAAGAAAATGCAACATACTGCAGAGAAAAAAACTAAGTAATGCTTAAAACGAGATACGAAACGGTCGAGGGAACAAAAATATCTAGCCGTCTAATGTCCTGAGATTCGAAAAACTCTGCAGTACATAATATTGCAAGCGTTAAAATTTGTATTATGAAAAAAAAGACAAAATTACGTGCATAAAGCCTAATTTTCTTCTGCTATTAGGTATATTTGAATAGAAAAAAAGGCCCCCGATTGGCTTTTCGCTTTGTCGAGAGCCGTTTTATACCTATTTACGCCACTGTACGTTGTAAAAAAAACTCACACCGTATTATAATATTCTGTTCTGTTTAGGCATACCTAACTTACCTATTATGGTATAAAATAAATTGTGTATACCGCGATGACGATATGCCATTAGGAGGTACATTCTACCTACAGCTAATACCTTTAGAAAATGAAAAATTACATACGTTCTAAAACTGCATAATATAATATTAAATATTATACACACATAGTTTGACTTCGAGCGCATAGACTTCATTAAATGCGATGTAATGTATATTCGGAAACCCTAAACGCATCGGCTATTATATCATTATTGTATTAATATTACGCCAACAGGTTTACAACAAGATAGCAGTACTGTCGGTGCTTATTAATATTACTTGATCATATTTTGTTTTCGTTCAATCCCGTCGGGCAAAAGTCGTATTATAAATAATACTGGGCCATAAAAGTCGCGCCAAGCGGTATAAACTTCGTCGTCGCCGCCGTCGTGATGACCCACGGGGACCCTAAAATACCTATACTTAGTCGTATACGTGTGCAGCAATCGATATCCGATACGAACCAACGTTTTCCGTATTATGGAAAAACGGTGTCTCGAAAGAATGCGACGGTAAGCGGACACCCAGAGCCGTGTCACGTGGACGTATGATTACTATGAATTATAATGTACTCGAAGAAAAAAATAAAACAAACGGGGTTTACTTCCGTACGCGGAGAATAAACGCACCTATTTACGACGATTCGCCTTAGGTATTTTTTTATTATTTTTTTTTTTTTTTTATGATCGTTGGTTTTATTTTACAATATGAAATAACGAGAAAATAATATTACAGTACAAGTATAAGTACAGTATAAGTACCTAACAGTATTATTTTACGCAGTTATCTAAACGCAACTTTTTCCCGGTTAAAATTTTTTATCATATTTTTTTTTTTTTTTTTTTTGGCATTATTCCAAAATACTGTCGATAAATCAATTTGGTCGTTTATGGAATATCATTACATAATAAGTAGGCGCATTTTATTTATTGTATATATAGGTATGTATTTAGCATCGCGTTCGCAATACCTATCTCGTACGCATGGTAATAATATAATAATCGTGTGCGAAATGACCGATAAAATACACATCACGAGAGTGCACGGAACAAAATAATATTATAATACTTTACATGTAACATATTATTATTCCGCATATTATTATACGTTTATATATATCTATTATATTTACTATATAACCATATGTTGATAAAACGAACAGGATTCGCCTCGATATTATTTTAACTTCGGGCCGACCGCGTATTGCCGAGCCTTCTATGGAATTATTGCATGGAATCAAACATCGTTTACAATGTTTATGTAGATCAAAAAAAAAAAAAGAAGAAAAAAACACGTAGTAGGTCTCGTGACAAATACGAAGATCGTCGCGCATTCCGTAAAGAAAATAAATAAACGATTAACGCTACCTATGTATATATATAATATGAAATCTACCCCCGTAATATCGAGTGTTATATTTTCATCTTCCCCCCCTCCGGACAACAACTATATAAGTGTATACAACGGCAAAAAAAACCTGCAAGGCGTGGTAAACCGACACTATTTATTAAAAAAACAAAAACATAATCAAAACAATCCGTATTTAGTTTCCCGTAATCCTGTATCATTTTGGCTATCCAAAAACATAACACAGTAAGTCACAATTCACACATTTTATAGTAGAGCCATTTTAGTAATTTTTCTAACACAGATCGCTTATGGGTTATCAAGTTGATTCCAGAGAGGACTTAAATATTTCGACCAAAAGTGTAATATCAAAAAATCTGCGCAATTTAATTTCGATCGGAATAATATCAAAACATGAAAATTGATAAGAGCGTCAGGTCAGATATGACTAACGCGTTACAGTTATATTCTTATTCTTCGCTTATCTAGCTTAACAGTTCGTCATGAAAGTCTCAGTTATCAACACAACTTCCCTTCATCTGGCTACATCTCCAATAAATTGTTCCGAATCGATAATACATCCCATACATCTCTACGGTCGTCTGTATAATTTTGTCCAATCATCGTTTTCTAAGTCCTTTTAGTATTTTACCTATATGACGGTCTCCATTCTGTAGTTTACCGTATGATTCCGTTTAACGTTTCCCTACGCATTATGTATTGTCCGAACCGTTATATTCTCGACCCTCGGAACAAGTTTGTTATGTATACGATAATATTATTTGGTTATCTAAGCTTTTCATCGCTCTGTTCAATATCGACGAAAACGCATCGCATATTTATCTCGACATTTTGTTCTGTGGTGAATAATTTTTATTATTTTTTTTTTTTCTAATAATTACGACGGTTGTTGTTACAATAACGAAATAAAATCTTATCGGAAATTATTCGTTTTCGCGTCTCCCGGAAAGGGTGGGGGGGGAGGAAAGACTTGAACGCCCGCAGCGTGGCATCACAGCTGAGCGTGCGGCGGCGGTCGTCCTACGGAACCTTGGAGAGGAAAATATTCTCGTCCAAGTTCCTATGGTGTCGCTATATAAATACGACTTCTACTTGTTCTCTCCGATCGGATTCCGTACGCGATGGCATGCCCGTCGCCATGGCAAACGCGTAATGTACGTTACAGGTACGTCGTACAAACTGCAGCACAAAGCTGCGCGCCGTCGTTCCGAGAAACCATTGCGCGGCTGTACCATATTCGGCAACTAGACTCTTTTAATTCCTGCACCGTCGCCGCCGCCGCCGCCGTGCGTATGACCGTTTTCGTACCGTTTTCATTTAGACCTGTTTGCTATTTTTTTTTTTTACTACTTTTTTTTTTCTTACGCGCTAAACTCCCCTTCTCTCCGGGTACCCATACGCAAACATCATAACGGGGTTACCTGCAACGACGACGGTGGTGGCGGCGGCGGTGACTACAATATTTATGTTTACTGCTGCGACTTACCGCTGAAACCGGCGCTTTGACAAACAGCATTGACCAAGGATATCAACCGTAGGTATTTTCACTATTATTGTTTCTCACATCACGTGCAGCAATCGAGCGCGTATAGTCCCTCTGGTCGCCGCCGTTTTATACCGTGACGTAATATTGTACAGTCGATAATATAATAACAATATTTCGTGTTGCCTATACTTGTTGTTTTTTTTTTTTTTTTTTGACAAAACAATATTCAAATGCGCGGCAGTGGCGGCGGCGAAAGGAAAACTCGATAAAATATGAAAAACACGGCTTTATTGGTGGTGAAAATAAATCAATAAATTATTATATATAGCTTTGTGACGAGAAAATATAAAAAATTCGGAGGAAAAAAAAGGTTATACAAATTGTAGGTACAGTGTACCTACAATATCTATATAGTGAGCACAATCGAGAAGAGAAAGGTAGAAGAATTTAAAATGTGCAAGTGTTACTGCGAAATATGATCAAGATTTCGTGGTGTAAGAGACGAGTAACAAACGAAGAAGTTACGAAAAGAACTTAGGAAAAAAGATAACTATGATAAATTAACAAATTATAATAATGAAGTAATAATAATATTATTATGATATATAATATATTTGCATAACGTTATGATAGTTTGTTGAAGTCGATAATATTACACTATATTATAGGAAAGGTTGGAGAAAGTCGAGAGAAGCGTCAGGTGTTTTATGTGACAAGAGGATTCCAATGAGACTTAACTTTAAGTTCCACGAACGTGTGGTGAGACTAATTATGTTATATGGTTTGGAGTGTTGGGTGATAGACAGAAAAATATAACAGACAATAAGGGTGGTAGAGACGAAAATGATAGGTTGATACAGGCACGGATCCAGAGCAAAGATCTGGGGAGGTGCCAACAATTTTTTTACAACACAAGTACAATTAAAATATAATATGACTGATATGGTATGAGCATATCATGGGGAGAGAGAACTCTGAAACAGTAAGAATTATAGTGGAAATAAACGTAAGAGGAAAGAGGCGGAGAGGAAGACCGAAAAAAATGAGGGTGGACGATTTTGGAAATGATATGAGGACAATCGGTGTATGTGAGGTGAGAGATCGGGTCATGTAAAAGTTGAGAACAAAATTAGCCGACCCCAAATAGTTGGGATATAGTTGAAGGAGAAAAAGATATTGAATATTGTCAGGGGGAAATCGGAAGATGAATACCAAAAATGGAATATTATACACAGTGTAAATATTCCTAGGGTCGTGGGAATGAAGAGTCATCGATATAGTATGTATTTGAAGGATTCGGGTTTTGGCAGACAAGCACGGAGGACTACATCCAATCAATCGAACAATCGAAGACCAAAAGAAAAAGAACGTATATGTAGATATTAAAAATATTTAAGTTGGAATAAGAATATTTTTATTGAAAAATACTTGAGAAATTCTTTATAATATTATATCAATGTTATTCACGTTCGTCATATTTTTTTTTTGCATTTATCGACTATTGTTTTTTGAAACTTTTCGTTTACATATATAAATTACATAAAAGTGACAGACGCAACGCATAATATAATAGACGGTGGTGTGGTATTAGTCACAAGAATGACTGGTATCCGTGTCTTGAAGGATTTATTTTTTTTCTTGTTTATTATTATTATTATTATTTTTTTTTTTCGGTACAGACACGACGAAAAACTGTTCATCGGTGAAAAGCAGTTTATTATTCTTTGTGTGTACGGTGTACCGGCACCGTGTAGACGAAAGACAGCAATCTTTGTCACGCCTTCGTCACATAATATACGTATACGAATCCCGGTCGGGAAGAGTATCTATCAACGTTGTTACTCTTACAATATTGTTTGGATTGCAATACATAAATTATACTAATTCGTGTCGGATGTGGGCATTTAAAAAAAAATCGAACCGGTTTCAAACCTACGTTGTCTTCGTCGTCTTTTAAGTTAATCGCGATAATTTGTTGTTTTACTTTTCACAAAAATTGTCCTCAATTGCTAACTACCCGAAAACATATGTGTATAACTATTTTGAAATGAATATAAATATAAATTATCTAGCGTCGTAGACGTGCACGTCATAAATATTGGTACACCTGTTGGCTGTTGCAGCAAAATTGAATGCGTATATACGGTATACCAACTAGTTCGCAGTTGTAATCCGATACAAAAGCACGAATGTCGGTCGTCATTATAATTTAAAACGTACAGTGAGAAAAACTAATGTTTTTACTGCATTTACCTATAGTTAAATGAAAAATTTCATTTGTATTGATTAAAAAGATGGACATACTTTGCACTTGGGTGCAGCCACTGTTGTAGGTGGAAAATTTGGAAGGTAGGATACAGACAGGAATTTAATGTATACCTATAAAATTAAACCTACGAAAATTAAAACCTCAAATTCCCTCGTTAGTCCATCTTAACGTCTTTCAATTCACCTCGGAAACCCAATCGGTCCATTTATTTTTAAAATATTTTTCTTCTGTTTATAATCCTCCTACACAGCATTCACTTCCTAAGACCTCTATAAATAACGTCACTTTTGAATCTTCCATCTAATATCCATTTATCTTCAGTGGGCGTTTTACAAGCAATTTCGAAATTGAAGAACTATACATCCTGTAGGCCTGATGAAATTTCAGTTATTCTACTATACAAATGTCGCATTTCCCTGGCGTTTTAAATTTTACTTTTTAGACGCTCTATAGATAAGGAAATTTTCCCGGATAACTGGAAAATTTGTTTATTGACTCCCATTCACAAATCGGGTGATCCAAATAACATTGTCAACAACAGGCTTATCTCTATTCTACCATATCTTTCTAAAGTTTTTGAATCTATTATTTATTCCTATATAAAGAGAAGCCTTAATCACATAATAATCGACCAGCAACACGGCTTTCGGCCTGGCAAATCCACATCTACCAGTAATATTGTTTTCATTTCTTACATATTAAATAGCTTTAGGGATAAAGGTCAGGTAAATGTAATTTGTGTAGATTTTAAAAAAAGCGTTTGATATAGTAGATTATTATCTTTTGATAAATGCGCTTGAAGTCCTTGGTCTCGGGAATCCATTACTTTCCTGGTTCAACTCTTATATTGTATCTCGAATGTAAGACTTAAGAATTTGTGATACAATATTTGAACCGTTCCCTGTTCCTCGAGGTAGTCCTTAGCTTTCTACTATTTATTTTTTTTATTAACAGGATTTTTCGGCGATAAAGTCAAAACTAAATGCTCGATGAACATTATTTTCGTTTGTCATTTTCAGTATAAAATAATGGATTTAATTTATAGTCAAATATGTATAATACAATATACAATATAATAAACAGTAAATAAATAATAATACAAAAATCGGATCAAAAGTTATTTCGGATGTCAGATCTCTATTTTACGGCCTGTATATTATAGTACAGTAAGTAGTGATAATACAGATGAAAATATGTACATTTTTTTGTTTAAATATTTGTTTGTTTTTTTTATTTTGTACTATTCTATTTTATAAGTCCGAAGTCATATAGAATACGATAATTCTGTTTATATTTTTTTTATAACTACATACTCGAATTTATAATTATTGAATAAATTGATAATTTTGTATGATTGTTTTTTTTTTCAAATCTTTATATTTGATTTATACTATATTTTTTATACTCTGCTGATACGGCACCGTAAAGTCCTCAACTCGACTTAAAGTTCTAAAACATCTAAACTCGTACAATGCACACGAACAAGTTATTTCATATCAATTATAATATATGTTATAAATATACAATATTATTATGCAAATAATAACCCGTTTAATCTATGTTGAGATTTTTAAGTGTATGATTCTAATATTATCATTGACACGTACGAATTTCAAGTGTATCTATGCGTCTTCAATGTACAACATGGTGTTGATAATTGAAATCATTAAATTATTATGTGTATACCTGTGTATAATATATTTAGTGAATGATGATTAAAAAAGTAAATAATCTGCAGCAGTGTAATCAAGAACACGTGTAATATTGTCAGTGGATATACATTATACACGTTACATTATTTACTAAGCTAATATGATATTTTGATGTTAAATTAGGTTAGGTTAGGTTAGTTAGTTAGGAGTTTATAGATGATTGGAGAAATGTATGTAAATAAAATATAACGATTAATTAATAAAATCCATATGGCTACCCTGCAGCAAAACCTCCAAAGTCGTTTTCTTTTTCTGCCAAAAACTTGCTCCGATCAAAAACTGTGTAAGCATTTTCTTGTAGCATTTTACATCTTATTGGTGGATTATGACAGTCGTTTTGTGTCAGTTTCCTTAATAGCAGTTGTTATGTCACAGTTTTGTAAAATTTGTTAAGTCGAAATTTTGTAGTGTAGACGATTCTTATGATTTTCCCTAACCACGAAGGTATGTCACACAGCAAATAAAAGAAAAACGTCGGTTCCATAAAAAATATTTATATTGTTACGAACTGAATGTAATATTACTAGAAGGGAAAATTTGAAGCTGCTGTCATTGATGATACATAATGTAAAATAATCATTGACCCGTGCCGTAGTATAATAAAAGTCCCAAAAAAAAAAAAATATTTAGATACTAATAGCGACGTTGAAAACGACGGGGAAAGATTTATATAAACGAAAATAAAACACGCCTCAAAAGAAAAAAAATGCAGGTATAATCTTGAACAAACAGAAGAAGTAAAAACTGTATACTCTACAGCCTCACCTGTACCTCAACCTGTAGCTAAACACTATAGAGTTCATCAATCTCGAAGAGACTGCGTTTACCTAACTCAGACCGAGGGGGAAAAAATCTATCGTTTACGAAAATGATGAGAACGGTTTGTCACTCGTGTAAAAGTTTAAATATTTTTTTCTTCTGGCTTGGAAAAAAAGCGACATATAGAAAAAAAAAATACTGATACAAATTAAAAGGATCTGAAGCTCAAGAATATCACCGTTCAAATGCGACAAGTCAGCAAATATTGAACAGATAAATGTAGATAGAAAAAGAACCTATTATAATAAGGTGACCCGCGAACATTTTTTTTTTATAAACAGATAAAGGCATTACGTTTTAAATTCCCTTCGAACGATTCATTAACGACCCTTCCGTCTGTAAGGCTATTTCGTGACGTTGTTTTTTTTCTTCAATGGTAAAATCGGCCAAGTGAAATTCTTAAATAAAAATCGTATTTTGTTGCAAAGTTATATGGTTGAAATAAGGGTTATGATTTGTTACGAATGCCATCTTGTCATCTAGTATCGGTCTGTGTTGTACCTGTGAGTACATTTTTACACCCTAGAATAAAAATACGGTTTTGAGGGATTTTTATGAGGTTATATATGTTCCGAATTTCAGATGACGAATTGTGATTTCTAGGTAAAAAAAAAATAGCTACCAGTCAATTGTTTTTCAATAAAGATTTTACTATTTGAGATTTTATTTAAAAAAAAAAATTATAATTATAGCAATAATTCAACAGAAACTGAAAATGTGATGAGTATTTTCAAAGGTACAACGATTTTGAATTCAATTAAATTTCTTTATAAATCAATAAATTATACGGGTACCCGATTCAACCAAGCCTTGTTGACAATATGTAATCCATACTACCGTAGAAAGCATGCACCGGCTTATCAGTACAAAAATATTTAATCCAAAAAAAAAAAAAAAAAAAAAACACCAAAAACCTAAATTGAGATAAACAATTTACTGGCAAAAATGTTTAGTAAAATTCTTTAAATCAGATAAATTTGTTACTACAAATAATATTAAAAAACATTTTTTACAGTAAATATTTTAATACGAGTATGAATTGACATGAAATATTAATAAATGTATTTTTTTTTCAATAAAGCAAAATGATCAATTCGCCTTTGAAAAAACAAAAAGAACAAAATTAAAACGTTATCATATATGATAAAATGCTTTTTGCAGACTCCCTGTTAATAATAGTAAGGATATTTCAAATTTGAATATTTAATGTTTAAAACTCAATGCAACATGATTAACGGAAATAAAAAACTCAACCATCACTTAACCTGTTTCACCATATAAAACTATGCCAATAGTACGCCAATTTTCATGAAATTCTCTTAATACGCAGTGTATTGAGTACGTATAGACTAATAAGTGCCTACATAAATGTTATATTTGAAGTTATCATGGGTAATTTGATATTAAAAACGATTAAAAAAATGACTCGGAGGGGAAAAACAATCGATAAAATGCATGTAAATTTACATTTATCCAGTAAATTTATTTCAAGTTCACGTCTCTATATCTCAATATTTATAATTAGACAGCAAGTGCTGAACAGTCATAATTTATTCTGATAAAAATATTGTCATTGAATTTTCAATGTAGAAATGAAAAATGATTAATATGGTTATTCACCATAAAACTGTGATAACGCCTTCTATTAGTTGCATAGATAATTACCTTTACATTCGTGCGCGTTTAGTGCGGTCGCTCTGCTCCACGGCGCATCATTGTAAAACGGCAAACACTCGTTACAGTCCGGTCCGGCAGTATTGTGCTCGCATCGGCACACCCTCCTGGAAGAACCGTCGATCCCTGTGCTCTTCACACATTCGCTGGCGTGTCCATTACATTTGCACCTGTTTTCGAAAAAAATAATTCAAAGAAGTGGTCAATAGAATATTATGTACCATGAAAATAAACATTCGATGATTAAATTGAAAAAAAAAATATTTCGCACCATGGGTGCGACCATTGTTTTAAGTAAAAAGTTCACTAGGTAGCATGTATATTAAATAGAGCGATTATTTAGTTTATATCTGTACAAAACGATTCTGAGTGAAGTTTTGTGAAATACGATTTGATAAACTTTAATTTAAAATTGTATTTAAACACTCTTATAACAATAAATTTGACTACCGATTTTCTGTATTTTTGTATTTTAATACGAAAACACGTCATGATAAACTTGCATCAAATTGTCAAGCTTTACTGAGAAGCTAACATGAAACATTTAACAAAAACTAAAAAACTAGAAAATTTTAAATACCACCATAATGAGTCAATATCACATACCAGAAACGACTCCTGAAGTTGATAAAGTACGCTTCAACAACTTTATTTTGCTTTTACAAACCATTATATTTCTCGGTATATTCAGAATCTAAATTGCAACCGAACGTATATTTTACAATTTACTTTATTTTTATACTCGTTTATACAGAGTGATTCACTAAGCGTGCTCACCCCATTATTTTTTATTCAATTTTTCGTATATTCAAATTCTGGTTTATGGAATTTCACTGGAAGGTAAAGTCGATAAATTCGACTACTTAGATTTTTCACAACATTTAAGGAGAGTAATGAAGTTGACACCCAAAATGTATTTTAACTAATACTCCGTTTATTTATGGAATTTTGAATGTGGGTTCTCATTTGAAAAACCAAAGTTTCGCCACTGTATATTCTTTAAATTTGTCCCTATCTTATTTTACTAAGTTCCGGAAAATTTAGAATAATTCTAGTATAAAAAATGTAATTTAACCTAATTGATAATAATAAATAATATATATATAATTAATAATAAATATATATATATATATATATAATAATTGAAAAATGATAATTTTAAGTTTCTCTATCATATTTTATACAATTTGTAAATAGAGTTGAAGCCGATATTTTTGAATAATTACATTTTAAGCAACATTTAAGGAGTATGCTGAGAGTGAAACTTTGGTTTTTTAAATGAGAATCTACATTAAAAATTCCCAAAATAAATGGAGTATTTCTTAAATTACATTTAGTATTCAATTTCACTACTTTCCTTAAATGTTGTGAAAAATGTAATTATTCGAAAATATCGGCTTCAACTCCATTTAAAAAATTTAAAAATCAAAATTTGTATTCATGCAAAACTTAATAATAATAAAAAAAAATCGGGTGAGTACACTTAGTGCATCACGTTATATATATTGCTTTTCATGAAAATCATATTTGTTAAAAATGAATTCAATGCATTTTATGCCTACGTGTGATACCTACGAATATTTCAGTTCAATAATAAACTTGTAAGTGACCAACTTGTAGATGGTCCATCACACCAAATAAAACAGTTGATTTTGTTTTATTATAAAAGAAACAACAGCAATTTTTCGGTGAAAAAAACTCAAACAAATTTAATTTATTTCGATTTATAAAATACATTATAAAGGTATATTTGCCTAATAATCAACGCGCGTAATAAAACTGCATTATTATTTACTCGCGTGTAAACAAAAATGTATAAATCAAGTGCTTCGAACATGATTGTTATTTATCTGAAAACAGATTCCATACGAGCTATGAATTATGATAATTTTATAATTAAATATAAATAGAATTAAAAAATAATTTATTGGAACAGAATGACGTATACATATATATAAAAAAAAAAATTATGAGTTTCCTATATGAAAATATTAATTACATCGTACGATAAATCAAAACAATAATACCAAAAAATCTAAAACAAATAGTTTTACTCTTTGCTAAACGAAATAATATGTCAAAACCGCATGTGGCAATAATAAATAAAGCTGTAGACAAAATATTGTGTGCAAGTACACAAATTAATTGCCCTGTCCTCAGTCCCCGGTAAAATTAAAAAAAATAATGTCAATTTTGAAATGTGATAAAATTGATAATGTAAAAGCGAAAAAAGACGTCGTAAGATAATGGGTACGGGTGCAGTCACCGTTATGGGTAATTTAATATTTACCTGTAAGCAACGATAAAAACCATTGCTTTCGAAAAAACGATTCTGACCGGAGTTCAGTTGATATTGATGCTTTGTCAACAATGTATATGTCAAATTATTATTATTATGTTAAAACAATTAAATAGGCTTTATATATTTTCTTTAATAATATTTGTTTAATGTTGTAGCGATTTTCCCAGTTTTTCACATTTGCTAAGAAAAATCTGGGGAAAATGGAAAAACGACCTATCTAAAGTACCCACACAGTGAAATTTCCTTTCAGAAACATTGCTATCATTAAAAGTTGGAGCAAAATTGTAAACAGGACAGTTGTCCACGGAAAAAAAAAATATCGTAACATTATACAAATATATTTCGTACAATTTCACGTTTTTTTTTGGTTTTTTGCATTTGATGAGAAAACTCTTGAGAAAATCGAAAAATGACCTCCCTAAAGGTACCTTCCCTTACCGATTTATTTTCAGAAAAGTTGTTACACGTAAAAATTGGAGTAAGTCCTCTGGTAAAAAAGTTGTCCACAGAAAAAAAAAATAAATGTAAAACTATAACCTTCTTAGCTTTACTCAGAATCTAAAATATCTAAACTAAATTATATCAGAAATTTTATCAGAATTTCAATATATAATTTCCGAAAATATCCGATTTGAAAACTCAAAAATTAGTAATAAAGAATAAAAATAACAATTAATTTAATTTAAAAAAGTAGTCTGGCCGATCTCGCGTATCATTCACGCTAAATTTAAATCGGTAATCAGAACTCTTAACGTTCCACTATATTGATCGGACTGATAGATAAAATAATGGTTCAAATTGCTATGCCGTATATGTGTTAGACAAAGAAACACAAGAGAATATTCGTTTCTCTTCAAATTCTCTTAGTCAAAAATAACCTTATACAACCTAACTATATGATACAAATATAACAGTCGTCACGTGTGGCACCACCCACCTCAGCACTGTTAACCCTTAACATTAGCACTAGTTCTTAAAAAAAATTGTACCGTGCCTTTATAAATTTGGCACTTGGAGCAACTGCATCCGTTTTATCCCTCTAAATGTGGCACTGTTCATAAGCAGAGTTCTCACAAAGCGGGGTCAATGAGACCCACGATCCTAAGTTCCTTGGACACATTAAGGGCGGGCCTTTGTGCAAATAATTTTATAATATTATATTAATAAATACATTTTCTAATCTATAGTTGACGTTCATATGACAAGAAAAAGATAAATTCAAGTATCAGAAAAAAATTGCAGCCGAGGCGTTTTATATTCCAGTACGACACTGAATAAGGACCAACAATATAGAAAATTTCGCGGTCAATACTGTTTTTAAATCGACAAAAATGTTCGAAAATATTTCTATGGTTTTAGTAACCTAAACTATAGTATTAATTTCAAGTGTTTTCGGAAGTCATCGAAAAGAAAAATAATAATAATCCTATTAGGATGTTAGTAGGTCCTCCGCTTGTTAATATTGATAACAGTAACTCATAAATATTAGTAAATTAGTTAAAACCACCGTTAAAATAAAACGTTCAGTACGAATAATTATGATGATTTATGATATTGTAATATATGTACTTAATATTATTTTGCCATATTTTGCAGATGTAGGCAATGCATATATTAGGACAATGAGTATTAATGATTATTATAAATAATTAATATAATCGTGAATAAACCTACCATATGGTACCTATATATATAGGCTATTGCAATCGCTTATATTCAAGTTTCGTATAGTTGCGGTACCGTTTGCGTGTTATTAGCGATATTGTAAAATACGCGAGTGAAAATTTCGAAGGAAAATCAACAATCCGACAACATGAGACTGTTCTGCTGGGATTTGGTGACAATCGTCAACTTGGCGTTGGCCCTCGGATTCGTTTTCTTGGGAATGCCGACCCTGAAGGGAGTATTGAGCGACCATCATCATGCCCCTCCGCCTGTTTATCATCATGCCCCTCCGCCTGTTTATCATCATGCCCCTCCTGTTTATCATCATGCCCCTCCGCCTGTTCACCATTACGCTCCGCCCAAACACGCTTATTATGCACCGCCGGCCAAACATCACGGTCATCATTAGACGTTCCATATCGACTCGGCGGCATATATATAACCAGTATAATTTTATGCCGAAAATTTTTGATTTTATTTTATTTATAATTACGGCCATCCATAAACAGGCATCTCGTCTATATTATAATTCTGACACGGTAGCACAACTGAGATTTTGTCGACGGGAATAGCCGCCCGATTTCCGATAAATCGTCAAATCAAACGATGTCTAGAAATACCGACGAACCCCCTTCCTTTTAATTGTGCCACTGAATTAGACGGTCATCGACAGGCTACGCGTCACGTTTATACGTATGCCGTTATCGAATTGTGTGGTACAAAAACAAATTGCACGTTCCGTTAAATTAAGAAATTTCGAATTAAACTGTTATTATAATATTAGCATTGTAACATTATATAATCGCCGATATTTAAATTTAATAAAAACAATGTTTCCGGACTCCGATATTGTTGTGATCTTTTTAAATCCATTTCAACCTTGTCGTTTAGCATTACTCGACACGTTTGTGTTATTAGAGTTCCGTTTCCTCGGCGACTCCGTCCGCGCGCGCTCTGCCGTATCGTTACCCGGAGTAACTGCGTCGCAGTCTGCCGCCACTGCATCGCCGACCACACGCGTCACGCGCGGCGGACACCTGGGACTTACGAACGACGGTCGAATCGGCGGTGGCGTTTGCGTTCGTCTACGCGGGAATGCCGGTCCTAAACGGCGCGTTGCGTGTGCTTGCTGATGACCAAGGGCGGCGGCGGCGGCTGCGGTAACAAAAACATTATGAAACGTAATCGTTTACGTCGGCTCGTCGGTACGCCCGTCTGCAGTGCACCCTCGACGTGTCGCGTATTTATTATTTAAATTCAGTTGTAACCGTGGCTGTATGCGCGTACGCAACAGGCGCCTAATTTAGGTTAGGTGCATATATTACACGGGAGACCTTGGTCGCAATGTCATAACGTTGTGTACCGCGCTAAACTTACAATAACGCTTGTTGCGAAATCTACAAACTGCAATAATGTCTTTTATTCACGAACCCTAACGGGACCGCGTTATGATATCGTTGTTATTAATGTAATATCATACCGACGCGCTATTTGAACTCGATAAAAATCGCGTTTCTGATTCCCGATTAAAATTATGTCATTGCGATTGTCGTTATGTACCCCGAACCCCTTTGCCTAGCTCTCGGTGAATACCGTTCTATGTCTACATAAAATTAATTGTTTTGAGTAAAAATAAATTCATATATTTATATACGAGTAAATACTTGATTTAGAGTAACTGTATTATGTAACACTGCGATAGAAATTTGACGTGAACATAATGTCTCGCGAACGGTTCGGTGGTCATTTGTGCGTACCGGCAACTAAATAACGTTAAACTAAAACTTCGTCTAATTGTGTTAAACTGTTAAAATAGATTGCTGTACAATAGGAAGACAAAATATAAAGGAAATGTGACGTTTTGAAGCTGCTTATTCATAAATTGTCCGGAAATAAAAAAAACTAATGCTTTCTGAGATAATCGTGGATTGATCACTCCGTGTAAAAAAAAAAAAAAAATGTATCATACCAATATTTTTTTTTTTTTTTTATATATATATACATATACTTTATAAGTATTTATACCTACACATAATATGAGTGTATTACAACACGGATCATATGATTGAAAGAGAGTCTATACATTTAAACCGCAATGAGATAATAAAATACATAATAATTTTAATTTACCTGGCTCCGACCGCGAAATCAGCAATTGCGTAGAAATAGGATTTCAATACTTGTGGATCGCCAAATACTTCATCACCAAACGTATTCAAACGGTCTAACGTGATACGAATGTCTGTTGCGGTTACCCAGTCCTGGAAATGATTTTTGGATAAGACCAAACATTATGTTTTCATTATTTATGTAATTATTAAGGTTCGTTATATTATCATATTCTGATAATATAATTATTAGAGCAAATTAAATTGATTGGTTGGGAATTATTCTCTTTTTTTTTTACAGTAGGTAATCTAGCGCGTAATTGACGTACAAGATAACAATATATGTATAAAATCGTACGTAAAGGTTTTTGTTAAAAAAAAAAAAAACGACAATACATAAATAGGAAATCTGGCACACCTACGTCAGATATTGATCTAGAAAATAATTATAATTTATATTAAAGCATTTTTTAAAAAAAAAAATGTAACATTCAAAAAAATTACTGTAGGTTATGTAAATATAACGTTCTATATTAAATTACGTCTTTCGTTTTTCAAAATAGTTTAAAAATAAATCAATCGAAATAATCAAAAAAAACTTAATCCTAATCTAACTGTTTTAAAGTATTTATAATAAATGTATACAATATTTGTGTCTATAACATTAGCCTACACTGAGGTGGGCAAAGCGAGACGAGTTTCCAACACTCAGTCTTTATATAAATTTACATCTGTACATTTTGTTATGCTTTTTAAAAACTGTAGGAATCATGTTTTTTTTTTTTTTTTCTAATATCAACAATTTAAACTACCTGATTGATTTCATTAATTTTAGCACCGAAATGGTAAACTAAATAAATTTGAGGTAGAAAAAACATTAATAGATAAGTATATTTAGTTGCCTATCCAATATAAAATCGGCAGTTGCTCTCGTTTTTATTGCAGTATAAAAATAATAAATAATATTTTTATTATTATTTATATATTATTTTCAATAATTCTCATAGATAAATAATTAATAATGAAGTTAAAAATATTCATATCTAATAAATATTGCACGGATAAAAATGTAAAACTTGAAAACGTTAAATTACCTAATTTCTGAAAACTTATGAATGCATTTTGTTAACTAAAACGAGTTTATTTCCGATATTAATAATGGTGTATTTCCATGAAAATATGCATGGACATAATATTAACGCAATAAAATTGCTACCGAAAAATTTGTAAATATTCCCGGTTAGGGGTAAGTATTGAAAAAAAAAAAAAAAATGTCCCAAACAGTTTTTAATTAATTAATTTCTTCTTTATTTGTAAATTTTGTGTAGGATGTTTAGTGGTTTTAGTCGATTTCACAGCGTTTCAAAAAATAATCAAATTGAGCTTATGTCCTCCGATTATTACAAAACAAAATAATATAGCAAACATTCTGTACTCGACATTTTATTATTATTAATTTTGTTATTTAATGACATAAGTATACATGTATATTGAACACCGTGTACACCGTTAATTACTTAACAGACAATTAAATAACATTATAATCTTACCCAAAATTCCGATTTGGAATCGTAAAACTTGGCTGACGGTCTGCCTTCTAGGGTCGAAAACGGAACACTTCCACCGGTCAACGGGGAAATGTCTGAAAACTCGGAGGTACAAAACGCCCTAGTCTCTTGTTCGCCAATACGAATGTAATTCAAGTCCGGCAATCCGTAGGTGTCTCTACAACTCGAACTGCGCACAAACAGAACAATTGATTATAATTATTATATTATAATATTATACCGCATATTATTAAATAACAATTTTTTGCACAATTTAAACAAATTTGAAACAAATCAATTGTGACGGCGCAAAACCACTACAATACACTTATTTGTTTCTTTTGATCGTGCGCAATTTATCGATTTTTTTACATTTTGAAAAAAACAAATCGAGCATACTTCAGACCACTGTCGTACGCGAGGAGCTTGTAACACGTTGGTAATTTTGTTTATATAATGAAAGCAACGATAAATCATTACGATCGAAAAATAATTCTGAACGGATCTTGATAAACTGGTAAAGGCATTGTACAGTATTAAATATATAAATTAATTAATTAATGCGTCGCTTGGAGTATTATGATATGTGTATTATTGTACGACCGGTTTTGAATTAAAAATTTATCGACAGGTAAAATCACAAAATTAAAAAAAGTGAAACGCGACTGAACATGAATAAATAAACGAAAAAACTAAACAAATTGATCGTTTTACATAGAAATAATTGATTTTAATAAGAAAGTTTAATTAAAATTAGTTATTATTAGCCATAGATATGTTAAGAAATATAAATTATTTGATTATTAGTATTTCTTGGTTTATTTTTTCATATTTAGTCACCTTTTATTTTTTGACTTGGTGATTTTACCTGATGATGAATTTTCAATTCGAAACCGGTCGTATACTACATAATATCATAATACTCCAGGTACTCATTAATAAATTTATATATTTATTAACGAATGTTTACGAATATTAACCGTTTAATAATTTTGTTTTTACTTTATTATTTTATAATGTATAGTATTAGTTTTTTTCTTCGATAGCTAATTACAAAATCAACAAAACCCACATGTATCGTCATTAATATTGTGGTCAGGATTTAGAATAATGTTCAGTAGTTTCAAATAAATCAAATAATTTCAAATAAAGTGCTATTGGAGAGAAAACTCGCACATATACGGCACCAAATCAAAATAATGCAGCATTTATACTAATCGATCGTGTCATGATCAATATCGAAATTAAATCTTTAGGCATATTATAAATATAACTACGTATTATGTATTTATTTTATTAATCAATAATAATATTATATGTTAAATATTTTATAAATATTGAATTTTTAATTATTTTTATTGAATAATTTAAAACGCATCCTATAATAATTTATTATAATGCAGTATTAGTTTTACAATTTCAAAAAGAATTCATTTGGAAAACGGGATTACCTACTAGAAACAATCAGTGGCAAACGCATAAAAAAAGACTCTTTTCTTTACCCGTACTTAACGAATCGTACGACAATAATCAAGTACGTACGTAATTTTAAACAACGAGCAATTTTTTTATGATCAAAACGTAGAACAATAATTTTATGTGTAAAAATATGATAAAATAATATATCATTTTTATACTTATATGCGCGAATTTTATCGTTAACTTTATAATTCTGCGCTCACCTGTAGAATTGATACGGTATCCACGGTCCTTCTTCGGTACTTTTCTTATAAATCGCAAAACTCTCGGGTCTCGGAGAATAAAACAACAGTCGGATGTACGTGATATCGAACGCTTTACCTGTAATCAAATAATTAAAACATATGAATTATAAAATATTTTAAATGCAAATATTGTATTTTAAACTTGAGTCAGTGATAGAGAACTACATTTTAAATAAATATTACAATATAAATGTTAGAAAATATAAGACAAATATACAAAACTAAATTAGTACATACCAAATTCAAGGTAATACAGAATTTAAAGTTAATATAATTCAAGTATTATTACAAACACGTACAATGGACGTAGTCAAATCAAAATCATCTTGTTGAGGCAATTTGTTTTTGTTGGTTTAGGAGCCAATTCAATTGCACCGGTAGTTCATAATTCTAAAAGGCTGTCCTAGGATAATGGGAACGGGTGTAGCCACTGTCATAGGTAGGTAATTTAATGTATATTTGTAAGTAACGGTTAACTATTGCTAACGAAAAACCGATTCTGAGCGGAGTTCATTTGATTTATTTATATATGTCATATTATGGTAAAATAATTACATATTTCCATTAATAACATTTGTTTAATACTTTCCCGTTATTTAAACGCTTCTCCCGGTTTTTCCCATTTATTGGGAAGACTGTCGGTAAAATAAAAAAAGAAAGCCTCCTTAAAATACCTCCCCAGTCAGATTTCCTTTTAAAAAAAGTGTTATCATTATAAATCGGAGCAAAATTTTGGATAGAAAAGTTGTCCAAAGAAAATAAAAAAAATCTCATTGTAAAACCAATACATTCCTCGCTCTGTTCAGAATCTGAAATGTGTTTTATCTAAAATTGTATGTAGTAAAACTATAACGTTATATGGTTAAAACTTGCCGGACCGGATGTTTAATGATTTTATACAATAATAAAATAGGTAGCTATCTATTTCGAAATCTATTTATACAATTATTTTGGTATGCCCATCCAGTAGCTAAAGTTAATCGTCATCTAAAAAGTGCATCGTTTTCGAACCCATCGGCGGTTGTTGTGATTTATAATTGGTTAATTACGGCTGTCATTTATTTTTATTTTATTTTTTTAGGTACCCAGTGACTAGAAATTTTGCTTACCGATACATTATTACATGTTTTATAAACTGGTTTAATATTCTATACCCGCGCTCCGATTGATTATTATTTTTGAATATTTTACATGGCCTATACGAATATTACCTAGCTATAATAATATTATTACAGTTTTAAACTCGCGTGTATTCAATTTTGACGATTTAGTCATTATATTATTATAATTAATTATTATTATAGACATATTATACGAACGTATAATAAACGCGTTTTTTTTAAATGTATGCCAATAATCGTTACCTAAATATTATTAGATAATTATTACATCTGAGCAGATGATGGCAGTACGTCAGCCAATTTCTAACAAACACTTACGTACGAACAAATTTACCTAATTTTTACTTAGAACTTTGTCACAACTTTTTGAAATTTAATACACAGATTAAGCATAAATAGCTTGATACATTTACAAAAAAAACCGAGCTCTTTCAAAATAGGAGTGTTATTAAGTTTGTATTTTAGTTTTTCGCTCACTCACGCACTCATCGTTCATCACCATTAAAATTATAAGGCATTTTTTGAATAGTTAGAAAATTGAAATCGAACACATATGGTACACATTGATTCTTACTAAATCTGCGTAGTCTCGGTGATTTTATTAAATATCAATAATATCATAATTAATAGGTATAGAGTATATTTACCTATACTATTTAAATAATCGCAAGAAGTTGTCACAGTAGAAATCTTAAAAAAAAAATGGCCCGACAAAACTGTTTATACTATTTTCCTAAATTTCTACAAATGTAATATTTGCAATCCGAATTGAAACGATCGATCCGGTCAAAGTCAAATTTAGTCATACACAATGTGAACTTAAATCGTGTGCCGTTCGTCGATTTTGAATTGTAAACCGAGGAACGGTCTGATTTCATAAAAATATAAGTATTTATCTGAGTCATACTTGTATAAAATGTGCAGACTGCGGTAAGTTGACAGTATCTCTTGTCGTGCACGGTTTTCTGTGTATTACAATAATATGAAATCTAACTCGCGACATATTTTCATATTATATCCGATTCAAGCCAAATTCATTTACATATTATTGCGTAATACAATATATCTGTGCGTGTATTAAAGTATTATCTGTATACAGACTACACAGTGTTTCGAATAACTTTTGAAATCCGTGACGGTATCCGATAGTCGCGCAATTCTTCCCGTAGACATAAATATACTGTTGCTAATGCCGACAATAGTATTGTTTTATTTCCAACCGAATGCTTTTGTAGGCGTATTAAACGAATTGTTTTGAGATTGAATTTCAAAAATAAAACCGAAGAAATATCGATATTGTTCCCTGAAACGCAGTGTATATGGCTGTACGTAAAAACTATATTTTACATTACACTCTTTTAATCGACGTTCCGGAAAATATAAAATCCTACATACATATTATGAAAAAAAAAAAAAAAAAAAATCCGTTTTTCATTATACAAAACCGGCCAATTCCGTTGTCAGCATTTCATGTGCAATAATTATTACTTACGAAACTCACTACCGTGTTTGTTTTCGTTCGGATAATCGTGCATAATGCATATTATATCGTATTTACGAATAAGCGCGTATGCCATTATTATAAAATGGGAATATTGATAAATTGAACGGGGCCAATATATTATCTACCCGCGTCCTACACGATGTGAATGAACGACAAATAATAATAATATTATTATTTCAAGTGGAAAACTAGGTGCAGACACAATATTATCCTTTGTGTACTCGTGCGATATTGTACAATGTACAATTGTTAAGGTTTGTGGAACTTGATAATAGTTGTGGCGATGCAATAGGTATACGCACCGCGGAAAAACGATTCGAGTCTAGCTGTGGGATATGTGAGTTTGTCTTAAATATAGTTAAACTAATAAATAAAAAAAAAAAATATATATATAATTTAAATAATTTTTTTTTTTAATTTCGAAAGAAATGATAATTTAAATATTCGATGTGTTTGATGTGTTTTATTATACGTTAAAATTAGTCGAGGTACTGAGGCCCTACTGAGTTTCTCTACTCCCCTAGAATTCGAGTACTGAATACCGATAGACGTGCAAAAAGCGGCGTATAAGAAACGCAATACAAGCTCCGAGTGGCTAGAATGGACAACCGCGGATTTCGGCCCGGTCGTGTACGGCAAGTTTTAGGAAAGTCGGCTTCGAAATGCACCGGTCAGTAATACCGGCCGATGCCCGACGTGGCGTAAAAGTGATAAAAAAAAAAAAAAAAAAAACCATCGTGTTACACATTATATTATTATATGTACCGATTATACGCGTTCGAGTCGCGTTAATTCTTCGCCGTTAATGCGTATTTCCGAAACCGCGACAGTAATAGTCCGTTACGCGCAATCGGTACACCGATTACTACACAACAATAATATCGTTGTGCTTTTTATGCAGACCGATAATTTAAAACGCCGTTGATCCCGCGGCGCGTTTACTCGCGGTGTGTGGGGTTGACTTTATTCGAATGACGCGTGGGAGACTGAAAAAAAAAAAAAAAAAAACAAATATGCACGTACGGTATTTGTATGAATACAATATTCCGTTCATCCTACGGGAAACGACTAAAACGCCCTATCGTAATTTATCTGTCTGCGGCCGCGTGCGCGCATAATATTAGAATAGACCCGAATTTCGTTTTCCAGACCGGCTGCAGCACAATCGCGCGACGCTAATACGCGATAATAATAATTATCGTGCCTATACGCGAACGAGTGTACAGGGCGTTCCGACACACGCGGCGAGAACACGCGTCGTTATCTCGCGATAGTACATAATAAATGTGTACATTTTTTTTTTTTTTTTTCGAAATATTTTGTTTTTCAGAACCTTTTGAAAAACAATATAGTAATATATCTAAAATATTACATATCGGTTGTTTTTCTTTACCATCGTTTTGTTAAGATATGAAACCGCCGCCTACTTTTGATTTTCTGACGGCGACCTACACTGAAAACTCCATAAACAGACGGCGTATTCTTTTGAACCGTGGACCTTATACTAAGAGACGGAACATCCGAGTAAGTCGCGAGCGTGTGGTGGTGCGGTCACTCGCAGTGGCACAACAGTGACGCCATTACTCGTGACCAAAACCGTCGTTTTTAACCATTAGCCATCATGCTTCGTAATACTCCATTTATAATTATTCAATAGAAACCGGGTCTTATAGCAAAAGGTATGGTGGTGATAGTACGCGGCAATTATATTGATAACGCGCACGGTAAAATTTAAAACTGTTGTACGATTCGTAATTATTGTGCGCATGTGCGGTGTACTATATACGACCTCGATCGGCGTACATACGCGTGGACGCTGGAACTTTACTGTGATCCGTCTATTACGGTTGAAGTTCTATGGTTTAAATACATTTCGGCGTTGAATAGATATTACGCTATTAAGTTTAGGAGAGGGGGTGGGGGGTTTGCCGGAACACGATTACTATGATGCACCATTACTCTCCCCCTGCCGAATCTCAAGAGTGGAATATCCCGTTGACGGGTCGACGGAAATTTAAAAATTGTTTCGCAACGTGTTCAATAGTATACAGGGTACACTCGAATTGATATCGGACGGCGCGCGGCAGTCCGAAATCGATTAGAGTTTTTCATTTATTCGGGCCGCACTCTGATATCGATATGATAATATTCATCGCGGTAACCGGCTGCATAATTTTGACATTTGTTATTATTTATTTGTTTACGGCCGATTACTGCCGCGGCGGGTACACTGCAATAAGCGAAAATCTCCAAATAAGGACCGTATCGAATTACGATGCGAACACAGAACCGAGCGAACGTCAGTATAGCAGTTTTTGAAAAATCACACATTATTATACACTATTGAAATTATGAAATCTCGTTCGAATCCGTTGAACTTTATCGCTATTTCCGTTGTCGTCTAATAAAGCAATCAGTACGATACATAGGCGTATTATAGTTGACGTAACGTTTTCAACCCGCAAAGCTGGACAGTTAAAACTGACCGGTTAAAAGTCAAATTTTTCAAGTTACTTTTTTTCGAAACTCAATTATAGTTAATAAATAAAAACGTTAGAAAATGACTTTGCGATTTATTTTAATTGATCGTTTAAACTTAACCAGGCGATTTTGTTGAATTTTCTAAAAAAGTTATTTACTTAAAGTTAAGTAGATTTATTAAAAAAAAAAACCTTTGTTGCCATGCTATTCGAATTATTCATTTCTCGACGAAAATTGCGTGTTTACACGAGAATATTATATTATTAAATAACAAGGCGAGCACGAGGCCGATGCAGGTACATTATACCCACACGAGTCTTGTACGTCTAGAAGAATATCACAAAATGTGTACGTGTACAGCGAAAACGACACGAAAACAAAATATTGTATTCAACAAATTACACGAACAAAAATAGAACAATATTAAAAACTGTACGATTTTTTTTTAACCATCATTAACAACTACTATTCATTTAGATTCTGTTGAATTTCGTATCAATGGAAGTATAATATTAAATAGAGGTCATCGTCGTTTCCTGTTATGCTGTTATCTATAAGCACAAAGTACGTTTATAATATACTGAAATAAAAATATTATAATTCTTTGGCGACCGAAAAAAAAAAAAAATTGTTAACTGATTTTTGTACAACACGATTACGAAATGTTTAATTTAATTTTATTAACAAATGTTTTATAATATTTCGATGGATGTTAATGTTTTATCACGTACCTAATATTATAAACTAAATTCGAAACCATTCCAATGTATTTCAACTATAAACCATATAATTATAATTTATTGAATAAATACTAATTTAATTAATTATTGTTATAAGTACACGAATTTAATGAACAAACCCATTGATATTATTGGATACGGATGATTTTACCATTTTAAATTCTGCGCGTGGCTTAATATTTTATCCAATATTAACGAGGGAAAAATATAGATGGACAGTTCAGAATGTATAGAATATAGGTTAATTTAATTCATACTCTGAAAACAACGATATATTTTTGCCATCAAAAAATGATTCTGAGCGGAGTAGTATTAGTCATATTTTTTCACGTGTGGTCAAGACAGAAATTAACAAATTAATAATACCAATGCATCGACATTTTTTTTCAACTTTTTAAATTTTGTAAGACAACTGTTGGTAATTTAGAAACGTATTCCTTTTAAATTTTCATTTTTTAAGGTATGGAAAAACAGAGTTTTCTGGGAAAGAAAAACACTGCATAGTAGAACTAACATTTTCTTTGCTACACTCAGGAGTAAAAAAAGTAGGCGATTCCATAAAATATATATTGTAGACATAACGGCAAAACAAATAATAAAGTAAGCTATATTATGACGACGACGTGAAGACTGTTGATTTTGACAGCTTCGTACACAAATTTATCCAATTAACGCTATAATATACGAGTTAACATTAATTCTCGCTGACAGACATATCTATTAGATTATTAGAAGGTATATAATATGACTGAATGAAGAAGTGGTTTACAAATCCGTTATGAGGAAACGATGAAAAATAATCAACGGAAAAGGTCGGCCCACATGATATTATGCTGTTATGAATATTATGATAGGATATTGGATACTGGCTGTATTTTTTTTTTTTTACATAGGCAGTTCGATAATACAGGGTGTTCGAAAAATGAATACATAACTAATATCAATTTTTTATATAAGTGTACTACATAATGTGTATTTATATTTTTTAAAATGATAAAATAAAATATTTAAATATTATAAAAAAAAATAATGATTTTTTTGATGAAAATTGCTTTGGTTTTTTACGTAGTGTCATAAAACATGTAAAATTTCCGCTCGGTAAAACTTTATTAAACAATTTTGTCTATATTCCCAACAGATTTTGTCAAAAAAAAAAAAAAATTTTAAAACTGACAAAAAATGGTCATACTTATTTGTTTTAAGTTTGTTGATTTCTGTGTTATTATCAGTTATTTTTTATACAATTATAATTTCAGTTTACCGAGTTCGAGCAGTTCGGCTAAGAATCGCGTTTTGATAACAATGATGGTTCAGTAGCTTTTAGTATACAAATTAGATTCACCTATATTAGTTATCTCTGAATTAATACTCAATGTATATGCGGCCATTTTTTTTTTATTTTGTGAATTTCCAATGAAATATTCTGCAAATTAATTTCAAAGTACCACAAACTGCCCAACAGATTAAAAACAATCGATATTAACTCAACAGGCATGGGATAAATGTTATTTAAACAACGTATATAAAATATTGTTTTACGGTTAAGTAAACCCATGCCCGTTGCATGGAATAAAAATGTGCAGTCGGGTGATGGTCATCACGTGTCATGGCGAATTATCCTTATATTACACAGATAAATGCAACAGCACGAAATTATAAAAAGATGTTTATGGAAATGAAGTTATTATAAATTATCATATCATAACCTACAGTTTGCGTGACGTTCAAGCTTTAATATTGTTTTCAAAATTCAAATTAAACACTCCGTATAAAAAATATTATTACATTTTAAAACTGCCTCTTCGAAACGCACACATTTTAGTAGTTTAGTACGGGTGTCTATCATTAAAATAATATCAAAAATGTTTCAAAAACACGACGTTTTCGTAAAATATAATATTTTTATTGTATTATCTATATGGTACAAGCAAATAGTCTTTTAATCAAATAAACGGAATTCATTGTAAAAAAAAAATACTACCGGAAATACGATTGTGGTTTTTAATTTTTTGTTTATTAAATAGATTATCGAAACTCATTTTTATGCGTTTAATAAATGTTTAAGCATTAAAAAGATAATATAACCGATTATGGATAAATAATTTTATTCAAATAGGTAATATTCGTAAAATTATTAAACATATGCAAAATAAACTAAATCTTTCAACTCGATGGTCTATTCAAAACCGTACCTATAAACATGTGATAAGTCAAAAACGAAAAAGGGGCTACAGATCATATGTTAGAAGAGATGAGTGCGCGTGAAGTAGATATAAAGAAAAGGTGATGATGGATGTTTAGGGAGAAGTGGAGGTCGAGAATAATTACACTGGCGCAAGATAACGCGGAAAAGAGAAAAGAACTTCAAAAAAAAATACATTTAAGTTAAATAGCTTAGCAACGACATGATAATCATTTTTAAAAATTTTTGATAAACTATGGAGTCTACAGATATTATTTGTGTTATTGGTAAAGATTTATAAAATTAAATATTTTCATATAAAAAGGTAATAACTATGTGTGCATTGTGTACTATAATAAAGTTAAGAAACGAGCGTTGTAGTAATTTGCATTAGTATTATTATTGAATCGAGTGGGTGACAATTTAATATAGGGACTATAGGGACTATAGGGAGTCTTTTGAATTTATGATGGCCGAAAACTTCCTTACTTACGATTTACATTCAAATCATGTAATTTTCAAATGTATTTTATTATTTACTTTATTATCTAACGTTTATTTATAAATCATAAATTATTTACCCTTTAATATATACATCAATTTATAATGAGAAAATATTATTAACTATCTATAATGTTAAATATTATCGATGAAAATATAATGTAAAAAAATATTCAAAAAACTATAAAACAATAACAAGCTATTTTAAGTACCCAAGGTTTCAATGGTTAGGCCACGTAATAAGAAGAGGTGAAGACGGGACATTTAGAGTGAAACGTTAAGGAAATATATCTAGAAAAAGACCCTGCGAGAAATTATAGATTGATGTGGTAGAAGAGGATATAGAAAGCTTGAGTTATTGAAGAGAAACGATTCAAGGTGGAGTCAAGTAGTGAAGTGTAAAAGTAATGACATTTAAAACTCTTAAAGAATAATTAAATCATTAAAGGAATTGGATTTATTATTTACGAGTTTTAAAATGTTTGCTTATTATAATTATTTTACGATTATTAAAATTATAAACGTTCTCTTTACCTTATTGGATATTAATGAAGAGTGATAAAGTACAAATCGAAAGTGTTTTGTTTGTCTTTAAACTATAATATTTCTATAAACTATTCTACATAATAAAATAAATCGAATTATTTACGATTTTAGTTAATGATCATTTTCTAAAAACAAAAATAAAGAATTGTAATCATCATCTTATATAAGTGAATGACCTTTCTTTAGCGTAAAATTATAGAAATATACTTAAATGTGATTACATTTAATCATACGTTTATGATGGTAAAAAAAAACCACATACCAAAGTGGAGGGTGAGATTGACTTGGTTTGGGTATTGAACATTCTCGTATGTGGTTTCCGATTGCCACCACGTTCGATTTGCGTAACTACTGAAGTCAGTCATATAATAGGGCGAGTGCGATGATTGGGTGCACACGTCACAAGTCTTCTTGGTCACTTGACTTCCGGACTGCACGCAAAATTCCGTATGGCCGGACTGGCCGCACGTGTTAGTGGCCTCTACTTCCAAACCAAAAGCCGCGTTCTCAAAACCGGGTATGCATCTCTGTGAATTAAAAAGAAAAATAAGTGATTACATTTTTATGATTTTGAGTAAATTTATTTAATTTTTTTTTTCATATGATCGTTTATTATGATCAAATAAGATCGTTATTTGCACAATCATTTATATATACAGTTTTTTAAATTCTCATTATCCTTATTCCGCCGTAAACCCTTTATTTAGTTTTGATTTTCAAAAAAAAAACCGCACATTTTTAAATATGTTTTAAATACATACTATACAAATTTAACATATGTTTACTTGTGTTAAAATATAAACTAAAAATATACATTAAGATTAAACGAATAATGAATTAATTGATATTGCATAAAAAAAACGCTTGACAGTATCTATCCCAAGAGATAATACTAGGAGCGTTTAAAATGGGATGATGTTGCCGCAAGTTGTTCAAAGTGTGACAAAGTAATAAATAAAACTTATTTTAAGAAGAATTTAGGAGGATAGACAACTTTGGCACGCCATAAAAGCAGAAGTTATATTGCCCAGACATTAAGTTCTAGAAGGTTACATAGTACTATAGAAGCCAAAATTAAAAGAGGAAGATCAAAGATTGGTTATATACGTAAAATTCTTATAGACTTAGGAATAGAAATCGAGAGTTGATGGATTTGAATTTAGCTAATCCAGGTAACCAGTGGAAAGATTAAAGGCCAGAAGAAAAAAAAAATCTAAAACTAAACACGAGTAAACATATAATACTGTTGTCATATAGAAGAGGTCTCTCGTTCTCTATTATTAGAGTAGTCAATTTTTTTATTTTGTTTTTTCTTGTAGACATTTCAAGTAACACAATATTACCTAAAGATTTATCACATTATAGGTATAAGGCGAATTATATTATCTCTCTTATATACGCGTATATTATTATACATAGTGTTTTGTAATTTTTATTGATCGAGCACTTAGTGTATAATATTATAGGAACCCAATATACCTATGTATACTCAACCGGTATTCGTTCTTGTTGTATATAATATGTAAATAATATTATATTATAATCGCGGTAAACGGTAGTGCGGTGAAGGGTTTCCAGTATATGCGCTCAAAGGATGAAAATATACCCACCATTGTGATAAAAAAAAAAAACAGAAAAATGTCGATAAAATATTATTAAGTATTTACCGCACACCGTATATTAGCCGACGGCATTGTAAATATATGTATAATAATTATCGTGCTTCGGACCTAAACGGTCGAGTATACTTATTATAATATGTTTTTGCTTGTTATATACTTATCTCTAGCTCGCTGCATCCTTCTACAGTATAAACCCGAGCGTTGTGCGTTAAAAGAAAAGAAAAAATACGGGGATGAAAAAATATTATAATAATATTACTTTAAAGTATAATCAGAGGAAAATGTGAGTGAAAATCCAACGGAATGCGTGAAACGGCGACTTGTACGAGATTAGCTATATCTATACTCGTGTACTTACGAGTATTATACGATCATCTGTAACACATTATCGCGGTCCTCTACAAAGTATATATAGAATGTTCTATTCGGATTGTACGCAAAATGTTATTTTTTTTTGAAAGACGGAAGGGTACACATTTTCGAACCTAGTATTAAAAAGCTGTCCTAGAATAATGCGACGGGTGCAACCACTGTTGTAGGTGGGAAGTTAAGGAAGTAGGATATAGACGGGAATTTAATGTATATCTGTAAGCAAAGAGTTCAGTTGATAGTGTTACTTTGTCAAGAATATATATTACCTATATCATATTATGGTAAAATAATTACATTTGCACTAAACATTTTCATTCATAATATTTGTTTAATATTTTACCTATTATCCTGTTCTCCAAGTTTTCCCGTGTTTTTCTTCGGTTTTTCCCATTTATTGGGAAAACTCCTGGGAAAATCAAAAAAAAGGCCTTTTTTTAAAGTACTGCCCCAGTCAGATTTTCTTTTATAAAAAGTGCTATCATTATAAATCAGAGCTAAATTACTGGTAGAAAAGTTGTTCACAGATAAAAAAAAAAAAACAAACATAATTGTAAAACCGTAAGCTTCTTCGCTCCACTCAGAATCTAAAATAACTGTTTCCGTTTTAGAAATATAAGTATTATAGCGCACGCGCACACCGCAGGGGTTAACATTTTTAAAATATAGGCTGAAAACGTGTATTTTGACACCATCCTCTCTAGTCCTGTAAAAAAAAAAATCTTCATTTCGATCAGAGTTCGTCCGATTGAAATATTTATCGTATTTGTGTGAAACGCATTGTTGTATTATATAGATTGTATATATATATTAATGTAGGTACGGTGTCGGGCTATACGGACGGTTTTTTTTGTATATGCTATCATCACGGTGTATACGACTGTGAATAATTGCCGGATTCTGGTTGGGATTTAAAATATCACCTATATTTTATTTATACTTACGTGCTGCTACCGGAATTGAACGTGTGTCCTTTCGGTTCGCTGTTATTGTGTATTCTGTACAATATAACACAATAATATCGTACCTATTTATATGTTACACCGTAGAAAAGCACGTAATTTCGTTATATTATTATCCCTGCCGGTATACACAATGCGCGCACAAGGAAATATTATTATTGTGTCGTAGCTAACGAGATTGTTGTTGTCGTTTATAACTTGTATTATTATGTCACTTTTCAGGTGAGAAGGGCTAAAGTACATTTTTGGAGTTTTTTTAAAAATTATAATCATGTCTTATTATTCTTTTAGTTTTTAATCAAACCGGTATATGTGTACGCATATACTCCAACGGGCTTGGTGGAGCCAAAGCGAATTAATAAAATCAGTGATGGATCAAAATCCGTACAGGATTATACCATTTGGAAGACCTAAAACAATATGGGAAGACTTAGTTGAAAAGGATAAGGAATCACTTAGTGAAAGCACGAATAATTTGAAAAAAAAGTATTGAATAGGGATGAATTCAAGATTGGGTGTGAAATGGGACAGTTCCGAGAAGCCTTATAACCATGAAAGAACAATTATGATGTGCATTGTGTTTGGCAAAAAAATATAAGTAAATCATATGAACTGTAATACGACTTAGTCGTATTTAGAACGGTTGCATTTAGGTAAAGCCATTAAAGTTTTCACTGCTGGGTTTAGTTTTCCTAATATACTATATACTGTGCTGAGATAAAATTGTATTTTTTAATATCTTATTTTGTTTTGTATTTCAGATTATAATAGGTCAAAATTAATTATTTTTTTTTTTTTAAGCAACATTTCATTGTTTCTGGATTTTTCTTATCATCACCTACCAAATGTTTTTATCATCACATCAATTACAACAGGTATTGTTGATTTTTAAAATGTTTGAGCACATATATGCATCCATAGTAATGCACTTGCCCATTTAAAAATAATTATGCCATTATACTATTTAATAATTTTCAAAATTGATTTAACTTGTATTGAAAACTGTAAAATATTGACTTAAGCCATTCTTTCCTGTGACCAAAACCACAGAAGAATAAAGTAAGAAAAAAACCAACGGAAAAGTGTGATGTGAAAAAGCAAGTAAGTAAGTAAGTGATGATAATTATTCAAAATAAAATTAAATAATAATAATTAAAGTCGTAAATAATATTATGATCTAAGAGGTGCATTAATCGACTTGGTTATTTATTTTTAGATTCTTAGTGGAGCGATAAAGCTTATGATTTTACAAAGATGTTTATTTTTTTTTTTTATCTGTGCACAACTTTTCTATCAGAAATCCTGCTCCAATTTTTAAATTTAGCACCTTTTCTGAAAGGAAATCGGTGTGGGGAGGTACTTTAAGGAGGTAATTTGATTTTCTGAATAATTTTCTCATAAAATTTGAAAAACCGAGAAAAAACTATGGAAAACGGGAAAATAAAAGAAATGTAGGTGTTAGTTAAAATATATTACGGCCTTTTAAGGTCTTTTTTTATTTTTTTTTTACCAAAACTTAAAAAATTAAATGATGTATAAATATAATTTATAGTCCTTTATTCTGCGAGTAGTATAAAAAAAAAAAAACAGAATTTGATTATCTTTATTATCTCAGGAGATATTGTAAAGGGTTTATTTTTGTAAGACATTCTGTATACTGGGTGGTTCTTTTTTTGTTGAACACCCATTATTTCGTAAAATATAGATTTTGTTCAAAAAAGAAACAAAACGTTTCGACAATTCAATAAACAATCGGATCAAACGATCTAAAATCGTACATTACCAATAATTTTTTGTTTCCATTATTTTCGGTAGTGAAACTACTGTAATACGGATTACCATTTGAAAATTAAAAGCTGGTAGATTAGGTTAAGTCAACCGCCGAAAATAAGGGTGACAAGAAATTAACGGTAATATACGATTTTAGATCCGCATATTTTTTAAATATTTTAAACCTCTTTTAAGATATTTTTTTTTTTTGATTTTCCCAGGACACAATGTGACATACATTATATTGTTGACAAAGCAACATTATTAACTCCGCTCAGAATTGTGTTTCGTTAGCAATGATTAATCGTTGCGTACAGATAAACATTATATGTCCACTCGACCTTCACAACTTCTTACCTACAACAATGCTCCTCCCCCCCCCCACGTGAGAAGTAGGTCTGTCTTTTTATTTTTCTAATACAGTAAAATCTGTACCAGTATATGTTTGTAATTTTAGCAAAAAAATGTGTCATATATAAATGCTTTAAGGCCGCTTCAAATTATAGCTCTAGCCCGTTTCACTTCTCGATTCGGCACTGGTTCTCAGAATTAATACGATACAGTAGAGTTTATTTTTATTTTTTTATTACTGCAATACTGCAAGACTTATTGAATATCTAAACATTTATGATTGATTCGATATTTACTACGCCACTACGCTGTTTGCCGTTCACTCAAGACTATATAATCTCTCTTAAATATTATTATTTCAAGTAAATGCATTTTGGTCACGTTTCATTCCTTTTATATGCAATACACCTATATTTTTGTTTTTGAATTCACAATATTACTACGACGATTCTAAGGAAAATATTTTCTTTTCGTGGTCATAATATTTCTGTTGTACAATAGCGATCGTGAATTTTTTTTTTTTTTCTTAGTTCTAATAATACCTGTTAATAAAATATTATTTACCGTGGTAGACAAAAAAAAAAGTGAATAAATACAAATTATGACAAATCGAAATGTAAATTACAGAAAAAATCGTGTTATTCTATGTGCCGGATAGATGTCGGAAATAACTATTAGTAAGAAAAAAAAGATGTGTTAATCAAGAATAATAATATTATGTAATATAATGCAAATACAAATCACGTAGATAGGTAGGTAGAGTTTTTAAGTTTTAACGTTAGCGGTTATTTTTTATTTTTATTATGATCGTGACTTTACCCAAAGATGTCGTTTATTATGACGTTACAATACAAATATCAGAGATGCGACGATTAATTTTATTTTTTTGACAACAGCTATATGTTTTTAAATCATGTAAAAAAAAAAAAAAAAAAACTGTGAAACATTTACACACGTAATGCAGCGACTACTGGATACGGTATCCTTAGAGTCATTTCAAATGAGATTTTAGCGCCCTGCGTCTCTCGAAATATCAATAATTCGTCTATAATATAGGTATTCATATTAAACAGTAGATTGAAGACTAAATATGTGCATCGCAAATGATTCATTCAAACCAAATTGTGGGTTATGAAAAATCGTACAAAGATCTTATACAATGAGGGGGGAGCGAGGGAAGGGTGTTTGTATAAAAATCACCCCAATGACCATTTAACACGTTTAAGAGGTTCGACTTTTTTTCTCTATTTCAAGTTACTTGTTATCAAAGTCAATGATTTATGGTTGCTTTCAGTACTTATAAAATTGAATTACCCTATATTCTCTAACTTCTCAACTTCCTACCTAACCAACAGTGACTTATCCACATATGTTGCGAAGTGCATACGGGCTTTTTTTTCAATTCTAAGTTTTTTTCTGTGGCAACATCTTAAATTCTAACGATTTCATAATTTTTGTTTTTGTACATTTATGTACCCACACTTAAACACATTGCCTAAGTGATCACACGTGTTTACGCGTTTCACTAATCGATAACCTAACTATAACCTAACGAATTTAATGACCTCACACGACGTTGTCGTGGTAGAAATACAACGGTCGAGCGGTGTAATATCAAAGGGTCTGTCGTTTTTGTGTATACATATTTTACCGTATTATATGTGTACCCGACGACCGACGGACGGGACGAATGGATTTCGTGAAACAGATCTAAATTTATATAATATATTATATACTCGGAAAAAAAAAAGAAAAAGAACGACGATAACCAAAACTCGTGGTGTACACCTACCTACTATTTTATATTATACGCGTTTTATAGGAACTCTGATGTGTAAAAATAAAAATAAACGACATGTGCGTGTTCGTGTGCGTATGCGCGCGCGTTAAGTTGTATACAGGGTGTATATGCGGGATTTAACAATTGTCTATACATGCAATTACACAGTAAATTGTCAAGTCCTGCAGATACGCCCTGTACATCGGAACCGTTTTAGATACAAGCGGGAGAATATTAATATGATGTGCACAATATCATGTGGACGATGGCTTATAACATAATGGTTTTTACTGTTTTGAGATTCATTCCAAACGTCGTCAACCCGAAACAGTCTTGGAACGCACCACACACGCGACCGCACCAAAAATGCTATTTTAATATTCCCGTTCTAACGGGCGGCAATGGTGTGAGAATGCAGCTGAAATCATCGATTTCGCGTTCGGTCGGACAATGGCAAATCACATTATGGTCCACAGATCGTGGACCCAGACGATAATTAGTTTTAACAAGAAAAACACGTCCACGTGATGATATAAGTGAAAGACGTAATGACACTAGATTAAATATCGATAGAATTTGTGAATTGAGACAGAAACATCTGCAGTGAACTTACTTTCACGACAGTAAAGTACACCGGTAAGTTACTAGGCGCCTCTATCAAAATGGTAGCTATCAATTATCGCGCATCCATGATAATGTTATAAAATAACATTCACCGTAGTTCAGTAGTTACCATCGCCATATGTTCGTACGACGACGTAGTTCATGACGGTTGCTATTACGGTAGTGAATTTAACGACTATCACGATAGCAGCTGTATCGCCGTGTGGACCGATCAGCGGGTTTCGGGTATAACTATGGCTGTGTGCAACCCGGTAAATACCAATAGTCTACGACGAATACTAAAAACAACGTCCGTGTAAATGTCTTCACGGGCTGTCAAATCCACCGGACCCGCTGCAGCGGCTTGTCCGTCGTAGTCTTTTCAGTTTTCACGGTCCGACTATCGCGTTCAGTTATTTTTATAATGTATAATATATACGTATACAATAATAATATTATAGTCTTTGTCTTATTCCCCTCTCCAACAAAATGTTTAATATTATTGTACATAATGAGATTAAAACGTGTATATCTTATACCGCAGCTACCGGGTCGCTACTGCACACAGACTGGCACAGTCCTGGTCGTAATATTATAATTTGTGCTGCGGCTGCTGCTGCTGGAGAAAAGGGTCCCCTGAGAACATGCTGTTTATAAAATTAGACTCGACCTATCCTCGACCCGGAACAGATGTCACGAAACTACGCGCCGCCGTCGTACTACAGCACAACATAACAAAATATAATATTAAATTATACAACATACTCGTATGGTTCGAATTATTTCATAATGTTTTCGGAACGACTATATTACACAGTACACACGTTATTTTTCGTTTTTAAATATTATATATTATTACTGACAAAACGGGTACCGATATATCTCAACGTATCTAGAATATGTTGTCTTATTTAGACAATACTTTATCCCCAAATGAAGTAAATGCTAAGTATACATCACAATAAATATTATTGGGTGTTAAGTCCTCCTCCCTCCCCCTAAAGTATTTAGGATTTTCGCTCATATGCCCCATGATTGTCTATAAACTGTAGTTGGTCGGCTGGAGAGGTCATTTTTTGATTTATCTTGTAATTTTCTTAAAAGTTAGGAAAAACGGGTAATATTCACACAATTTTCGGTAAATTTTTTTTTTTATTATTATTCAACGAGAAATAATTATAGAGACCTGCAACTATCGACGAACACTTATCATTCTATTACAGCACGTTCTAGGCGTAGTACGATTTTCAAACCATCCTACCATTTTTCGAGTCTTAGTTTTTATTAACGCCTTAAGTTCAAGTTTATGTTGAAAGTCGTTCGGGGTTTTGTTTCTTATACAACCGCATTGGTTTCTTGTACAAACTTTCGTATGTATACCTAGCCGGTGTGTTTTATAATACAAATCATTAAACAATTAAAATCGGAGGAGGAGTTTTTTTTTGGTTATTACTTAGGCGTATGATTTAATACCGCCCGTCAAACGTCAATATATAAATCTGATACGGCGATTTAAAAACAAAAAAAAAAATAATAATAATAATAAAATAAAAAAATCGAACGCAGTTGTTTCGAACACGTAACCCAAGTAGCATAAACGTGTGGGACGTATAAAAAATATTATTGTACGTAAGTAGGTATCGGGCGTTTAATAAAATATATTATACACTGGTGTTGCGTATACGTCATCATACACATTATTATTATTATTATTATTATTACTATAACCACATAATTTTAATAAATATTTTAATAAAATATTGTTTTAGACTGACTGCGGGATCGAAATATTCTTCTCCCCCCGCCCGCCCCAATTTATCAGACGACTGAAATATGTACAAAACGGATGTAGCACACGATAATAATAATATTTTTACGCGCGTGTGTGTGTGTGCTGATAAGAATTTCGAATGATTTTTAATTGCTCACGGAATACAAAACCGTATATTATAATAATAATACTGATGTTGTGCGCTATCGCAAAACCTAAAACCAGACCTAAAACTGTATTACGTTTTTATTCTAATACAACGTCCGATTTACACGGAATTTCTAAGAAATATATATACATATCGTCGGTTGATAAACAAACGGTGTTAACTCGATAAAATAATGCCACAACCTTTCCACCATGACTGATAACAATAAAGTATAATAATAGTTATAGAGCATCCAATCTATATGTATATATATATAAAAAAAAAAAAAAAAACACTAGTAAGTAATTATCAACATTGGTTAGGTTACATTTTTCGAAAGACTTGATATCGTTATAATTATTATCACAAGTGTACACTCCAATCTGACGGTAGAAGTCCGTTCGACACGCCTACTACAAAATTGTCGACGAAATATAATTCGGGGAGCTCGAAAAATTTGAAAAAAATTATTCTCCTCTATAAAATGTTATTAATGAAACCCGGCGCCCTTGAGCCTTACTCATACTGAAATCCGAATACTCTACATAATAATATAATAATAACACCACTATAATGCGGGAACTTAAACAGAACGAAATTTTTATTTTATTTTATTATTATTTTTTTTTTCACTTCTCAGATTGTTTCTTCAGCGACCGCGTTCAAGACAATACATTCCTCCGCCTCGGGCCCGAGGTTTGTTCTCTACGGAATTCGTACGATCGAAAGAAAAAAGGTCGAGCAACAAAAGATTTTCGAGAAACCAACGAGTTTATATTATACTTCTCGTGCGAACATATTATTATCATTATTATTATTATTATTACTCGACTATTCGAATCGGCGTCCGCGGCGTAAACAAAACCTAACTGCAGCGGCGACGTGATGAGACGATTCGTAATATATTACAAATTAGAATACACCTATACTTATCGTACTTGGGGAAAATCGTTTACGTTTATTTGTTCCTTTCAAAAAAAAAAAAAAAAATAATAATAATAATAATAAATCTCGAGTACGTGCGACCGTTACGCGAAAAATTGCACGATATCTATAATGTACTTTCTACGGGGGAGGGGGGGAGTTGTCGCCAATAATTAAAAAAAAAAAAAAAACGAAAGTGAAGACGATTTGATAGACACCAATGGCGGCGCGAAGGCGGTAAGTTTGAATCACGTGTTTCACAAAAAACCGAGCGGATAGGTCGTGTGTGCCCGGACGTTCGGAAATAAAACCAAAATTATTATGCTTTCACAAAACCAAAGTCATTAAAAGAATTTTAGGCTGCGAAAATTCGATACATTTCCGCCAAGACCCCTCAAGGAGACTCGGTATCAATCTCCGGTTTTCTGCGGATTTCGAGGCATTTTCGCTAGAGGTGGGGTGGGCGGGAAATTAAATCGTCGATTAAAGATAAAATTACTTCGCCCCGCCACTGAATTGGACGCTGTTCTAACGTTCTTACGCATAATATTATGCAATGTGCAGACTGCGTGTGCCGTACTACGGCCCCTGTCAATACCACGCGGTCTACGCACGCACCCTAATTAATTCATCTTTTTGCGAATATTCCGGATGTATTTTGTACGTACGAATTGACTGAAAATTCGCACTCGGGACACTGTAAGGCCACCCTGGCTGTATGCGAAATTTAAAAACGTCGAAAACGACGACAGGCACCAAAAAACCGTCCTCCCCGGTTCCCCTGCTCCAATAACGAGTCACCGCCGTTATCGTCGTCAAATGAATAAAAGTCCGTATTATTTATTCGTATTAAGTACATCCGATCGTAAACACACGGCTGTACACGTTTTGTTCGGATACAATTTAACGTATAGGTACCTATAATTTATCCGAGCAGAATATTAAAATTGTCGTATTATGTTTAGAAAAGCGCCAAGAACAATTTAAATTTTCGTTATAGATTACGATGAAAAAAAAAAAAAAAAAATGTAACTAATTTCTATGGAATTTGTTTACGGTTCACGTTTATTGCTCTCGTGTCTCGCTTGTAAATATTAGACCCAGATGATATTCTTGTACCTCTGTAAGTTCGATAAAAGGCCGATTCACTGTAATATAAAAATCGACGAAAACGCGAAAATGGGATTTACTGAACGGAAATTTGACACTGTCCAGTTTCCAACATTAGCCGTAACGCCGCGGGAGCGTGGAACGTACCTGAGGGTTGTTTTGATCGTCGTAACAGTGATTGCCGCCGGTGTTGTGTACCGGTTCGGCGGGGATGGTCACGTCGGGCACGGCGACGACGGCGGCGGCGGCCACGGCGACGGCCAGCAGCAGCAGAGACGTCGGCGACATACCGGCACGGGTGTATACGATACGGTTTTCCGCGGAAGACGGTCGGGCCGGTAAAACGGACAGCACGGCACGGGGGGGGACTCGTCACTGCGGCGGTACTCGCATCGCGCGTATTTTCGGAGGATGAGACAGTAACGGCGGCGCGGCGCGGGAAAAACGCGTGTCCTGGAAAGCGCTGTTCGCCCGGCCGTCGGTGTGGTTGCGGAGCGTGTGCACGGCCAAACCGAAGGGTCACCACCGTCGCATGTGGTAGCCAAATGTGCGCGCGGTTAGGCGCGGTGGATGTGCGTGCGCGGTGCGTGCGCGCGCGGTACGCGGCGGAACTGCGGAGTGAGCGAGAGCGAGCGGGTTTTTGGATATTGGTGGGATGGTAGGAGCAGGAGGCGGAGGAGAGGCCCGCGGACGAGCGAGAGAGAGAGCGAGACGGAAACGACGGTGACGACTGCGAGACGCACGTGAACACCGAGACCACGACCGAACGCACGCTATGCACGTCGTTTTCTCGCGGGCGCTACGGGATGCTGTGTCTGCTGCGATTGTTATATGTCGAGTGTGGTGCACGCGGCCTGCTCTCCTACATCAGCCGAACCGCCGCCGCGGCGGCCAATCGTCTTCCTCTTCGTACGCACGGCGGCGTTTGCTCTTAATCGTACGCCGTCTTCCGCGTCCGTCCGCCCTTTTTTTTTTGGGTTTTTTTTTTTTTTTTTATTACAATAACAACATTATTCTAATACTACCCCTGGTGGGTAAACATAACCATCAACGGTACGCGATAATGGTAATAATAATAATAATAATATACCGGTGCAGTGTCCGCGTCCCCGGAAAGAATAAAATACCCGTTTGTGTAACGCCGCGGCCGCCAATTTACAGTCTCGGACGAACAGAAATCACTGTAATAGGTAGTATCCGTGAGAATAATAATAATAAAAAAAAAAAACAAACGCCGGTCGTCTTTCCGGCCGAAAAAACCAAAAAATTACGCCAGAGATATCGGTATAATTCAATATTGTACGATTTAAGAATAGAAATCAAATTAAGAAAACTAATTTAAAATTTGAAAAAAAATTAATTAAAATTGTAATGACTTGTAAGCAATAGCGGTACGTAGGTTTTTTCAGTGGGAGGAGACAACCATAGAAAATTTAAAAATTTAATATTATGCATAAATCAATAAAGCCTTTTTTCTTGTGGTTATTTAGCAAAGTACATAACGTACGTAAACAAGGTACTAAATCAATACAGTATTGAAACCCGAAATCGTTAATTTGGGGAAATTTCTTACTCGAATCACGCGTTGTATTAAATAATAATTATGTAATAAAAAAACCGATAAAAAAAATTTGTACATCGATGAACGACTGTTTTAATCAATTGTGGCATTGTTTTAAAAACGTATAAATGATGAAACGCCAAAAGATTGTTTCGAAATACATATATTTTAGATTCTAAGTGGAGCGAAGAAGTTTATAGTATTACAAAGATGTTTTTTTTTTTTTTTTTGCTGTATGCAACATTTCTATCAGAATCTTGATCTAAGTTATAATGATAGAAACTTTCTGAAAGGAAATTTGACTGGAAAGCTACTTCGGTGAGGTCAATTTTTAATTTTTCTAAGATTTTTCCCAGCAAATGTGAAAAACTGGGATAAAACATGGGAAAAACGTAAGAAAACTGAGAAAATTGGTACAACATTAAATAAATATTATTAAAGAAAATATAAAAAGCTCATTTAATTATTTTTTTATAAAATGACATACATCGTTGACAAAATATCACTATCAACTGAATTGCGCTCAGAGTCGTGTTTTCGTAAGCAATGGTTTATCTTTTTTACAGGTATACATTAAATTATCTATAACAGTAGCTGCACCCGTATCCATCATCCTAGAACGTCTTTTTATAAATTAGTGTAACGCAATTGCCGTCATTTTAATATAAATGATTTAAATCTTGAAAAATTCTTGTCAAACTTTAAATATCTTGTTCATTGTAAAAACCGGTTTCCTAGTGCCGAATGCTGCTGCAATGCCGAAGTTCACATAGTTTGTTTTTATTTAAACACTGTTGATGGGTAATAAGGGGGTCTGAAGATACTGAGCCCCTCCCTCCGGATACATCACTGCTCGTGAGGATTCAATAATATTTTGAAACGGACGATTTTCAATTTTAAACTGACCGATTTCTTACGGATAATATCTTAGGTGATATGGTTAAGTTAAATACGCTTTAAATACACCGTTTTAAGTTTCGCTAATGTGCGTAAAAAAATAGGCTCCGTAAAACAATAATCTACGTATTGTGCAGATTTAAAGAGACCAAAAACGCCGAGCTCGTCGTCGATACGGTTTTCGTTGCAAATTATAATTAACAAAATAATATTGGCACTTGGAAAAAAGACCGAACGTACGTTTCGTAATCAACTACGTTATATGAAAACAAAATGTTGATTGTTTATGAATGACTTCTCTGAACGGTCCGTAAACGCGTTTAGTGTGTCCGAGTGAAAATTATGTCGAGTCATGGGAACGACGATGAAACATCCGATCCGTATTTATTAGAAATACTTTTACTGCGACCGCGGCTATAATAATATTATTATGAACCGTGGTCCAGTGCGTCCCATAAATTAACTTACTACGGTGTGACCGTTAACCTTTTTTTTTTTCGTTCTTCCATGCGCAAAACGCGTTTTTGGCTCCTCGCACTGCGCCGTTCCCCCGGGTTCCGCTGAAAAGGTGATAAACCATCGATGCATAGATTTTCAATGCTCGAAGAGTTCAATCTGTTGCCAAAGCGGTTACATACTTGTGGTAACTCCGGCATTGTTAAGAGACGTGGTTATTTTGTCCATAATAACCACACAACTTTTATATAATCAATATTAATAACGTCATATTGCTTTGAAAATAAATTTAATAATAAAATGTACATTGAAATTTTAAAATCAGACCTTATGTGAATTTCAAAATTGAGCAGATTGCATAGATGGCGGATCCAAAAAATGCTATTTTTCGATATCGAATATAACTGACTTTGAGAGTGGCGTAGTCAGGATTTCTTAATAGAAGGTGCTAAAAAAAAACCCCAAAATTACACGTTTATTTCCTTTATTACATTCAAAAATACATTATACTTACTTAGTCAATAAAATATGAAAATAAACCGCATATATCATAACAAAGTAACATGCATATGAAACGATTATAATAAAAGCATAGAAAAAAGAACTGGTCCCAATAGAGCGGACCATTGCTCCCGTGATCCTTCCTCTGGTTACGCTATTGCTTTTGGAATATTTACTCCACTGGCGTCTTTACGGAGGATTTAGTTTTTGACATTTAGCACTGTTACGGTTTTCGTAATTTGTATTATCCATTTCAGACAGTATATTTTGGTCGATTGCCTATACACAAGGAAAATGTGTTTTACCGAATTTTGCAACAAACGAAATTACTATTTGACAAACAAAAACCAGGCGTAGCGTAAATTATGTTTTCCGTTTTTCCAGTTTTTCCAAATAATTGAAATAAGTGTGAGAAATTTCAAAAATAAAACCTCCACGCAAACTCTTCTAAACTAACAATTGTTCAAAAATTTAGAAATACACATGACACAATATTCGCATCATAATATAGGTAAGTAAACCTGATAAAAATTTAAAAATAATAGTAAATTCGCGTTTATCATAATGTTTTAAATGTTTGGTCGTCGATTAAGTCATTTTCACACGAAAATAACAGTCGAAAACCAAATACACTCAAGACTCAAACAATGGTTATAATTTCACCGACAAAATATTTATTTTTCGACGGTCGTTTTCTTTTCTCGTAACCCTACATTTAAGTATTTAACGAAAATAATCGTATTGTTATTTTTGAGGTCGTATGGTTATACTCATGCAACACGGATTTGTTTTTCATTTAATTGAAAAAGTAGCACGACCATATTAAAACGGTGTACACCATCACGGGGGCTGAACGTTTTATACTTATTGCTATTGTCGTTTTTGTTGTTTTATGGCGTTTAAAAAGAAAGATTTGCGAATTCGGACGTATACCGATTCCGTCGAAATAACCTTTTCACTTGTAAACAATATTTCAATCGATCCGCCGAACTTTTTTACATGTTGATTCAGCCGGTTGTTTATGAAATAATAACAATCGATACGCCATAGAGATATAGCAGTATTTTTGTGCCGTCTACAATTATGTGTTATTTGAGGTGAAGCAATTTCAAATTTAAAGTCTTAGAATTGAATTTAAATATTATTTTCTGAGTAAAATTCGATCGGAAGATCTTCGTTTTCAATAGTTTTAATTTTCCAATGTTCGATGACTTCAGAAATATGTTTTAGTAACGCCTGATATGAAAACCGATGAGACCGGTAACAACACTGATGTAGGTATATATATTGTATAATTAATCGTACATTTAATTTAGATTGTTATTTTGTTATGAATTAACTGAGAATTACAGTTGTTTTTAATAATTTATAAAAAAATCGTTTATTATAGAAAATAATTTGCATGTTATGTAACTATACGATTATAGTACTTATAGATTACCTATAGTTAAAAAAAAAAAATGTTATTATAAATCTAAGGTTTACTATATTTATTTTATCAGTATCTATATAGGCACTTATAATTTATCTATATAAAAATGGATGTCTGTTTGTCTGACATTAATTGACTCAAAAAATACTGGTGCGAAAAATATTTCGCGTTGTCCGGATAATGTTTATAGCTATTGAAATCAACCCCCTATTGAAAAAAAAACCCCTCAAAATTCAGTTTCTTACGTATTTATAATACACGGAAATAAAATTATTTTTGTTAATTTATCTTGTTACCTTAGAAACCTTGGGTTACTTTGGTTACTCATTTTCCACTTGTGTATTCTATGTGTTCTATTTCCTATGTATTTTTAAATACTGAGGGCTTGTTTTCAATAGGGGGTAGATTATAATAGCTATTAACTTTATCCGGACAACGCGG